TAAGTATGTCCTGCCATTCCCTTCTGGCCTGAAGGGTTTCTATTGCTAGATCAGCTGTTATCCTTATGGGAATCCCTTTGTGTGTTATTTGTTGTTTCTCCCTTGCTGCTTTTAATATTTGTTCTTTGTGTTTGATCTTTGTTAATTTGATTAATATGTGTCTTGGGGTGTTTCACCTTGTGTTTACCCTGTTTGGGACTGTCTGGGTTTCTTGGATCTGTGTAACTCCCTATTTGAGGGAAGTTTTCAGCTATTATCTCCTCGAGTATTTTCTCATGGCCTTTCTTTTTGTCTTCTTCTTCTGGGACTCCTATGATTTGAATGTTGGGGCATTTCACATTGTCCCAGAGGTCTCTGAGGTTGTCCTCATTTCTTTTGATTCTTTTTTCTTTTTTCCTCTCTGCTTCATTTATTTCCACCATTTTATCTTCTACCTCACTTATCCTATCTTCTGTCTCTGTTATTCTACTGTTGGTTCCCTCCAGAGTGCTTTTGATCTCATTTATTGCATTATTCATTTTTAATTGACTCTTTTTTATTTCTTCTAGGTCCTTATTAAACATTTCTTGCATCTTCTCAATCTTTGTCTCCAGGCTATTTATCTGTAACTCCATTTTGTCTTCAAGATTTTGGATCATTTTTATTATGATTATTCTAAATTCTTTTTCAGGAAGATTCCCTATTTCCTCCTCTTTTGTTTGACTTGGTGGGCATTTTTCATGTTCCTTTACCTGTTGGGTATTTCTCTGCCTTTTCATCTTGTTTAGATTGCTGTGTCTGGAGTGGGCTTTCTGTATTCTGGTGGTCTATGGTTCCTTTTTACTGTGGAGGTTTCACCCAGTGGTTGGACGATTGGCTTGTCAAGGTTTCCTGGTTAGGGAAGCTTGCGTCAGTGTTCTGGTGCGTGGAACTGGATTTCTTCTCCCTGGAGTGCAATGGAGTGTCCAGTAGTGAGTTTTGAGATGGGTCTATGTGTTAGGTGTGACTTTGGGCAGCCTATATGTTGATGCTCAGGGCTATGTTCCTGTGTTGCTGGAGAATATGCATGGTATATCTTGCTGTGGAACTTATTGGCTCTTGGGTGGTGGTTGGTTTCAGTGTAGGTATGGAGGCTTTTGGATGGTCTCTTATTACTTAATGTTCCTTGTAGTCAGGAGTTTTCTGGTGTTCTCAGGTTTGGACTTAAGTCTCCTGCCTCTGGATTTCAGTCTTATTCCTCCAGTAGTCTCAAGACTTCTCCAACTATACAGCACTGATAATAAAACTTCTAGGTTAATGGTGAAAAGATTCTCCCCCGTGAGGGACACCCAGAGAGGTTCACAGAGTTACATGAAGAAGAGGAGAGGGAGGAGGGAGATAGAGGTGAGCAGGAGGAGAAAAAGGGGGGCTCGAGAGGAGAGAGACAGATCTACGCAGTTGTCTGTTCCCAGAGTGTTCTCCATAGCCCAGACACTCACAAAGATTCACAGAACTGGATTGGGAAGAGAAGGGGAAAGGAGAAAATAGAGATGATCTAAGGGAGAAAATGGAGAGTCAAAAGTGGGAGAGAGTAATCAACACACTCCTGAGTAAAAATGGGTACTGAATATTGGATTCTTAAATGTCCAAAATTGATATCAAATACTGAAAAACAAGATTAAAAATCTAGATTAGAGGTTAGGCTCTTAAAAATACAATATTAAAAACAAAAAGAAAAACACAAAAAATTTTAGAAATATATATGAAGTTCGGTTTTAAAATAGGGCCTCTTCTTTTTTTTTTTTTGCAAGGGTATAGTGAAATGAAAATGAAAATTAAGGAGTAATAGAGGACTTTAAAAGAAAATAAGAGGAAAAAATAAAAAAAGAAAAAAATTTTTTTTCTAATTAAAAAAATACTAAAAATATATGAAAATGAAAATGAAAGTTAAGGAGTAATGGAGGAGTATTAGGGAATTTTAAAAGAAAATAAAAGAGAAAAAATTTTTTTAAAAATGTTTTTAATTAAAAAAAGGAAAAAAAAAAAAAGTAAAAACGTATCTAGGAATTTCTCTGGAGCTGTTGCGGTCAGTGTGGGTTCAGTTCAGTTTCAGATAGCTCCTCGTTCCATCTTACACTTCTCGATATCTATAGGCCCCTTCCGGTGTAGTCGGTGTTACCTACAGGGATTTTAATCTGTTGCACGATCTCTTCTGAAGTGGGTCCCTTTGCTTATTTGGCTTCTGTTTGCCGGTCTCTTCAGTGTCTAATTTCCGCCCTGACACAGGCGGGCGGAGGTGGTCTCTTGTTTAGGTTCGCTTGTTCAGTCGCGCTGCGTGGAGGGTGGGGCTCTGCAGACAGATATCACTGTGTGTGGGGAACACTCGCAGTGTTCCGGCCACACTGGGTTTGCCCCCGCTCACGGATGTGTACTTTCCCCGTCTACACTGCTCAGGCTCCCAGCTGCTCTATATGGAGCGTGCCCTGCGTGGCATGCAGTTCCAGTTTTCGGGAACTCCACAAAAGCGCAGACTCGGTTGGGCCTGCGTTTTGTGCCTTCCCCAGCCCGAGCAGCTCAGGCAGCCATGAGCTTGACGGAGAGTGCGGCGCGCCTTCTCCCCTCCGCAGTCCCAGCCTCAGTTTCCACGCGTGCCAGTCGGGTGCGTGCACCTTGTGTGTGTTCTGGGGAGCTGGCCCCTAGCTGCGACCCTCCCAGCGGATGTCAACCATCCAGAATCTCAGGACATCTTTGGTTAGAAACTGGAGGCCTGTTTGCAGTTTGGTAGGGGGTGCCATCTCTGGGGATGAGTTTGCCCCTTTCCCCTCTCCCCCGCCCCCGCTTCCTGCCTCCAGTGGGGATGGGCCGGTCTGCCACTGGCTAGCTCTTCTCTGAAATTGCTAAGTCCCTTTGTTCTGCCAACGGCCAGCAGTGTGTTCGGCCGGTTAATTTTCTCTCTCTCTCTCTTGCTATCCCACAGTTTAAGTTGCTATCTCACATTAGCTCCTTCTGATTGCCCTCAGAGCATTCGGGCCCTGTCCTTACCCTAAGCAATGCCGCCTGTTCCTCTCCGTTCCGCCCCCACTTGCTGGTGGCGGATGCAGGCGTCTGGGGTACGTTTCTGCTGGGAGTTGCTTTTAGGCATGTAATCTGTGGGTTTTATTTATTTTTCCTCCCAGTTAAGTTGCCCTCCAAGATTCGAAAACTTTCCCCAGACCCGCCAGTGGGAGGGTTTCCTGGTGTTTGGAAACTTCCTCTATCATGACTCCCTTCCTGGGACGGGCCTCCATTCCCAGCTCTTTTGTCTCTCTTTTTATCTTGTATATTTTGTCCTACCCCCTTTTGAAGGCAATGTGCTGCTTTTCTGGGTACCTGATGTCTTCTTCTAGCGGTCAGAAGTTGTTTTGTGAAATTTACTCAGCGTTCAAATGTTCTTTCGATGAATTTGTAGGGGAGAAAGTGGTCTCAATAATGCATTTTAGTTTTCTGTACCATATTAGCCCTCTAGAAGTGTTTGTGTTTAAGACCAGAGATATTTTTTCAAAATCACTGGTGAATCTTCTAGACCTAAAAATTTCTTTGTAGGACAGTTTTTAATTACATATTTAATTCATGTCATATGATTAAAATCATTCAGATTTCTGTTTCTTCTGGGATCTGTTTAAGCAAATTGATTTTTTTCCTAGAAATTTGTTTATTTTATCCAAATATTCACATTTATTAGCAAATATATGTTTATATAGTCTCTTAAGATCATCTTAAATTCTGTGGGATCTACAGTGACATGCCTTTACTGTTTCTGATATTGATAGGTTATATCTTTCCTTTCTCTTTTTTTGATCAGTCTTGCTAGAAGTTTGTCAGTTTTATTAGTCAAAGAACCAGGTTTTGGCCAGGTTGAAGAATAATGAGGGCAACCTTACAGTTATTTGTGCCCTGCCTCATATCAGTATAAACAGAAATATTGAGCATCTTCAATGAATCTTGAGAGAGATCTTGATATTCTGTTCACACAAAACCTGTATTTTTTAAACTTTGAAAAGTGTGAGATATTGTTAGATGAGTTTGACAGGAGTGCATTATTACTGTTGTTTACCTTTGTCTCATGGTAAGCAGACCTCTTCTTCCAAGGAAATGCATGACATCCTTGCCTAGTAGGTCTGATTGGACTTATTCATATAGACTTACTTTATGTTCTCCATCCAATATGGCACCTCACAGGTTAGGTGTTGGGGTCGGAACTAGCTTCATGAAGGATAGAATCATTCAAAAGATTACTCTATGCAGATTTGACTAAACTTGTAGCTCTAGGAATGCTACTGCCTTTTTAGGAAAGCAACTTAAGAAGTTTTAAACCCTAGGGCCTTCATTCCTTTTCTTAAAATAACCCTATCCTTTAAATCAACTAAGTTCTTTTCTGGAATCCTATTTGGAAAGTCTAGGAGATATGAGAATTTGAGCCAGATCAAGCCATAAGTGAAGAGCTAGAATAACCCAAAGCTGAAAATAAATTGTTTGTAGAGAGAGGAAACAAAGTTCTACAGTAGGTTCAAGCTCAGTTGAAGGTTAGAGGCCAGAGTGGAAGACACAGAAATGTTTTCAAGTTCCATGTAGGTGGGCTGGAGTTAAAGACATCCCACAGCTGTCAAAGGCCAGCCAAATCCTTTGGGATGGAACTTCTCATCACTTTCTGCTCTTCTACTGGCTCCTTCTACAACATCAGAGCTGAAAAATATAATATAAGTTTGGAATCTTCATTTGAAAATATCTGGGAATCACACACTCCCAAGTTTTTGAAGATCACTTAACCTTTTATTGTTTCAAAAAGAGCTTTCTCTCAGGTGTGAATCCGGGGAGCAAAAGAAGTCAAGTACATAAAGGCTTGTAAGTCTTTGTTCTCTTGTGGGAATTATTCTCCCATGGAATTACTGTGATTTTAAGACCCATTAAGGGAAACTGGCGTTCTGACTTTGATGTTCTGCCCTACATCATTGCTCAGGGTTGGCCTGTACCCTGGTTGAGCCTCAGTAATGCCTGTGTTGCAGGTCATGATCTTGCTTTGCAACCAGCAGAGCTTCATCTGCAGCCACATCGACTACTGCCAACCTCACTGCTATCTGCACCACAGCCGCTCCTGCGCCCGGCTGGTCAGGGCCATTAAGCTGCTCTACGGAGACACTGTGGACTCCCTCCGTGAGAGCAGCAGCTTCAGCAACGTGGCTCTCCGGGGCAAGAAGCAGAAAGAGGTGAGTGAATGATCACGTGATACAGACCAATGATCGGGAAAACAATGTCCTAACAATCTTTTCTCTGTAAATGCAAATTTCAGCCCACTGCAGTGGTATAAACCAGGCTACAGGTCTATGTGGGTTTCGAGCAAAGATAGACAATGGGTAGCTTCCCTGGGGGCTCAGCGGGTAAAGAATCTGCCTGCAATGCAGGAGACCTGGTTCAGTCCCTGGATTGAGAAGATCTCCTGGAGAAGGGAATGGCAACCCACTCCAGTATTCCTGCCTGGAGAATTCCATGGACACAGGAGCCTGGTGGGCTGCAGTTCATGGCATCACAGTCGCACGCAACTGAGCAACTAAAACTTTTACTTTAGAAGAGGGGTGCAAAAAAGACAAGTGCTTTGTCTTCATGTCCGTGAGCAAATATAGACTCTTTCTGTGGGTTTTGTCTTATTTCTACAAATAAATATAAACTCAAAGGGGCATTTTTGATGAGTTGCTGTGGTAGGCAGAATAATGTCCCCCTAAAGATGTCTGAATTCTAATCCTTGGAACCCGTGAATGTGCTACCTTACCTGGCAAAAGGGATCTTGCCTGGGTGAATAAGTCAAGAATCATATAATAGGAGATTATGCTGAATTATCCAAGTGGGCCAAACATAGAGATGGGAGTTATGACAATAAAAGCAGAAGGCAGAGCAATGCAGGGTATGAGCCTAGGCAGCCTCTGGGAGCTGGAGAGGACAAGGAAATGAATGAGTGCCCCAGAAGGAACACAGCCCTGCCGATCCATTTTCAACTTCTGACCTAGAAAACTGTCAAAATCATAAATCTGTGCTATTTTTTGCCAAGAAGATTGTGGTCATTTTTTATAGCAGTAGCAGGAAACTGATACAGTTTTACCTTAAGAAATAAGCAATAAATGGCCCAACTTTTCACTGACAAATAATAGAGTCAAATCAGACTAAAGGAAACATCTTCGAGAAATGATGACATTTTCTCAGTATTCAACTGTACTTTCCTGACAATTAGACAGCTGAGCTGGCTGAAGATGAAGACAGTAACCAGGGTTGCCGTGTTCCTGCCAGGGAAGCCCTGAGTTACCCACCTGCCCCCGAGAAGGCATGATAGCCATCACGTGCTGCCGGCCGCATCTGCAGCTGCTTCTCTCAAGTGGTTTTGCCAAAAGATTTTTATATAATACCTATTCATTTCAGTGAGCATTCATTGGGCACCTGCTGTTGGCACAATATGAGGCCAGATATTCTTGGAGAAACAAAAAATAAGTAAGTAGGAGCAGAGGATCTTTCTACTAAAGAGTTTGTGAGCCAAGTTTGGTAAGGTAGAAGGATGGCAATAAAACACAAATCAAACTAGAGAATATAAGCAATAACAAAAATGCACAGTTGAGTTGTATAGCAGTTTGTAATGCTTTCAGTTCAGTTCAGTTACTCAGTTGTGTCTGACTCTTTGTGACCCCATGAGCCCCAGCACAGCAGGCCTCCCTGTCCATCACCAACTCCTGGAGTCCACCCAAACCCATGTCCATCGAGTCAGTGATGCCATCCAACCGTCTCATCCTCTGTCATCCCCTTCTCCTCCTGCCCTCAGTTTTTCCCAGCATCTGGGTCTTTTCAAAGGAGTCAGCTCTTCACATGAGGTGGCCAAAGTATTGGAGTTTCAGCTTCAACATCAGTCCTTCCAATGAACACCCAGGACTGATCTCCTTTAGGATGAACTGGTTGGATCTCCTTGCAGTCCAACTCTCAAGAGTCTTCTCCAATACCACAGTTCAAAAGCATCAATTCTTCTGTGCTCAGCTTTCTTTATAGTCCAACTCTTTTTAAATTATGAAAGTACAAGGAAGTGACTTTGGCTAATATAAGAGCTCCTAGAGAAAAAAATGTATATCTTATACATCTCATACATGTGCTAATTTCCCTTCTGGGATATGACCTTTTAGTGTTTTTTCTGAAACATATATATGACAAAGTATACATCATTGACAATGTACTTTTCAATTCTTACAAACCTTCTTCAGTAGATACTCTTCACCCCATTTTACAGATGAAAACGTTGAAGTTTAAAAAGATGGGATTGTCCACAATCCCATTGTCCTCAATTTCTAGAATATATTCAGCTAGCCTTTAGGTTAGGAACATGGATTATCAAAATCAGGGCTTTTTCAACTAAACTCTCTTACATCTCATGGTATTCAGAAAACACAGATTCTAAGGGAAGATCCAGTCCCATCACTTCATGGCAAACAGATGGGGAAAGAGTGGAAACAGTGGCTGACTTTATTTTTCCATGCTCCAAAGTCACTGCAGATGGTGATTGCAGCCATGAAATTAAAAAATGCTTACTCCTCGGAAGGAAAGTTATGACCAACCTAGATAGCATATTAAAAAGCAGAGACATTACTTTGCCAACAAAGGTCCATCTAGTCAAGGCTATGGTTTTTCCAGTGGTCATGTACGGATGTGAGAGTTGCACCATAAAGAAAGCTGAACACAGAAGAATTGATGCTTTTGAACTATGGTGTTGGAGAAGACTCTTGAGAGTCCCTTGGACTGCAAGGAGATCCAACCAGTCCATCCTAAAGGAGATCAGTCCTGGGTGTTCATTGGAAGGACTGATGTTGAAGCTGAAACTCCAATACTTTGACCACCTGATGTGAAGAGCAGACTCATTTGAAAAGACCCTGATGCTGGGAAAGATTGAGGGCAGGAGGAGAAGGGGACAACAGAGGATGAGATGGTTGAATGGCATCACAGACTTGGTGGGCATGGGTTTGGGTGGACTCCGGGAGTTGGTAATGGACAGGGAGGCCTGGCATGCTGGGGTTCATGGGGTTGCAGAGAGTTGGACACAACTGGGTGACTGAACTGAACTGAAGGGAAGATCAGGCGGGAAAATTACATAAACTGCTAAATGATGACATAAAAAGAAAAATATATATGTGCATATATTCTTGTACATGTATACATATATATGGACATGTCATTTCTGTTTGAAATGTATGTATGTACATACCTATCTATATACATATATATATATTTGTACATATATGTATCTTAAACATAAATGATACTGCATCCAAAGAAAACTTATTTAGATAAGTTATCCTTCCCATAAAAACTCCCTTACCTATGTAAAAAAACCTGTAAAATATATTGAAAATTATAAAAATACACCAAACTAAATTAATGTTCATTGTTCACCATGTACACGCTGAGATTTCTTACTTCCATACCTTTGCTCCGGTCATATCTTTACCTGTAATTTATATGTGGCTGAACCCAAACATCCTTCAAGATCCAACTCAAGAGCCACCTCCTCCTTGAAACCTTTTCTGATCTCCCTAGTGTTCACCACAGGACATACTGCAGGTGGATGATTAATTTCATTTTTTTGTTCCCTTCTTCCTCTAAACTATAATAGTGTTTTATTCTGCTTTTCATATTATTCATTCAATGATTCATTCATTAATTCACCCACTAATCCATGTGTCTATTCGACAAATTTTATTTTATTTATTTATTTTTTATTCGACAAATTTTAAAGACTTTCTGGACCATACTGAGTCCATGCTGTGTGCTGGATATAATAATGGCCACAGAGATATGGCACTCTCCTTGTACGATGCATACAGTCTAGCTGAGAGACAGAAATTAATTAACTAAGCATCCCTAAGTTGGTGTAAAATTGCAGCAGCAATAAGCACAATAAAGGAGAGAACTCTGTGCTGAAATCTTATGAACAAGGCTTTGAACTTATCGGGGGAGATAAGGCAGTATCTCCAGTAAAGTCACAGATGAGTTTTGGCTGAAGGATGCCTAGATGTTAACTGAACACAGAATTCTCCAACCAGAGAGAAGAGGGAGTGCCAAGGCTGAGGACGAGGTTCAACCTGGTCTGCGCTTTGCTTGCTTCTGCAGCCTCGTTATGTACTGCGGTCGTCTGAGCCCTTGTCCTCTGAAGCTGTGGGAAGGATTTTAGTCTTTATCCTGTGATAAAGCACTGAGAGCTTCTACAATCCCTCTGCCTACAAAGTGGGGCTACTTACATCCCTATTTCTCTTCTGCCACTTAATTATAAAATTTCATGAGAACTGAGGCAGTCTTACACATTTTGTATCCTGTGTAATACCTAACAGAGAACCTCCCTATAGCAGAGGGACAATAATATTGAGTGAGCGAGTGGGCTTTAGGGTTCTAGCGTGTTTCATGAGTGCCCTCCACTTCTGGCCCATGCAGGACAAAGCAGCCTGAAGCAGCAGAAAATGTTACCAACCTTACAGATTGCTCACATTTCTGAAGTGTGAGTGTAAGTGAAAGTCGCTCAGTCATGTCCGACTCTCTGCAACCCCACGGACTGTAGCCTGTTCTCCAGGCCAGAATACTAGAGTGGGTAGCCGTTCCCTTCTCCAGGGGATCTTCCCCAACCCAGGGATTGAACCCACGTTGCAGGCAGATTCTTTACCGTCTGAGCCACGAGGGAAACCCCACATTTCTGAAAGGAAAAGGGAAAGAAAACAAGGGTAAATGTTCCCTAACCTTAACACATTTAAATTAGTCATGCCAGTGGAGAGCTGAAAAGACGTATTGAGTCTTCAGAGATAAACATTATATTTCCAAAATGCCAGCCTCCTGTTCAAACTTTTTCTTTTCATTTTCTCCTGATGTTTCCATTTGCCTGTTCTGAATTTGTCACATAAATGAACAATGTGCACATTTCCAGAGCCCAAATGAAAACAGAATAGGCCATAAATCAAGACTAAAAGCAGTGGTTCTGATTAAAATAAAGACTTAGAGCAATTGGTATTTCATTCCTGTTTTCTTTTTAATCAGTTTTTATGGCAGAATATATTTGTGGCAGCTAGTACATTTTGTAACCCATCTAACTCTGATCAATATGCTAATCTTCATTTCAGTGCTCAGAGCCTCACTGTATATTCTGTTAGCCTGGTTAGTGCATTTCTAACCTTGTTATATATCACTTTCACCAAAAGGTAAATTCACCAAGGAATTCTTTGATTTTTCCTATATGTCTGTACCTTGTCTAATGCTATATTCTAAATAGAGTACATGTTCAATTAGTACTTGCTAATGGAAATGGGAGTGGATAAAACTTTTTTTTTCCTTTCAGTTTAAAAGGAGAGGTAAATAAAAGGTTGGAGAAGGAAATGGTAACCCACTCCAGTATTTGCCTGGACAATCCCATGGACAGAGGAGCCTGTCAGGCTATGGTCAATAGGGTCACACAGAGTTGGACACAACGGAAGTGACTTATCATGCATCATGCAAATAAAAGGATGTTTGTTTGTTGTTATTTACTCGCTAAGTCATGTCTGACTCTTTCTGACTCCATGGACTGTAGCCTGCCAGGCTCCTCTGTCCATGGGATTTTCTAGGCAAGAATACTGGAGTGGGTTACCATTTCCTACTTCAAGGGATCTTCCTGCCCCAGGAATCGAACCTGCATCTCCTGCCATTTGAGGCAGATTCTTTAACAATGAGCCACCTGGGAAGCACCTACTAATAACCAATAGATGCCTTCAAAACTAGTCTCCTACACCAAGCTACCAAATCAAAAAGCAACTGAAGATAACTTTGTTAGTCTGAGTCAGAGTCACACCAGTGTAGGACTTCAGGAACCTCACGTAATATACTGAAATGCCCCTCACATATGTACCCATCTTTAATATCTATCTTTTAGGCCCAAACAGGTCACTCAAGGAGAGTTATTAGCCCATCACCCTTGTGTAAAAGCCTTTCCAATTCCCTTCCCTTTCCACTGTAACAAACATCCTAATTATCTTGAAGCTGGCAGAACATACCGTGCTTAAGCATGCATGCTGAGATACACATATTTGATACCTGAGAAGCTTGACTTATACCCTCTGTCCCCAGCAGACAGAATTAAACAGAAGTCTACATTTCCCAGAGTGTGAGAGACATAAATGTTTGTCCTTTTTCTTCTGAGTATTTTTCTTAATCAGAAAGAAAATTCTGGTTAAAATTCCCATAAATTAATCAAAAGTATTATTCAGAAGTAACCCTGAAAGGACAAAATGTCCAGCCAAAGGAGAAAGCAATAAAATATTCTAAAAATTCAAAAACCATATTTTAAAATAACTGTAATGACCTGGGGAAATCATCATCATAATATCATCATTAAATGAAATGTCTAAAACTGTGTGCCACTCATTCTGGATGGGAAGGGAGTTTGGAAGAGAATGGATATATGTGTATGTATGGCTGAGTCCCTTCACTGTTTCCTTGAAACTATCACAACATTGTTAATCGACTCTACCCCAATACAAAGTAAAAAGTTAAAAACCAAAACTGTGAGCCACATACATAGCGTCACCACAGCTTTGCTGTGTAGGGGGACAAAAGTCCGAAAGAAATCAAACAATGACCATCCCGGAGTTGGGTATTATGGAGATTTTGGTTTCTTTCTTCATAGTTTTTCTGTATTTTCCAGGTATTCTGCAATTTGCATGCATTTTTTTTTCCATTTATTTTTATTAGTTGGAGGCTAATTACTTTACATCATTGCAGTGGTTTTTGTCATACATTGACATGAATCAGCCATGGGTTTACATGTATTCCCCATCCCGGTCCCCCCTCCCACCTCCCTCTCCACCCGATCCCTCTGGGTCTTCCCAGTGCCCCAGGCCCGGGCACTTGTCTCATTGCATGCATTTTTTATAGATAGAATAAAAGCAGAAAGTTGCTGCTTTTAGAATACCTTGGCTTTTCAAAAAGTAAATCAGATATACTGCCACATTTATATGGAAAATGATTGCTATATATGACTTTAGAATAGCTTTAAAATTATATAAAATAGGCACAATGTTTATATTATATATTGTTTTTACTTTCACAAGGGGAAAAAAAAGCAATGCAGAATTTCTCTCCCCAAATGATATGTGTTCCCAAGTATATGCCTCCAGTATTTTTTTAATCTTTAGAAAACACAGTTAGAACTCTGGTTCATTTGTTTCCAAGTAGATTCATTTAAAAGTTCATTCCATACCAGTCACATAATAGATGCATTGTCTTGGGTCTTTTTGTCAGTTTTGAAAGACTTTCTTGGAACATGCATGTAGTTTCAGCTTTGCTTTTTCTTTCAAAATATTTCCATCTGTAACACTGTGAAGCTCTGTTCAAAAATTCTTAAGGAGTTCATTTTTTTTTTTCCCTTGGCATTGAGGGAGAGAGTGTTTCATTGACATGGCACTGAAAAAACAAATGAGCCCTTATACTGTGCAAAGGGATGGATTCCCTTTTTGCACAGCCTGGAGTGCAAAAATAGGAGACATCAGGACTCAGGATAAATACACAAGGGCCTGCCAACATCAGAGTGAACATCCTCCCAGCTGTTCTGTCCACTCCATTCCTCGTCATGGAGAGAGTCAGGGGAAGAAACTGTCTCCTCTGTGTGAGTGCTAATGAGTCAGGGCTATTTTACCCCGGTTGAGGGGATGGTTTGAAAGAAGAGCTGCTGTCTCATATAGACAAATATGATTTAAAAAAAAAAACACACTTTTGGATGATAGATGATTATGAACTCATATTGCCTTGATGGGTCTTTTACCTTTCACTTCCTAACACTTCCCTGTGAAATATTTTCTCTTCCAATTGATTGACTTGTAGCATCCAACCCTTTAGAGGGACTATTAGAGAGAGTGGATTTTACTGACAATATTTTAAAAGATTTGTGCTTTTAACAGCTTCGTGGAAAAATAATTAGCCTTGAAATGTAAGTCGGGAGAGCCTGTCCTTTCCTTATTCTGCTAATGACCAGCTTTGCAGTTTGGTCAAGCTACTCTATGGGCTTCCCAGGTGACAATAGTGGTAAAGAACCCACCTGCCAGTGCAGATTAGACGTAAGACACACCAGTTTGATCCCTGGATTGGGAAGATCCTGGAGAAGGGAATGGCAATCCACTCTAATATTCTTGCCTGGAGAATCCCATGGACAGAGGAGCCTGGCAGGCTACAGTTCATAGGGTCGCACAGAGTTGGACACTACTGAAGCGATTTAGCCCAGCAAGCTACTCCACCTCTCTGGATTTGATCTCCTCAGTGGTAAAAGAGGAGTTTGTTGCTAAAAATCTCTAAGTGCCCTTTTCACAACAAACTTAACTGCTTTTATCACTTTCAGAAAGTGCAGACCCATGAAAAGGCCTTAAATCATCTGTTGCATTAGAAGTGGTTATCTGGAGAATTGGGAGAAAAACAGCATTGCTGGTTTTTGAGAGGGCACAACACTCTATCTCATGTTCTTTGCAGTGCTCAGATAAATCATGCCTGAGGACACCTTCTCTGAAGAAGAGAGTTTCAGATGCCAGCCTGGAGGGGAAGAAAGACTCTGGAATGCTGAAATACATTAGACTACAGGTATTAATACATGGTTTGAAAAATTCATGAAGTAGGAATAGGGAGGGAACTTCAGATATCCTTATTACTAATGTTTGGAAAAGACCCTGATGCTGGGAAAGATTGAGGGGAGGAGGAGAAGGGAGCAACAGAAGACAAGATGGTTGGATGACATCATTGGCTCCATGGACATGAGTTTGAGCAAACTCCAGGAAATAGTGAATGATGGGGAAGCCTGGTGTGCTGCAGTCCATGGGGTCACAAAGAGGGGGACACGACTGAGCAGCTGAATGACAAAGAAAGTGTGGGATATAAAGTGCCAATTGGCACAGTGTTGGCATAACAGCCCCCTCTAATTTGGTGAGAAAGAGTGCTACCAAGTGTGCAAGAAAAAAATCCCTTCTTGCTGGACAGTCAACTTGCATAAAGACAAGGAAGCTTGGCTAGAGCCAGGCCTCTTTCCACTCCAGTGGAGCCAGCTTCCCACCAGTGTGTGGTAGTGATGCTCACAGGTCTTGGAATGAGACAATCTGGATTCAGATCCTATACCTACTGCTCTGGCTCTGGGACCTTGGGCAAGTTAAGTTAATTTCTCTTAGTTTTAGTTGCTTGATCTCTAAAATAGGGATTTTAACACTGGACCCATTTCAAAGGATCATTGTGTGAATTGAAAGAGATAGTACACTTACCTACTTATCCAGGGCTTCACAAAGTTATATTGTGAACCTATATTACAACCTAAACTCTATATCATAATACATTTCCCAGGGGAAGAGAGAAAAAAATTTCATGTTTTTCTAGAAAGTGTTTTAAATGATGGCTAAAGACAGGCTTGCCCCAAACTGACATTTTTTTACCTCAATTATTTAAAATAATGGATTAAATAGTATTTTGTGGGCTAACCTGGACTAATAACCACACTGTATAATATTTTGAAGGAAAAATACCATCCAAGTTCACTGGCTTAGAAAACTAACTTTCTGAATGGAACTCCTTTATAAATTAGAGGCTGCTCACAGTTTTCAGTGGAAATCATTCCTAATAGGAAGGAAAATAAGATGCTGTGAAGGTCCACCAGGACTTTTAACACAAAGATTTACTGACTGAAATCCTTTTTTCTCAGAGAGCTGTACTTATTCTACAGTTTATTCCCTAGGTGGTTACAAATTACTTTTGTGGTGTAAGTGTTATAAAATAATATAATTTGGGAAAATTATACATCAACTAATAGGGTATAAAACTTACTTACTATACATCATGCCAGATATGTTCCCACTTTAAAAAGTATTTTAAGGTCATTTAAGGAAAGCAGAAAGAGAAGTGACACTTAACTTTCAAGAGGAGGACAACAACCAGTGTCTTCGACGGTTTTAAGACATCATTTCCATCTTTTTTGCAGGTGATGAGCCTGTCGCCTGCTCCCTTATCTCTACTGATCAAGGCCGCACCAGTTCTGACAGAGGAGATGTATGGAGATATCCAGCCGGCTGCCTGGGAACTCCTGCTCAGCATGGATGAGCATATGGCGGGGGCAGCAGGTAAAGCCAGGCCACCCACGACCCCGGTCCTGCTGCCATTCATCCCAGCGTCTCAACAAGAGCGAGGCGCATTCATTCCATCTTCACACTGAGGTCACATCGACAGCAGTGGCTGGACCTCTAGGCAGAGCTGTGCGCCAAAGGGAAACAGGCTTAGGCTCTCTGTATACACTTTTCACGTCCCTGTGTAGTCTGCACAAAGGCAGCCTGTCTCTCCCAGGATGTTAAAAATTACAGTGATTTCCCCCAGAACCTACATCTTCACTATATTTCACAGAAGATTCTTTTGTGTATGTTGTGATTTCCCAGATTGACCGTGAACTACCATCATTAATTTTATTAAATCTTAGGTAAGTCATGTTCCGTGTTCAAATTACAATATTGAAACAAATATCTAAAATTTAAGTGATGTGTCCAAAGCCATGTAGCTAGTACATGGTAGAGCCAAAAATCTGGATTCTTCATCACTTTCTACTTTTTGTGCATATTCCTTTAGTTTTGTATGGTTACTTTAATTGAAAAATACATAATAAAAATTCAAATAATGTAAAAGTGTATGAAATTTAAAACTGTCACCCTCCATTCCATGACTCCTAGTCCTCTTTCTCAGAGGTGGCAATTTTTAAATTTCCCAGGAAACCTTCTATAAACTATGCATATATAGTACTTTTGATGTCACAAAGCACTTTTTCATATATTATTTTATTTTATTCTAACAAGATATTTGGAGGCAGCTACATCATCATCATCATCATCATCATCAGTAGTGATGTTTTACCAATAGAGAAACACAGACTAAGACATTAAGGGACTTGGCCAAGTTCAGTTTCAGAGCTGTGACTCAGCCCCAGTTATCCTAAGAGTTGGCTGAGCATGTCTTGAGGTTGTGGGGGAAAGTACAATGGAAATTTTAAATAATATGTTTATAATTGACACTGGCTTCTCTATAGCGTAGACAGTACTCTTTTTTTTTTTTTCTCATTATTCATTGACTTTGTAACTTACCATGGAATGACCTTCTCTTCCTAGTATTTGGCTTTCCCCAAATTAAAAAACAACAATGATATTATGTTTCATAAATTCTCTGTTGGTTTCTCAAACTATTCTACCTCTTGGAAGGGTAGATGTTTCTAATTGAGACTACCTTTTGAATTTTATTGTTACTATAACTAATGTAACTTTAATGGACATTTTTATGTACCATCCTAGGGTTACTCTGAGATGACTCTAGACATTTCCTAAAAAGGATATTTCAGCATGCAATTTCCTTTTTTCATCAGCTTCCTCTGCCATTGACTTTTCACTGTGAGCCAAGGGAAACGTTGCTTAAAATGAGATTTCCATGGCAATGTCATGCCGTCTCTGCCCTCACACCAGATGTTAGAAGATTGTGGGTGGTACAAAGAATGGTGCCTGGTTTCCAGTGGCTGAAACAGGGTTTTCTGCTGGTGGCCTGACTGTATAGCTCAGTGGTCGTTTTCAAGAGACAGAAGCAGTTTCCTCCTTCCCCTCATCCCCAGGAATCATACAACTTAAAAGATGTGTAGCTGATGGATTGTTGACTATCTTTAGCGGCCATGTTCCTGTTGTGTGCGGTCAAAGTCCCCGAGGCTGTGTCCGATATGCTGACGTCAGAGTTTCACCATCCAGAGACTGTGCAGAGACTGAACGCCGTCCTAAAGTTCCACACGCTCTGGAGGTTTCGCTATCAGGTCTGGCCCCGAATGGAAGAGGGAGCCCAGCAGATTTTTAAGGTGAGGGATACTTCTGGGATAATCCCATGGACAGAGGAGCCTGTGGGCTCCGTAGAGTTGCAAACAGTCTGACATACTGAGTGTGCATATGCATGCATGCGCACACGCGCACGCGCGCGCGCACACACACACACACATTTCTCACATGGGCATTAGATTAGCAAAGCCAACCCAAGGTTCATTTCAATCCTGCAACTTCAAATCCACAGTATACGGCCAAGAGATGCTTCTTTTTTCCCCTTCTCTGGTTTTATAAGTAAACCTAACTCCAGTATAAATGAATTCTTGTTCTTAAAAAGATTAAAATATACAGAAAGGTAAAGTAAGAAAATCAAATTTCTATAAACCTCAAGATCACAGTACCATCCCCAGAGGTAAGCACATAAAACTTGCAGACATTTCACTATATATACACAGATGTTTTTGGAGGATGGGGTAATTAACACAAATAGAGATCATACAGTTGAAACCCTTCATTTTATAAATGAGTAAAGTGAGGCCCAGAGACATTCATCGTGTGTTTTGTAACAGCCTGTGCTCTGTAAGATTATTTCATGATTTTACTTCAGACTCAATCTAGTTTATTTCCCATCTTACTTCATTCCTCTGGTATCAACTAACAGATCCCACCTCCCAGTATAAATTTCACCCTGCCATCACCCGTGCTCGGAATGCCATCCGTCCCGATGTTTGACCCTCCCTGGGTCCCTCAGTGCAGCGGGAGTGTCCAGGACCCCATTAATGAAGACCAGTCTGTGAGTAGTGGACCCTTCCTTTCTTGTATCTTCAGGTTCCATGGTATACTTAGAAGAGAGAAGAGCAATGAGTGTGAGAGACAATGTGTTCTTGTCATCAGAATATAATAACACAGAAGAACAGCCACAAAAGTGCTTTAGTTCTTCTGAAATAGAACAGAGGGAACTAACTTCTGGGGTGAGCATTTGCAGACCTGCAAGCTAAGACAGTTTTTTCTATAATTCAAAGCAGCAGCTGCCTTATAAAGCTATTAAAACCATTAGGCACTGGTTTCTTAGCCCAAGGTAGCACTTTTGCCGCTTTTTATTACAGAACAATTTATTTAATCTATATATGCTATCCAAGGTGCTTCCCTGGTGGCTCAAATGGTAAAGAATCTGCTTGCAATGCTGGAAATCTGGGTTCGATCCCTGGGTTGGGAAGATTCTCTGGAGAAGGGCATGGCAACCCACTTCAGTATTCTTGCCTGGAGAATCTCCACGGACAGACAAGCCTGGTGGGCTATCGTCCATGGGATCGCAAAAAGTCGGACATGACTGAGCGACTGATACGGCACAGCACACTATCCAAAAGTGAATGATATTGGCCCTGGATGAATAAGAAAAAGAACTGAGTTGGCTGCTCTTATTTTCCTTATTTGGCCTTAGTCTGGTTTTTACCTTGTTGATCATCAGTATCATCATCACAAACATCACTCAGAGACCTCAGGTGCATCCTATTCTAATTTATCACTGCTCTATGTAATATAATTAATAAAGAGCTAACTTTAGAACAGTCTATTTATAAACAAGAACCAAGAATATGTTCCCTTTGAAAAAACTAAATCTTCAAAATATGCCTTTTTCACGTGTTACATAGCATTTTTCTAAATTTCAAGAGTAATGTAGAAAATTTTGGAAAGCAAAGCAAGAAATAAAGAACATATCTCTATACACAAATTCATGATTATTTCCTTGCATAGTTTCCCATAAGATTTAGGGCAATCAATATGTGAAGATTAAAGATTTTTGATAGATCTCACAAAATATTCCCGGGACAATTGTACCATTTTACTCTCATACAACAGAATGGGAAAGCATCTTCCTTATTCAAATTAACTAGTGTTATCTTTTAATGCCACAGTGAACAGCAAAAAAACAAAGTTATTAGCTTTTTTATTCACATGTCATTAAGTTTGTTGAATATATGAAGTGAGGTTGAATATTTTTGCATGTCACATATATTTTCTAGCCTTTTGTAGTTTTCTTTGGAGAACTGTTTATTTGAATTCTTTACCCATAAGAATACTTTTATTTTAATTCTTCTGCATACACTACCTTCATATCTCATGGTTTTGTGCCAAAGATAAAGGCACACTTGGTTCTTCCTCATATATGTAGTAATTGGAGCATCTGAACCACTGGAATAAAGTGGTATAAAGATCTGGTATACCACTGGTATAAAGATCTTTAGTTTTTCTCCCATATATGTGATGGAATCATTAGAGTCAAGTCCATCCTCTCTCCCAAGTTCACAGTGAATTTCAAGCCAAGTCCTCTGATTCTATATTTAGTTCTCTTTTCCTTATTCCACAATTCTCACTTTGTCTTATTATAATCAACCAACTTGACCCCTGACTCTGAAAATGAATCGCTACATGGCCCATCAATGCCCTTGATTGCTGTTATGTCATTCATTATAGGAAACTTTTAGTCTTATGTTAAGATGCTGCATAAAGGGAGCTTTAATGACTGTAGTCCTTCGGAAGAGTGACCAGTACCCCTTGTCTGTGTCTTAAATCCTACAGACCACGGGCCAACAAAGGCATGTAGAATTCCTACTGTACATAGACATCAAACTGGTAGTGGAGAATGTCAGTGATCACTTCCCTGTTCTGACACCAATGGCTTTATCCCGAGAGCTCTTGGAATTTGTCTCAGCATAAGCATCATGATTAAGACAAACAGAATGGCACTTTGCAGAGTGAATCTTGTCTCCTTTATTGTTTCTTATCTATTATGCTTTTGCTGCTGGTAAACAGAGTCAGATTTTACATTCAACCTTAGTAACACCACCAACTCATGGTTTCCATTCAGTTGCTTTGTTTCTACAAATATTGATAAGTACTTATAGCGTGCCACTGTATTTCTATGAATATTTGTTATATGTTGCTAATATTATTTAATATTAATATTTCTAAATAGTATTTACAGTGTGATAGATACATAAGACACAAAAATGAAATAAATCACATAATTAATTGTTTATATGAGAGATAGATCTCTTTCCTCCTCCTTCCCATGGTTCTGACTTTCTCTTTTATTAACCTTACAAAATAAATGTCCTTCATTTAAAATCAGTTCAAGAAATTTTGGTAAGAAAGAGAGTATTAAGAATGTTTCTTTGATGTCAGTGTTTAAAGAGTGAATCATTGATCTTTTTTATCCTAAAAGTGAAAAAAAAAAGACTGTTTCTAGAAATTACAAACATCTTTGAAGAATTATTCAGACTGAATGAAAAAGAATAGCTTAGTTATACTGAGCCTGGAAACTTGATAGAAAAAGAAACAAATAAATAACATGAAACTAGATCACGATGCCCTAACATTTCCTGAGGACAAAGTACCACATCTGAGTCATTCAGTAGACCACTCTTGTCTGTGACCATGCAGAAGAGTTGCCAGTAAACAAACTTGCCTTCATGTCTCCATAGAAATCCTTTTCAGCCCGGGCTGTGTCCCGCTCCCATCAAAGGGCAGAACACATCTTAAAGAACTTGCAACAGGAGGAAGAGAAGAAGCGTCTTGGTCGAGAAGCCAGCCTCATCACCGCCATCCCTATCACCCAGGAGGCTTGCTACGAGCCCACCTGCACGCCCAACTCAGAGCCAGAGGAAGAAGGTGCCTCTGCACACTGGACTTCTTGGAGGGCTGGGTCTCAGAAAAGGGAAGGACGTGCTTTAAAGTAAACACTGACAATTTCATGTGACTTGAGGTGATAAGCGCCCTCTCTCTCTCACTTGCCTCCTGACACTATCTAAAGAAAGAGAAAATTTGTCTTTTTCTAAATGTTTAGAGCTGACCTGTTTATGGAAAAGGACATTAGCCACATTGAATGAACTAATATGATAATGGATCAAGCAGTGACTATGATTCAGGCAACAGCTGAACTCAGAGTGTATGCTAAAATATATTCAATCAGTCTTTCATCATTAAAAATGGGGTCAGTCCATTAGCTGCTTTCAACCTTCACAAGTACTGGCAGTTTGTCAGAAAATGATTTATGGGGACTTCTCGGGCCATTTAGTGGTTAAGACTTTGCGCTTCCAACACAGGGGGTGTGGGTTTGATCTTTGGTCGGGGAAATAAGATCCACATGTGCTGCATGGCCAAAATATATCTGTGTGTGTGTGTGTGTGTGTGTGCGTGTGTGTGTGAATACACATCAATAATGGAGAAGGAAATGGCAATCCACTTCAGTATTCTTGCCCAGAAAGGCCCATGAACAGGGGATCCCAGCAGGCTACAGTCCACGGGGTCACAAAGAGTCAGGCACGACTGAGTGACTAACACACACACACATATCAATAAAAATGGAAGAAAATAAGTATAGACAAAAAATTGTAAAGAAAATAATTTATGAACCATTCTAAATTCAGTGATTTTCCGCCCTGCTTTTGTGAAATTTTGGGGAGGAATTTTCTGTCACTCTTTCTGCGTTTTGTCCTTTCCTGAGTACACTCTAAATCATTTAAAGCACGTTCTGAGAGCTATATACACTTCGATGTAAGTACAAGTGTAGTTGTGATGATAACCGTTGTTACAGAACCAAAGTTCACATTCCCTGTTTTCTTTGCCAGTAGAAGAAGTCACCAATCTGGCCTCTCGTCGACTGTCTGTGAGTCCGTCCTGTACCTCCAGCACTTCCCACAGGAATTACTCCTTCCGCCGAGGATCGGTCTGGTCAGTGCGTTCAGCCGTCAGTGCTGAAGGTGTGTCCTCTTACAAATGTGTGCTTTATTCCTTATGTGTGTGAAATCACTTCATGACTTCATTACACTGCTTTCATTAAATAACTTGCTTCCTGAGTTGAAGTTCTGAGAAGATAGATTGAGTGGTATTCTAAAAAAAAAAAAAAATTGTTGATTTAATGCAACAAATGTCCTTGATAAGTTGATCCTATTTTAATTACATTAATATAATCATATTGCTGAGGGTTTAGTAAAACATTATTCTAGGCAGTTTTCAACCCTGACTACACATTGCAGTCAACCAGGGAGCTTTTTTAAAATGTCCAGGTAACACCCAAGATCAAATCAGAATCTCTAAGGGTGGACTCACCACCTCAGTGTTTTTAAAATTTACTCAGGTGATTTTAGTATGCAACTAAGAGTCAGCGGGATGTTTTAGGATGCTGTTCTGGAATAACAATAATCAAAGAACAAAGCTCATGCCACTCCTGTAATGAAACCTGATTCCAGAGGAGAAGTGTGATGCTCTTCAGGTCCAAGAATTTATAAACTATGCCTCTCTAATGATGAGGAACTTTCTGGGACTCACTGCTTTGTGATTATACAGATTTCATCACTGATTTATGAAGTCATCAAAAAGTTAGACAGAAACCAGTTGTTCTCAACCCTTTATTGCACAGCCCTGGAAAGCTTCAAATGCTAACTAATCACAACTTACAGGACGGGGGCCCAACGATACCTATATTTTTTATAGCACCTTTACTGAGATATAATTTACATACCATAAAATTCACCCTTTTGAAGTATGTAATGCAATTGGTTGATAGTATATTTGTAGAGTTTGCAACTGTCACTGCTACTTAGTTTCAGAATATTTTCATTATCCCCAAACAGGGGTATCTTACACCCTTTAGAAGTCACTCATCCACCACTTCCCCCAACTCCAAGAAGAAGTAGTCTACTTTCTATTTCTATGGACTTGCCTATTCGGCACATTTTATAGGAATGGAACCATACAGGACATGGCATTTTGTGACTAGATTCTTTCACTCAGCATAATATTTTCAAGGTTGACCCATTTGTCACATGTATCAGTTCTTCATTCCTTCTTATCACATTTTGCTGATCACTTCATCAGTTACTAGACATTTGTGTTGTTTTCATCTCAGTTACTATGAATTATGATGCTATGAGAAGTTACGTGTAAATTTTGTTAGGAATATTGTCAAGCTACTTCATAAGTTTCTGTATCATTTTATATTCTTATCAAAAAGTGTGAAGGCTTCAGTTGTTCCACACCCTTGAAAAGACACGGTAATCTTGCAAATGAAGAACAAATTTGGAAAACTCACATTTCCTAATTTCAAAACTTACTACAAAGCTGCAGTAATCAAGATTGTGTGGTATTGACTTGAGGATTGATATACAGATCAACGGCATAGGTTGGGACCAGAAGTAAACCATTGCATGTATGTCAGTTTCATGTTTAGAAAGGGTGCCATGAAACTTCAATGGGGAAAAAAGAGTCTTTTCAGCAAGTGGTGCTGTGACAGCTAGATGTCTACACACACCAAAAAAGCATTCTATAGGCAGGCCTTGAATTGAGAAATGTTGTTGTGTTAGAATGTTCTGAGAATGTCCCTAGCACTGAGAAAAGCTTCCCGGTTATGTCTCCCTCCTCAGATGAGGAACACACCACCGAACACACGCCCAACCACCACGTGCCTCAGCCCCCGCAGGCTGTGTTCCCAGCATGCATCTGTGCAGCCGTGCTCCCCATTGTCCATCTGATGGAGGACGGTGAGGTGCGAGAAGATGGAGTGGCAGGTATGGCTCTGACTAGTAAAACCATCTAGTAAATACTTGAGGTATTCCTCTGACAAAGGACAGTTGGGTGCTCTTGAAGACATGAACCATTGGCCACACATGGCGTTCTTTTATGCACACGTTATATTTACAGATTTGCTATACACTGAACTAACACTGTCACTTCCTTCACGTTGTCCTCTCATAACCTTTATGACCAAGAAATTGCATTTAAAATACGTAGTTTGGTCCAGGAGTGTTGTTTATGTCCAGAGAACAGAGCAATGCTTATTTGACCTCATGGGAACCAAATAGTGATTTTAGCCACCTTAGAAATCTTAGTTATTGGCTTGACATCTTTAATACCATCTTTCTCAGTTGATGACCTTTTCAGAGGTAGTATCTATAGAGGATAGCTACAAAATGAAATTATAAATGAGGGGTAAAGATGAGTTACATTTGTGACAGATAACAGATTAATATTATTTTTTAAAAAACCTTTTTAACTTAATAATGACTTTTTAAAACCCCAATAGAGAAATAGACAAAGGATATAAACACACAATCCAATGGCCAATATCATCTATAAATAACACTGTTGTTTAAAACAACAATGAAATCTTACTTTTAGTATAAAAAATTGCAAGGATTATTTTAAACAAAAATATACATAGTTGGTAAATATTCAGAGAAAAGAGCATTATCACACCTTGCTGATGGCAGTAAAAATCTAATGCAAGCATCTTGAAACAGTGTCACAGTGTGCATCATAAAAGCCTTAAAAGTATGAACACCCTTTGACACAGATTTTGATCTCTAGCAATTTCCTAAGGTAGTATTGAGAGGTGAATAAAGGTTTATATAGAATACTGAACATTGAACATATTAGAAAGAACAAATATTTGAAAATATTATAATAGCTGACAATAGGATATTAGTTCATTGTGGTATTTCCAAATGACAGCATTCTGTGCACATTAGAAATAATATGCTAGAAAAATATTAATATGATAAGTGTTCAATTTCTTGCTAATTAAAAATGTGAGTACCTAAGAGTATTTTCTATACAATATTATTTAAAGATACATGTAAATATATATTTCATGTGTATGAAAAATCATACTCTGAAATGTTTATAGTTGTTTTGAAGAGGGGAGTGAAAAAGTTGGCTTAAAACTCAACATTCAGAAAACTAAGATTATGGTACCAGGTCCCATCACTTCACGGCAAATAGAAACAATGGAAACAGTGACAGATTTTATTTTCTTGGGCTCCAAAATTATGGCAGATGGTGACTGCAGCCATGAAATTAAAAGACACTTGCTCCTTGCAAGAAAAGCTGTGACAAACCTAGACAGCATATTAAAAAGTAGAGACGTTACTTTGCCAACGAGGGTCCATCTAGTCAAAGCTATGGTTTTTCCAGTAGTCATGTATGGATGTGAGAGTTGGGTCATAAAGAAGGCCGAGTGTTGAAGAATTGATGCTTTTGAATTGTAGTGTTGGAGAAGACTCTTGAGAGTCCCCTGGACTGCTAGGAGATCAAACAAGTCAATCTTAAAGGAAATCAGTCCTGAATATTCACTGGAAGGACTGATGCTGAAGCTCCAATACTTTGGCCACCTGATGCAAAGAGTTGACTAATTAGAAAAGACCCTGATGCTGGGAAAGATTCAAGGCAGGAGGAGAAGGGGATGACAGTGGATGAGATGGTTGGATGGCATCACTGACTCGATAGACTTGAGTTTGAGCAAGCTCTGGGAGATGGTGAAGGACAGGGAAGCCTGGCGTGCTGCAGTCCATGGGGTTGCAAGGAGTTGGACACGACTGAGCGACTGAACAACAACAAGACATGTCTTATTCTCCTCCTTGTTCTGTATTTTTCGTGTTATAAGCATTAAATGCCTTATTTAAAGTCAGAATAAAAATAGTGTTATAGACATAGTTTTGCAACCAATTTCAACCTAACAAAAACCTGCATTTATTTTAATTATTTATGAAGCTACATGGGAGCTAAAGCTTATTTTGCATATCTCTTGTTAATATTATTCATAAAGCTCAGTTTTAATTGGATGGTTAGCTTCTGAAGCAAAAAAAGATGGTATAATTTATTTAAAATATAGCCTGAAAAATAAATTCATGCTAAATTTCATATTCCTAGTTTAGGAAATTGAACTAAACTACTTAAACTGAAGATCATCTATTTCTTCTCCACTACTCACTTTTACCCACCTGCTTTCTTAGCCTGGGCACTTCCAGGCGGTCTTAGCCAGCTACCTTTCCCAAAGAAGTAGCACTTTTTCTTTCACATTCAGTTCAGTTCAGTTCACTTCAGTCGCTCAGTCATGTCCGACTCTTTGTGACCCCATGAGTCGCACAGCACGTCAGGCCTCCCTGTCCATCACCAACTCCCGGAGTCCACCCAAACCCATGTCCATCGAGTTGGTGATGCCATCCAGCCATCTCATCCTCTGTCATCCCCTTCTCCTCCTGCCCCCAATTCTTCCCAGCATCAGGATCTTTTCCAATGAGTCAACTTTTCGTATGAGGTGGCCAAAGTACTGGAGTTTCAGCTTCAGCATCAGTCCTTCTGATGAACACCCAGGACTGATCTCCTTTAGGATGGACTGGTTGGATCTCCTTGCAGTCCAAGGGACTCTCAAGAGTCTTCTCCAACACCACAGTTCAAAAGCATCAATTCTTCGGTGCTCAGCTTTCTTCACAGTCGAACTCTCACATCCATACATGACCACTAGGAAAAATTATTTATTCCTAAACCATCCTCATTAGAAGTGGGAACCTTAACTATTACTGGCTCAACTATGTCATCTTTTTGAAGGAGTTATTATTGAAAGCATTTATGTGAACAATATAAGATCAGGTCTAATTCATATGCATTCTAAACAAAAACATATTTTCTAAAACCCAAAAGATTACTTAAGAAGTTTCTCCATACAGCAAACAATGAAATAGGACTTTAATAAATACTTACCACTGTTAATATTAGATGATTTCCAAAACAAAGTTTCATAAATGTATTCTTGTTTATTAAGGTATAGTTGACTTAAAACATTTTGCTAGTTTTAGATATGCAACATAAACATTTGATGTATGTATATATTGCAAAATGAATACCACAGTAAGTTTAGTTAACATTCATCTCCACACATAGTTACAATGTTTTTTTTTTATGATGAGAACTTTTAATATCTATTCTCTTAACAGCTTTCAAATATACAATATAGTACTGTTAAATATAATCATTAAGCTGTACATTTCTAGGATTTATTTATCTTAGAACTGGAAGTTTGTAACCGTTTGTTCACCTTCACTCAGCCCCAGTGCCCACCACCCACCTCTGGTAACCATTCTGTTCTCTGTATCTATGAGTCTGGGTTTTTCTTACATTCCACATGTGATTGAGTTCATACATTTGTTTTTCTCTGTCTGACTTCTTTCACTTTGCATAACACCCTCAATGTCCATCCATAATGTTGTTAAGTAGGAGAATTTCCTTCTTTTTAAGCTTGAATGATATTCCATTGTATATCACAAATACATTCTTTAGAGAAGCTAGTATTTAAAGACCATCCTATACACTTTGTCACCTTTTCTTTATAGGCTAAAGTGTTCAGAAACAACAACAAAGAGAACAATACTTACCTTCAGTAGAAAAAGGGTTCATAGAACTCTGTGAGGCAAAAATTTTAGAGAAACCAATTAAAGCTTAGAAATTATTTGAACACTATATCTGATAGATTTATGTCCATTTAAAATGAATGTTCAATTTATTTTCTCTTGTAAAGTGAGTGCTGTGGCCCAGCAAGTCTTATGGAATTGTCTAATTGAAGATCCATCAACAGTTCTTCGACATTTTCTGGAAAAACTGACCATCAGCAATAGACAAGTAAAATCTTATGTGTTTATAGTAGCTTTGTGTGTGAACATGTTTAAACAACAATCAGTGGACTTCATTGTGATATTCATGCAACATTGGTTGACACATAACCAAGAAGTACTCTGGATAATGATAATAATGAACAAATTAAACTTTGCTGTTTTCATTGAATTTCCCCATTAACTGATGTCTCCTTATGTGTATGGTACACTGCTAGTAATGACCATAAGATACTGAAAGATTCTGTCTTTTAAACAAAGATTAAATTCAGTTTAATGTTTTCAGTGTTGAGTACATTTACTGAATTCTAATTGGTTGGTAGTATGTGATACAGGTAATATTATTAGTGCATGTTGAAACTCTCCTTTAATCAAGGAATTTAATTTACCAGTTCACCCAGTGATAAGATTATGCCAAAGAAAAGTAGCTTTCTGAGCAATGACAAAATACACCAATAATTACAAATTATTTCTTCATTTCTATATTATTGTACTGTTTGCTGGACAATTAAGTTTAGTTTCTGAAAGGAAGGTTAATTATAAACATCTACCTAGGAAACAGAACTATGAAGTTTAATAAACCTAATTTGTTAATAGTTTCTTAAGATAGGTCCTCGTCACATTTTCATCATACCCGAAAGCTATAGAAAATAGAGTTGACTAAATATACAGCTTTCCTGTGATTTGCCTGTGACCTATAGAGTCAGTCTCAGGTTTTATTTTTTAAAAATGTCTGACTATTGCTTAGTAACTTCGTATGCTAGCTTCTAGGAGAAGGTGTTGCAGTTGGCTTAAATAATTAAACAAGCATCACAAATACTATACTAAAATGCTGAACATAAGAGAAATCAACATGTGGGCAAAAGTAAGAAAAATTCCCCCACCGTGCTATTCAATAAGCTAACATCATTTCCTCCAATGTGGCGGCTGAACGAGACACAGACCCTGTTGCTCTTTCAGGATGAGTTAATGTACATGCTGCGCAAACTACTACTGAACATCGGAGACTTTCCTGCTCAGACCTCTCACATCCTGTTCAACTACTTGGTGAGTCTCACCTCCAGCAGGTGGTAAATGTTCATTTCCAAGTAAGAAGCAACAGCGCGCGAAAAAGGCCTTAGGGGATTTTTTCAAATAAATTTTCGTTAACTGCGTGCCCGAAGTTGCATCATAGTCAGCCGAATTCACCACTGTTTATATGGGGAAAACTCCTCCTGGCACCATCCTTGGCATGTGATGGGCTCTCAATAAATGTCTGTTTCCTCCCTGTCTCTCTTTAGCATGATACAACTTCCGCATGTCGGCCCTTAATTTTAGTTTTCTGTTGAAAAATGTATGTGTCGTTTTTAGTCATTCTTTCTCTTTTTGTATCTCCCTGTTTAAAACACACACACACACACACAAATGTTGCCCTAGATACAAAGTATTTATGAGTGTATTATTCCATAGCAACTATCTATGCTTTACTTTGTCCTCACAGCTCCTTCCTGAACCCTCCAGAATTTGCCAATTTCTTCACATTCTCCTCCTTATACCCTAAATGAATATGCAGTTTGGGGACTGTTGGCTTGATGACTGTTCTTTTAAACTACACCTTAATTCAAGCAGACACATAACCGAATGAATTTCAGTGCTGGGACAATGTTCTCTCTCCCTAACCATCACTGGTCTTCTGCAAGTGGGGAAATAGAAGAGTTATCCATATGCATCTGCAGCAGGATGATAAATTTAACTCAATGCTACTACTCTGATGTGCAAACAAAAGTTGTAATTCCTTCCCTATGTTTATGACTGAGGTGGTTTTCATTATGAATGCCCACCTGCTGGTGGACAAGGGGAAAAATATAAGTAAGTGTCCAATCCAGTTTTAAGTTCAGATTGATATAAATATATAAATAGTACCTTTGGATAGTATCTGGTCTCTCTTGTCTAAAGATACTTAACTTCTAGGAATTCTCCTCTCTTCTAACTTCTTTCATTTCTAGATGTTATGTGGAGTTGGGGAGAAAAAAAGACCTTTGCTCAGAATTCTATCTCCTGTCCAGTGTTTGCTCCAGCTCCTCCCCTGTGAGACAGAGCTCTCTATCTGGCTGGTTGCTGGATGCCTGACTGGTGGAAGCTGAAGCCCATGGCTTCTGTAACTTGCAAACCTTTTCTACTCCCAGCAGAGCTTGCTGGGAGACTCCATCTCAACTCCCACTGGTGCTGCCCACCCCTCCGAGTTCTGGTTGTCCCATGTGGCTTTAGATGAGGAAGTCCTCTGACTAGAGCATCCTGCCTAGTGAACCAGCCTATGGCAGTTCTATCCAAAAATCTCTCCAGCCAAGCTTTCTGCTACTTCTTTTCCTATCTGCACTACTCAAAACTCCAAGGTAGATTAGCACAGCCCAAAATATAAGAGCCTCCTTCGGTTTAAGTATGTGCTCTACCAAGTTTATGTTACAGCCCAGACTGGTATCAAAAGGCTCTGTGGTGAGCTCTTGTCAGAGACACAAACACTGGTGGCAAAAGCCCCTTTGGGGTGCCTGCTCCTTCCCCAAGTCACTGGATGGGGGAAACACTTATATTGCTCCCCTCCATCCTTTTACCCTGGGACAAGAAAATGGACATTTCAATTCCCTTCTGCCAGATTCTCCTTTCAACTGTAAATAAGCCTTAACACTAGACATAAATCCTCCCAACTATGTCATTGATAAGTTACTAGAGCAAAGGAATGGGTACACATTGGCCACTTGCTGTATAACCTTGTTTTATATAAACCCCAGTCTTTCCCTGAATCCCAAGCACATGCATGCTTCAGGTGAGCTAGGGAAAGGGGTTTTGTACTCAGAACAGCAGAATAGTGAAGGGCGGAGTCATGTTTTAAACCATTACCCCTATTGTACCTCTCTTTTTTCTAACAGCTGTTATAGATATGTGAGATAGGGAGTTGGGGAACATGATCTCTATCTTCCAGTCTTCATTAGGAACTTTTAAACCCACTGCCCAACTTGACTCAGTGATCTTCAATCAGGGGATCTTAGTCCATTTAAGGGTATGTGAAGACTTTTGAAGCAGTTTGCTGCCCAAATAGTTTTAAAGGAATAAATCTCCAAATCCTCATTTTGTAGATATGCACTAACACTTCTTGAGCATGTCTGCCATCTCAGTCATCACCGAACACCAGAAAGGCCCACTCTGACCCTCCCAGGTATCACCAGGCTTCATTGATAGACATGTAAGACAGGGAAAGAATCTGATGTACTGTATTAGATTTAAGGAAGCCTCATTTCTGATTGATTGAGGCCCGTTAAACCCACAAGACTTCCCACCTTTTCCTGTCTTCTATAGATGTCTACTAGATATGAGGTTTGGCCATCATTGGGGTGTTCAGCCTTCAGAATCACCAAAGTGCACTGGGTTAGTGACACTGATTCTTTCAATGTAACTGGAAAGTTTTCTAGGTTTAGCAAATTTTTCCAGGAAAAAAAAAATGTGTAAAATCCATGGGCAATGGCTTTTACATTATTTCTTCTGATTCTGTTGTGCATTATTGAATAAGGTAGTTAAAACTAATTTCACCAAATATGCCAGAGTATGCCTGGAAAATCCCATGGACAGAGAAGCCTGGTAGGGCTACAGTCCATGGGGTCACAAAGAGTTGGACACGACTGAGCAACTTCACTTTCACTTTTCATGTGAAGTATGCATTCCAATTATAGTCAGTTCTCTTTTTTCAACATACAGAATGTTTAACATACTCTATTCATATTAACAATATAAATTTATGATGGGACATTTTAAAGGTTAACTTAAAAATATACAAAAGGGCACGTAGTTTTTCAAAACTTATTCCAGAAGACACAAACAAAAACTCACCGACTTAACCAAGCAGAGTGTTCTTACGTCAGACCATTAGACATAATCCAAATTGAAAATAGTGTTTGGACAAACGTCACATAGTCATTTTGAGTGGTCCAAGTACCTGAGCTACTGAGTGACTTGAAAGCTGGAAAAATTGATCTTTTGCTTTCCTCTTAAGCAGTAGGTATTTTGATGATAATGCAAAAATGTATGGCAACCTGCTCTGGCCAGTTTTCCAGTTATACCTTCTCCTGCCACTGAAGATGCTAGAGAAGCATTTGAACAGAGAATGCAAAGGCAAAAAAGAATATCTAATTAAGAAAATGCAAAGCTAAGGAAATGAGAATGTGAACTCAGAGTCATGGTGGCTTTGTGACCTCTTCCTGTCCTGAGTTGCAGGTGGGATTAATCATGTACTTTGTGCGGACCCCCTGCGAGTGGGGGATGGACGCCATTTCGGCCACTCTGACTTTCCTGTGGGAGGTGGTCGGTTATGTGGAAGGCCTGTTCTTCAAGGATCTGAAGCAGACAATGAAGAAGGAGCAGTGTGAGGTGAAGCTCTTGGTGACCGCTTCAATGCCAGGTACTGCCTTTAGATGACATAACTTTTCTAAGAGCATGAATAACCCTTTTACAGATCAAGTGTCTCTTTCATTCATGAGAAAACTTGCCAACCCTGGGATTGAGTGCCTCAAAGAATTTTTGTTGAATGCAATCTGAAGAAACACAATAGACCCTTTAAAAGTCAGCAATTGCCAGATGAAAAAGGGGGACATCAGAACAGAGATCCGCGTGAGTCAGCCCTTGAAGGGCTGCCAAGGTGAAAGATGTGTTTAAGTCTATCGCAGAGGGCCAGCTGAACCGAGAGCCTTTTTGAATGGAGTTTTGGCACTGCAAGGAGAATAATATTGTTTGCATGGCATGGACCCCAGGCTTTTGTGAACTCACTGAGAGATGGCTTTATGAAAAATTGCAAAGGGGAAAAGCAGGAAGGAGAATTACAAAACAACATGCAGTATGATAAAAAATCTAGATACAGTTCCTTTTCACTTTGGATAGCTTGTCTTTCTTGGAGATAAAATAAATGTCACCAAGCCTTTATCCTTGTGCAATGACTAAGAAAATGTGAGATGATACATGTATTGATATAAAGAGAAAGACAGAATTATATATAAATAAGAACAGTTTTTATTTAACACGGGCAGCAAAGAGCCATGTGTTAAAATCAGAGCACTGCCTCTAATTGTCTGTATGATTAATATTAACTATGACAAGGTACATAATTTTTAAAGCTTTCTTTATGGGTAAATTGGGGATCTAATTCATACTTCACAATTGTGAGGAATAAATGAGTTTAGGTTTGTAAAATACTTGGCTGTCGTGTCTGACACACAGTCAGCATTCAGTAAATGGTAATTGTGTATTTATGTGTCTACAGATTATTCAGCAAAGTGTTCATTTTTATTAAAGAAACTCATATTGTCAGGCATAAACTTAAAATCAGCTCATTGAAAATCAAGGTCTATCATAATGTTCACAAAGATTTATAATTGAGGAATGAAGTAGAAATATTGTCTCACCAGCCAAGTAAAATACAGAAAAAGTAAATTTAAACTACATTTCATGGGACTTTCCTGGTGGTCCAGAGGTTGGGACTTCACCTTCCATTACAGGAGGTGAGGCTTTGATCTCTGGCCAGAGAACTAAGATCCCACATGCCTCGCAGCCAGAAAACTGAAACGTAAAACTCAAGCAGTGTTGGAACAAATTCAATAAAGACTTTAAAAATGGTCCACATCAAAAAGTCTTTAAAAAAATAAATAATAAGCTATGTTTTAGGTACTTGTTTAGCTTTTGCTAGTCTCTCTGTTTGTATTTTCTCAGCCATTATTTAAAATTTAGTAATGTATTATTTGTTGCAGTGTTTAAAGCATGAATTCTGCCTCTTCCAGTAAATAAATGTCTTTGACTAAGTCACTTATACATTCTTATTTATAAAAATAAGTTCTCTGTTTCTTCATTTGTAATATGAAAATAATAACACTTGTGTCATAGGGTTGTTGTGAGATTTAAATATGGTTATACATAAAACCATTTAAAAGTATTAGGAGCTCTATAAATGGTAGCTATCATTATTAAATAATAAGGAAACATATTTAAAGCAGACATTGACTATAAACAAAGGAGTGCAGATAGTAGAATGCACAGCTCACATTAAAACCTCACTAACAGAATCCTCAACCCACATTAAACCCTCACTGATAGTCATCATAATAACAAGAAAAACATCAGCTTAATAATATTTCAATATTTCATGCTTTATATTCAAACTTCTTTATAGTAGAAGTCAGTTTATTATAATTTTTACCTTCTGTAGGTACCAAAACCTTGGTAGTTCATGGACAGAATGAGTGTGACATCCCAACCCAGTTGCCAGTCCATGAAGACACTCAGTTTGAAGCCCTGTTAAAGGTAGGGATGACTTTCAACAGAAGCAATTTTTTTTTAATGCACAATGGCTATGTCACTTCACTGATCATCCAGTTTAGAATTAAGTGGCATTTTTTTCTACCTTCAAATAAATATGTGCATTTATTTACATCTTCTAGAATCTACCCCACTTTTGCATGCTTCTATTTCCTTGCATGTTTTCCCCACTTTCACTGACATTTTAGCTCTGCACTGAAGTAGCCAAAGGCTCCCTCTCAGCTACGGAGCTCATAACACTTGTCTTCAGATGCCGACAATCCTACTTTAGAGCATCCTAGTATCGCTTGTGATTGTTCTGGAGCTGCCCTGGGTTTGTACACCGAGAACGCTGGGACGAACTCTAGTGATCAGGTGACCCACGCAGAGACACTTATTTTGGCACTGAGTTGACTGATACACAGTCTTGACTTGCCACTGACAGAAATGATTGGAGAAGCAGGAGATATATATATGCCTTAGAATACATTAGGTGAATCAAGAAAGTATTTTTAATGGTTATGGCAATTATGTACCTCAAGGGAAATGCAATCCATAGCTACTCATGCCTGCAAGGTTTTAAAGGAAAAGTAATAAGTATACTAGTACAATGATTCCTCTTTTATCTGGAGTCCTAACTTTTGGCCCAGACATAAGTAGAAAAGACCTCTGAGAAAACCAGCTCGCCAAACCTATGTATCTGATTTCAGTAGAAAAGGTTGTTAGGTCTCCTCCAAGTCTCACCCATTCATCCTCAGAGAATCTCTCAAACCCAGGGAAACAAACTTCAACATCCATTTTCCCTAGGCAGTGCGTTCAAACCCAGGCTCCACCACAACCAGTGTCACTGAAATAAATCAAATGACAGGCTGTCTCTAGCCTCAGTTTCTTTTTCAGCAGTGCTCAACATTAGTGCAGGTTATACAGGTTTTCTCCCTGGGTGGGAAGATCCCCTGGAGGAGGGCATGACAACCCACTCCAGTACTCTTGCCTGGAGAATCCCATGGACAGAGGAGCCTGGTGGGCTACAGTCCATAGGGTTGCAAAGAGTCAGACATGACTGAAGAAACTTAGTATACCTACATGTACGCACGCACGCACACACACACACACTCACAAGTTCTCTACATGGGAAGCCTTGAATATAGAATATAGTATATAAGTGCTCAATCATTGCAGTTCATAATACTCTTAATGCTGCTACTAAACATGCCTTCTTCCTGATACTTAATGCTGCTACTAAACATGCCTTCTTCCTGATACTGAGGCCAGTAGATGCCACTGTGTCTCCACAGCTCATTACTCAAGGTTGTACTGTAATTGTACCTCATTTAGCACTATGAGAGCAGAGCAGATAGTTTGTGTCACAGGGTCTTTTTTAAATTGAGGTATGTATGTTAGTAGCTCAGTCATGTCCAACTCTTTGTGACCCCATAGACTCTAGCCCACCAGGCTCCTCTGTCCATGTGATTGTCCAGGCCAGAATACAGGTGTGGGTTGCCAGTTGCTTCTCCAAAATTAAGGTATAGTTGATGTATAGTATTATATAAACTTGAAGTGTACAGCCTAGTGATTCACAATTTTTAAAGGTCATATTCCATCTATAATTATTGTAAAATACATTCTGTTTTGCACACTAAGTCCTTATAGCTTATTTATCTTATATTAATACATATAGCTTGCACCTCTTAACCCCTACCTCTATCTTGCAAGATCTTACACAGTCTTTATGTTATCATTTTTTTAGATGGCTATGTGCCTGTATATATTCATATATATGTGTGTATAATATATATATACATATATGCACACATATAATATATACAATGTAAGATATAAATACATATATATATATTCCTTATAAGAAATTACCTTGTTTTTATGGCATTTTTGTCTTTCATCTTACTGTTTGGCCCATAATATGATCTCAGTAAATGTTTTTTTAAGATTTGTTGTTGTTGTTCTAGGAGTGTCTGGAGTTTTTTAATATCCCAGAATCACAGTCAACACATTACTTTCTCATGGATAAACGGTGGAACCTTATCCACTACAATAAGGTAAGACTGTGCAGCGATGGTGCTCGTGGAGAGTTGTGTCCGAAGCCCATTATGCCTTTTCTGAGGGTAGCTTCTCTCAGGGGCGTGCCACTGTTTCATGGTGGGGAGTGTGGCTCTTGGATCACACTGTCTTACTGGCAACATAGGTTTGGACTGGCCGCTTGGCCTTCATACCCTCCAGTTTGCTTGCCTGTAAAGTGAAGGTGATGACGGGGTCTACTTGAGGGCTGTTGTAATAATTGAAGAAGATAAGTCAAGTAAGGTATTTTGTCACTCATGATTATTACATCTAAGTGAAAGTTAAGTTCCCATATTGTAAGGACATATATCTATTTGGAATGTTAACATTGTTCTTGTTTCACTATATTAAGCATGATCATGGAAACATGATCTAATGAGCAAAAGGAAGCCTCAAGACCACTGGCAGCACTTTATAGTGATTTTCTTCTTCTTCCAGAATGTGCTTCAGTAAATTGCCTCTGGCTCCCTTGCTCCTGACGGGGCACTTGGGATTGGGAAAGTGTACCTGGGGAGTTTGAAGCTTTCCTGAGGAGGGGCTTTATCCCTGGGATTTTGTAGAATTTGGCTGGGGGGTGAAATAGTAAGAATGTAAACTATTAGAAAATACATAACTTATGTTTGTCTGCCCTTTGGGGAATGAGAAAATGAGAGTCAGAGTTTGGTCATTTGAACTCTGTTTTTGTCTTTGTGTAACCCCACCACAGACCTACGTTCGGGATATTTACCCATTCAGGAGATCCGTGTCTCCACAGCTGAACCTTGTACACATGCATCCAGAGAAAGGACAGGAGCTCATTCAGAAACAGGTGCCTGACCACCACAGTTTTCTGCTATTATTGTGCCATGTTACTGGGATAGACAATCTGTAAATGGTTGTTGGCCCTGAGATCCTGTCATTCTGTTATGATCTCTAGAGAGAGAAGGATGGGTTCTTGATCAATAGACAGTTCCCCCCAAATGGTGTAATTTTTAAGTTTTGCAAATTGGATCATAATGTAAAGGTATTAAATACTCACTTGGAGTAGTACTTTGATGAATCATTGGTATAAATAATAGAAATTTTCTGTTTTATTTACCTACTAGTTTCTAAGTATGGATTTTCATTCCAGATTGGGAATACATATAATGTAGCTATAAGAAGGTTGTCTCAGAAATCTGCTAGCTGGAAAAAAATAAAAGGGATCAATGGATAATGCATGCCTGTATGCTAGGTGGCTTCAGTCATGTCTGACTCTTTGCGACCCCATGGACTGTAGCCCGCCTGGCTCCTCTGTCCATGGGATTCTCTAGGCAAGAATATTGGAGTGGGTTACCATGCCCTCCTCTCAATGGATAGTAGCGTACCTGAAAAAGGCATTGAACCAAGGTTCAGAGATCTGGACTCAGTCCTAGCTCTGCCTCTGACCAGTGATCTGACCTTTGGTATGTTTCTAACTTCTCTTAAACTAGGAGGAGACAGAATAAATCTGCTGTACTTAGATTGAAGAGCAGAATAACATTCATACATCTCATCACAAATCAGACTGAACTTAAGAAAATTCACTGTTTTGCATGTGAAATATAGCTGTAGTCCACAGTTCGGATGATGCAATTTTAATGTGGTCTATGTGTTACGATCATTTATTTTTAATAAAATATCAAAACAGAGGGCTTCCCTCATAGCTCAGTTGGTAAAGAATCTGCCTGCAATGCAGGAGACCTGGGTTCGATTCCTGGGTCGGGAAGATCCCCTGGAGAAGGAAATGGCAACCCATTCCAGTATTCTCACCTGGAGAATCCCATGAACAGAGGAGCCTGGCAGGCTACAATCCATGGAATCCCAAGAGTCGGACATGACTTAGCGACTAAACCACCACCACCACATGTTACATTCATTTATTTTTAATAAAATGTCAAAACAAAAAGCTTTCATCTTCTCAGTTTTTCTGCACATAGCAAGATTGCCAACTTGGCATCAAAGTATTCAAAGATATCTTCATGAGATGGCATAGAATTCAACCAGTTAAGTAATTTAAAACATAGTTAATATTAACTACCTAAATTGCATTGAAAATAAAATAGTGAATGTGTTACAAAGTGTGAGGTGTTGGGAGAAAAGAACTTAAATATTTAATTTCTAAAGTAATCCCCCCCAAACTATACCAGCCTCTGATTTTGGCAGCAAAATAATGAAAGCCATAATCAATAACAGTTCTTCATGAGCGAGTTGTTTTAAAAAATAATGTTCAAGAACATGTTTTAAAAGAAGAGCATAGGGGCTTCCCTGGTTCTTCCATGGTTAACACTTCACCTTCCAATGCAGGGGGTGTGGGCTTGATCCACAGTTGGGGAGCTAAAATCCCACATGCCTCACGGCCAAAAAAAAAACTGCATAAAACAGAAGCAATACTATAACACATTCAATAAGACTTTAAAAATGGTCCACACACACAGAAAAAAATCTTTAGTAAAAAGAGCATAAAATAAGACTCTTACTCTTAGTAAACTCCAGCTTGTGATCTTAAGACTTCGAAGTTCCTCAGGGAGATAATAACATGCAGACTGTGGTTCTGGCTCTGGTCAAGCTGCTGATCATCCTCCTAATCACATCCCCCTGCCCTCTGACCAGGAACAGAAAAGGCACTTGGAAAAGGAACACGAGCCTCACGTTCATGCCATCTAAACTCGGGGCTAAAGGGCCACCAATCTAGGCCCCATTAGCTTTTGTCCCAAAAGATGTTTTTCCTGGATCCCATTCCAGTCTTTAAGAGGCAAACCCAGAACTGACAGGAAACAGCTTAAGGCCTCAGTGGAAATGAGGAAAACAAGTGGAATTGACTGGCTCCTGTTGGAGAAGGCCTTCCATCTTATGACATCCACACAAATGGACCCTACTTAATACTGAGCTGTTCTTGACAATACTTGCCTTGTGCTCCTTCTCCAGCCTGGCATAAGAAACACTTCCTTCTGTAGAGCAGACAGATGCAGGAAGTGAGAGTCAATTAAGTATTGTTTGCTCTTTCTGCATGGTAAGGAAAAAGAAAATTCTTTCTTCTTCCTTTCACTTCCCCCACCCCTTAATATTTACTTAGCCCATTTGCCGTTAAAGATTTTACTTTGATTTCTTCAGTCGTGGTGATTTTGGGGTTGCCCAGTTCTGCTTTTCACCTGCTTCTGCCCTGGCCTGCTGCTAGGTGTTCACTCGGAAGCTGGAGGAAGTGGGGCGGGTTTTGTTTCTCATCTCCCTCACCCAGAAGATCCCCACAGCCCACAAGCAGTCCCACGTCTCCATGCTCCAGGAAGACCTCCTCCGACTGCCCTCATTCCCTCGAAGTGCTATTGATGCGGAGTTTTCACTCTTCAGTGATCCTCAAGGTATCAAGAAAGAAGGCTTTCCTCTCTTGGGCTTCTTCTCATGGCCTGGTGTTTTCTTCAGCTGGAGAGCATCTCCATCTTAATCAGTAGACAGTTCTCTAAATCAGTGGCTCTCCGTCTTGAACGGGCATCAGAATCACCTGGAGGACTGGAGGACTTGATAAAACACAGATTTCTGCATCCCACCCTCCAGTCTGCAGTTTCTGATTCAGTAGCTCTGGAATGGGGCTTGGGAACTTGTATTTCTAACAAGTTCCAAGTCCCAAGGCAAGGTTGATGCTGCTATTTCAAGGACCAAACTCTGAGACCACTGCTCTGAGCTAATCGTAAGCAGTTGAAGAAAGTAGCAGGGTGTTGTTAGGGGAGTACTTGACTAAGTGAAGGACAAGTATTTCTGTGAAGTTCAAGAGGAGGCAAAATGAATATACAGTGAGAGAAATCAGAGCAGTAGTTGCCTTTCTGGGGGCGGGTGCGGGGGGGTGGGGAGAATGGATTTCCCAGAAAGGGATTTGAAGGAATTTTCTCAGATGATAAAAATGATTCATATATTGATTGGAATGTTGGTTACAAGTGGGTATTTTTGTCAAAATTCATTGAATTCTACATTTAATGATCTGTGTGTTTTACTCTATGTAAATTACCTGAATTGAAAGAGAAAAATGGAGAGAGAAAGGGAGAGTGAGACAGAGAAATAGAAAAGGATCCCTTTTGAAACCACATTCAGTTATTCATTTGGGCCAGTTTACTTAAATCAGCGTCTTTGTGCTCTGCGTCTTCATCCAGATGCTCAGAGTGATGGTACACAAGCTCTAGTCCAACCAGGAGTTAAAAGACCAAGGACTAGTCCCAGCCCTGCCATTTTCTTTCTGAAATAACTTATTTTTTCTCAAAGCCCCAGCTTAGGCAACAGCAACACACCACACTTGCTGGCCCTGTCTTGCCCACAGAGTTGAATCAAAAGGGTGACAGAAAAGTCCTGGGAAGACTCGAAAGTGTTAGAGAAATGCCATTAACACTGTGCGTGTCAGCAGTAACTGGTCTTCACATCCCCGAGTTGGCAACAGCAGGGCCCTAGGGTTGGACTGCCCTGCACGCTGACATGGGGGTTGGCGTGGGGCTAAACCTGCCTCTGTGTCTTCATGTCTCACAGCTGGAAAGGAACTCTTTGGCCTTGACACTCTTCAGAAAAGCTTGTGGATCCAGCTCCTGGAGGAGATGTTCCTGGGCATGCCTAGTGAGTTCCCCTGGGGAGATGAAATCATGCTTTTCCTCAACGTCTTTAATGGGGCTCTGATCCTGCACCCAGAAGACAGTGCCCTGCTCAGGCAGTATGCGGCCACCGTCATCAACAGTGCTGTGCACTTCAATCACCTCTTCTCCCTCAGCGGCTACCAGTGGATTCTGCCCACCATGCTGCAGGTACGCGGGCCTCCTCCCCTGCCTCTCTAGAAGATCAACAAGATCTATGCTGAGATTTTAGCTGATGGAACTATCTGTTTTCATGACCTCAGAAGGCACCAAATGAAAGCCCCACAAAGATTTACCAAAGGTCACAGTATTCCATTCTATCCTGAGATCTCCCAGATCTGAGCCGCGGTTCCCCATTTCTTCTGGGCCAGTTGTTCTCAAAGTATCATCTCTGGACCAGCAGCATCAGTGTCACTTGGGAATTTGTTCAAAACGCACATTCTTGGGCCCCATCCCAGACCTACTTCACCGGAAACTCTGGAGTCACGGCCCAGGAATCTGTGTTTTCACAAAACCTCCGGGTGGTTCTGATGCCCTCAGAAGTTTGAGAATCATTATTCAAATGTGAGGCAAGTGTTCAATTGCTGTTTCTCCCAAGAGATTTTGCAACCTCTCTCTGAAAAGAGGTTTTCAAAATTGCCATTAAATTTGGTATAATGAGGTGGTTGGAGGAGATGAATGTAGCAGGAACAGTTTTCACTTAATCATGTCTAATGTGTATGTGGCCACATTGAGGAGTACTGAATAAAGTTCAGAATGGGCCTGGGGGCTCATCCTAGTTGTCTATTTTTATGGAAATTTTAATAAATCATGGAATAAGTAATACATGCTTATGTACAGTGGAGTTTGCTCAACACACAGGGGCAAGAAATTGACTTTTAATATCATCAGGGCTCTCTGTCCTCTTTTTAAATAGTTGGAATGTTACCTATTATCTGTTATTATAGCTTCTTAAATAATTATCAAAAACAATAAATGTTCATTATAAAATTCAAAATATGAAAGTTTAGATGAGAAAATAAAGATCATCTATAATCCTCCTTCCTAGATAATCATTGTTTGCACATCTTGAAAATCCTGGTGCTCTCTCTCCTACATTTTTTAAAACAGAAGTTGGATCATACCATATGTTCAAGTTTTTGCCTACCTTTTCTTTTAATGTGACACTAAGAATGTTGTGGGCATTTTCCCTGTAGCTACATTTAGCACTACATAGCATCTCTTAAAAAATAGTTGCATAGTACTCTGTTGTATGCATACAAATAATTCACTCACTCCCAATTTGTTTAATTGTTTTCTTATGACAAATTACTAGTCATAAACTTTCTGGGGAAAAAGTATATTTATAATTTTTGCATTTTTATGTATATTTCTAGATTTCTTTCAAAAAGGTATATACCACTTTACACTCCCCTCTATCAGTGTATGAAATCAGTCATTTCCCTCCATGCTTCCCATGGCTATGAGCTTGTAAAGCAAACACAGCTCTAGTAAGCTGTTGGGGCATTTTCTGAATATGTGGTATCTTCCCACAGGTGTACTCTGACTATGAAAGCAACCCTCAGTTGCGCCAAGCCATTGAGTTTGCCTGCCACCAGTTCTACATCCTACATCGCAAGCCCTTTGTGCTCCAGCTGTTTGCAAGTGTGGCCCCTCTGCTGGAGTTCCCTGTGAGTAAACTCTGTGGAAATAAAGAAAGGACCAACCCAATGAGAAAAACCCACTTTGTTTATTCAGAACTCACTAGAGCAGTGGATTCCTGGGCTGGTTATTACAGGTTGTGGATCAGAGTTCTGTTTTTATGGATGGCCTGGTCATTGTCCATTTCTGTCATCAGGCTCTCTCAGCTCTCTTTCTTCAACCTATGGAATGCAAATACCCCAAATCATTTCTCTTTCAATAAGAAATTTGTCTTTCTTCAGCTTTTCTCTTCAAGCCTCATTTCAGCCCCTAGGATGTAAATAGACCAAATCTCTAGTTTTTTTTTAAAGTAATAAAAGAATGGAAAATAGAAAATGATAAAAGGAAAAGTTTCTCAAACTTATGGTTTCCTGGGGGGAAGGGATGGTTTTGGAGTTTCGGATGGATGTGTACACATTTCTACATTAAAAGTGGATAACCAACAAGGTCCTACTGTATAGCACAAGGAACTCTGCTCAATGTTATGTTGCAGCCTGGATGGGAGGGAAGCTTGTGGGGAGAATTAATACGTGAATATGTATAGCTGAGTCCCTTGTGCTATCCACCTAAAATTATCACAGCATTGCTAATCAGCTGTATTCCAATATAAAAGTTAAAAAAAAAAGGAAGAGTTCCTGATTCTCATTTCTATCACTGTCCAGCATTTACCCTAGTTTATTTTTATTTTTATGCAGAATATTTTTACCATGTCACATATAATACATGTATTTGTTTCACTAATATGTGTCTCTGCCACACCCCACAGTAGAATTTGAGCTCCATTAAAGTGAGATCTTGATCTGATTTTTGTTTGCCTTTGCTTGATTTTAGTTGTTGTTTTGTTTGTATGGTTTTTTGCTTTTGTTTCTGTTTTGCTATAACTTCAGTGCACAGAATGATGCCTGACACACAGTAGGAATTTAATGAGAATTTGTTGTTTTTAATGAATGAATCAAAGCCATTTTACAGAGATGAGAAGTATCTACTCTGGAGATATTTCAATAGATTATCAAATAGGAACCACAAAATTCCCAGGGTTTTCAAAATAAGGTTCTTTTTCTCAAACATATTTGATTCCATTATGGAAATTTGGAGGGAAATGCTGAGTCCTACTATCAAAGACCGGAAGAAACACTGGCATAAACTGTTCTGGCAGTTCACATTTCTATATTTTCAAGAGTTTCCACAAAGATCTCTTTTGTACTGGATTAGCTTTTCCTCTTGATGCTTTTGAACTGTGGTGCTGGAGAAGACTCTTGAGAGTCCCTTGGACTGCAAGGAGATCAAACCAGTCCATCCTAAAAGAAATCAACCCTGAATATTCATTGGAAGGACTGATGCTGAAGCTGAAAGTCCAATACTTTGGCCACCTGATTCGAAGAACTGACTTATTTGAAAAGATTCTGATGCTGGGAAAGATTGAAGGCAGGAGGAGAAGGGTACAACATAGGATGAGATGGTTGGATGGCATTACCAGCTCAATGGACATGAGTTTGAGTAAACTCCAGGAAGTGGTGAAGGACAGGGAGGCCTGGCATGCTGCAGTCTATGGGTCGCAAAGAGTCAGACATGACTGAGTGACTGAACAACAAGCATTTAATAGATCCTTTAAAATCAGGCATTCCATTCCAAAATCATACAGTAGCATGGTTGGATGCAGAATTATGTAAACTGAATACCACCCAGATAATTGTTATCAGTGGCAGTGTCTATGAAACTTGAATTCCTGATCAAACCATGTTAGTACTAAGGTAGGAGTTAATAAACTAAAATAGCTTTTCTTTAAATGGAAGTATAGCTGATTTACGATGTTGTGTTAATTTCTGCTGTATGGCAGAGTGATTCAGTTTCATGTAAATATGCATTCTTTTTATGTTTTTTTCCATTATGGTTTATCACAGGATATTGCTTATGAGTGGACAGTTAAGTTGTCTCCTTGTTTTGGCTGCTGTGAATAGTGATGCTATGAACATATGGGTGCATGTGTCTTTTTGAATTAGAGTTTTCTCTGTATATATGCCCAAGACTGGGCTTGCTGGGTCATACAGTAGTCCTATTTTTAGTTTTCTAAGAAACTTCCATACTGTCTCCCATGGTGGCTGCACCAACTTACATTCCCACCAGTAATGTATAAGGGTTCCCTTTTCTCCACACCCTCTGCAGCATTTGTTATTTGTAGAGTTTTCAGTGATGGCCCGTGACTCTTCTTTACACAGGATGCTGCCAATACTGGATCCAACAAAGGTGTGTCAGCCCAGTGCCTGTTTGACCTGCTGCAGTCCCTGGAGGGAGAGACCACTGACATCCTGGACATCTTAGAGCTGGTCAAAGCTGAGAAGCCTCTTAAGTCATTGGGTAAAAGCAAAATTTGCCTTGATATTCTATTTCTCTTTGTCATATTTTTAGTGACTTTATACTGAATATTTTGAACTAAGTCAAAACAGCAACATAAGTGGGGCTTAGTATAATTTAAATGAATGCATTTTCCTATCCCCTGTTTCTTAAATTTCTTGTAATTCTTAAAGTGTTAAGGATTTTCTACCATGAAAACTGGGAGAAATACCAACAACCTCAGATATGCAGATGGCATATGGCAGAAAATTAAGAACTAAAGAGCCTCTTGATGAAGGTGAACAAGGATAGTGCAAAAGCTGGCTTGAAACTCAACATTAAAAAAATCTAAGAACATGGCATCCAGTCCCATCACTTCATGGCAAATAGAAGGGGGAAAAGTGAAAACAGTGACAGATTTTGTCTTCTTGGGCTCCAGAATCACTGCAGATGGTGATTGCAGCCATGAAATTAAAAGACGCGTGCTCCTTGGAAGGAAAGCTATGACAAATCTAGACAGTATATTAAAAAGCACAGACATTACTTTGCCAACAAAGGTCCATATAGTCAAAGCTATGATTTTTCCAGTAGTCATGTATAAATGTGAGAGTTGGGCCATAAAGAAGGCTGAATACCAAAGAATTGATGCTTTTGAACTATGGTGTTGGAGAAGACTCTTCAGAGTCCCTTGGACTGCGAGGAGATCCAACCAGTCCATCCTAAAGGAAATCAGTCCTGAATATTCATTGGAAGGACTGATGCTGAAGCTGAAACTCCAATACTTTGGCCACCTGATGCAAAGAGCTGACTCATTTGAAGAGACCCTGATGCTGGGAAAGATTGAGGGCAGGAGGAGAAGGGGGATGACAGAGGATGAGATGGTTGGATGGCATTACCAACTCAGTGGACATGAGTTTGAGCAAGTTCCTGGAGTTGGTGATGGACAGGGAAGCCTGCTGTTTTATTAGATGAGAGTTTTTTAATTACCAAAGAAACCACTTTTATTTGTCATATGATTATTCAAAAATAGAATAAAATTTTTAGTCCCTTAAGATGAGGAAATTGAGGGTTCACAGTGTAGGAATAAAGTCTAATAAAGAAATACCTACAGAATATCACTAGAAAGAAAATGTTAGGAGTGATAAGCTCCTCTTTATCCCTGACAGAATCCGCTCTGACTGTGTGCCTTGACCTTCTGTCCCTTTAGATTTCTGCTATGGAAACGAAGATCTGACCTTCTCTATAAGCGAAGCCATTAAGCTCTGTGTTACAGTGGTGGCATACGCTCCTGAATCATTCAGAAGGTAACTGCAGGCTTTTCCTCTGTGCCTTGCGATAAGGAAATACAGCAAGGGAGACAAAGCTGAGTGAACACAAAGGTTGTTTGTTAATATTAGCCTGTAACATTCTGCTGGCAAGTCCATTTGCAAAACTAAATGTCAGAAACTTGTCATAGCAGTTATGAAAAATACAGTAAATCTTCATCAATTTGAAATCCCCTAATTTAGAATTTATGCAGCAGCTTAGATGTTTAGGAAATATTATCCTCATGTGTAATTGAAATTTGACTTGCTATTAATTTCTCAATAGATATTTAATATATTTAAGAAAACTCCTTTCAGGGAAAAAGAAGAACTTCTGTCACACAAAGAGAAGGAAGATAAATCATGCCTATCATTTTCCAAGAGCAGGGAGCCTAGAGGCCTCACATGGAGAGTGTTATTCCAATTCTAGGATGCTGCTTCTGAGATATATATACGTTTGTGTGTATATATGATATGTGAAGTGAAAATCAGTCTCATCCCTCTATTAAAATAGGTCTTCTAAAGGCAGAGATAATAATTCAAATGAATTATGGATAGTTCCCTTTTATTATACATGCTTAAAAATAATTAAGTTGCATTTTTTCAAAATGTTCCATTATTCTGACTTAACCAACTCTTTGGCCTTCCTCCTCCTCCTCCTCAATTATGTAACATTAGGAAACCTCTTCCTTTTAATTTCTCAATGAGATAGTCAATAATTTTTATTTGATATGTAGAATTTTTCAGAGTCTGATAAAGTACTCTTTAGCTTGTATAGAGTGGTGTGCTGGTGAACATTTAGTGACTAGATCTCTGTAGCTTTGCCAGTTTGCCAATATGTAGTGATTGCTAAACACAAAATACCAGAATGATGTCACTGAACATGGTGTTGGAAAGAAAGGCATACAGTAGGCTTTCCTTTCTTTTTTTGGCCCTACCCTGTGGCATGTGGGATCTTGGTTCCCTGACCAGGGATCAAACCCTTGCCCTCTGGCAGGGCTGGACTGCCAGGGAAGTCCCAGTAGACTTTCTTGACTGGTTATTTAGCCTTTCCAACACATCACTGGCCACATGTATTTCAAATGATATCTTTTACTCTGTGACATATAATTTTACTTCCCTAAGTTTGTCTTTTGATTAACAGAGCTCTTCATTTTAATATAGTCCAATGTATCACCTTTTTCCTATTTTTTAGTTCTTCTGTGTCCTCTTATGAAATCTTGGCTAACCCAAGTTTACAAATGTGACCTCTTACAGGCCAGGTGCTTTATTGTCTTTATATTTACATTTAGGTTAACAGTCACCTGGAATTAATTTTGGTATGGTATAAAGTAAGGGTCAAAGTTTATTTTTTCTGTAGAGATATCTAATAGGCAATAGACCCAGCACCATTTATAGAAAAGACTAGACTTTCTCCATCATATTGCAGTGCCATTTTTGTTAAACATCAAGTATCTGCAGATTTGTTTTGTATTCCTTATTCTATTTCATGTATCTATTTGTCTATCCTTGAACCAATGTTATACTGATCTTACGACAAGGTTAATCATAAGCCTGACATCTGGTAATATGTCTTTTTATAGTTGTGAAATTTCCATCTTTAACTATAGGAATGCTATTTGCCTTGAAGTCTGTTTTGTCTAACATTATAGTTACATCAACATTCTTTTGGTGTTTGCTCTTATTGTCATCTTCAACATTTCTGTATACTTATATTTAACATGTCTCTTAATAGCAAAATATAGCTGAACTTTTAAATGATTCATTCTAGTAAGCAGGCATTTTTCAGACCTGCATCACAATGACTGTTTCAGATCTGATTCTTGCTGTAAAAATGCTTAAGCTTTAGGATTAGGAAGTCAGCCTCCTAAAGAAGAGTTTAATCTTGTCTCAAATTTGTTCCAGCTAGAAAATCACTTTTGGCAAATTACTGAATGAAAGCTTTGTTGATGGTTTTCTGAGGTTCATTTCTCTACATCAACTGAATAACTCCACCTATTACCATTCTATTGGGTTGGCCAAAAAGGAAGAGTTTATAGACAAGCCCAAACAAACTTTTTGACCAATTCAATATTATGCTGTCAACCAATTGTATATATGTTAACTCGTATATCCCTTGGACTGTAGCCCAACAGGCTCCTCTGTCCATGGAATTGTCCAGGCAAAATACTGGAGTGGGTTGCCATTTCCTACTCCAGGGGATCTTCCCAACCCAGGGATTGAACCTATGTCTCTTAGGTCTTCTGCATTGGCAGGCGGATTCTTTACCACTAGCGCCACCTGGGAAACCCACTGGGTGCTTAATTAATTCATTAAGTAGTGTTAGTCAATATTTCCAGCAGCTTTAATTACTCTTGACATGGGTGGAATGGGAAGGGGACTCAGATTTTTTTCATCTCTCTAGAGGCTTCTCATTTCTCCATGCTCCAAAATATTAAATAGGATGTAAAATGTGCTTTAGTTTTCTTTCTGTTGATTGAAGTCTTCAGATGCTGATGGTCTTGGAAGCTTTAGTGCCATGTTACTTACAAAAGCTGAAGAGGCAGACCTCACAGGTGGAGACGGTACCTGCTGCCCGAGAGGAGATCGCCGCCATGGCTGCTCTTGCCACTTCCCTTCAGGCCCTTCTGTACAGCGTGGAGGTCCTCACCAGGTAATCCTGTCGGCGGAGATGTCCGCAGCCATAAACAACATGTATCCACCACAAAGAGGAAGAAAAAAAAAGTGATGGCTAAAATCTCTAAAACCCTGTTCTTACCCAAACTTGGGAGTTTCCCAGGTGGCTCAGTGGTAAAGAATCTGTCTGCCAAAGAGGAGACTCGGGTTTGATCCCTGGGTTGATCCCCTGGAGGAGGAAATGGCACCCACTCCAGTATTCTTGCCTGGAAAATTCCTTGGAAAGAGGAGCCTGGTGGTCTACAGTCCATGGGGTCGCAAAGAGTCAGACACAACTTAGCGACTGAGTGTGTACCCAAACTCAGCCCTTTATGGCTGAAACTGCAAACATTCCCTGAGTTGTTTGGATAAATAGTGCTAAGTACTCTGAATAATAAATAATAATGATAATAATAATTAGTAGTAGTATTGTTATTGCTAAACACACATTTGCACATAGCTTGCTGAGCTTCTCTGGCAGTTTTAACCCAGTACTAAACAAATCTTTCATAAAAGGGCTAATTTAGTGAATGTGAAAATGTGATCCACATTTTTATTAGCTCTTATTTTATGAGACATGAAATGTCAGCAATTTCAACTAAGCATTTATATTATTTTCCTATTTGTAAAGAGTTGGGGTTTTCGTCCTATAATGTCAGAAGCTACATAACAGACATAAACTACAAAATTTTATTCTAATGCTTCAACTGGTAGATTCCCCATTGGACAAGACTCATTAGTGCTGAGAGAGGGGACTGAGGTGTTTGGGAATGGAAAGGTCGATTGACACCAGAGTTCATCCTAAGCAGAGTTCCAAGAATTTAGTCCTGTCATAAGATTCTTGGGTGCAGAAACAGAAGAACTGGGTGACCCTGGGCCCACAGAAGGGCTGGGCTGATGAGGCCTGGGTGGAGTTGGGGTAGTAGGGGAGGAGGATATCTGTGTACAAAAGATAAGGTGAGTGGGAACGGTAGATGCAGAAAACTACATGGTGACTGGCTTCCCTTTTCCATTTTCATCTACAATTAGCTGGGAGGAGATGTTCCTCCCCAGGGGTGGAGGTGGGGAAGCCTTCTTTCTGCATTGGTGTCTTTGTTCCTCCATCCCATTTGACCATATCATTAGCCTAAAATTCTGTGATTTACTCGCATCAAAGGTACCAACTTCTTCAGCCCCATCTTGCTCAATCAGTGGAGGGACTCACTGAAATCTTTCAGTCCAGCAAGCAGCAGCAAGTGAGAGGGGGCTTGAGGTTATCATTCATTAAGTTCAATCCATATTTAGTTCCCAGTCTTGCACTACATTGCCAGCCTAGAGAAGAACACAGCCCAAAGTCTTGGGTAAACTCTCTGTTGAAATGCCCACATGCATCTAAACTGAGGAAATGGGAAGCTATGAAACAGGGACCCGTGACAAATTGCCTCATCCCATGAGAAACGGTCCCCAGTGCTTTGAGGATGGTTTTCTGAAAGTCCAAGGAGAAAGAACATCCCAAGGAGAAATACACAACTTACACTCTTCCTTCTGCACCCACCTGGGTATGTCACGAGTGCCTTCCTGAGACTAGAGGAAAGAGAAGTCAATTTCCCCAAGTGCCACTTGATTCTTGCTCTTTATAATACCCAACGATGCTTTCTATTCCTTTTTATAAGGATAAGTCAATTAACTTATCCAAAATTGACTTAACCAAAACTCCATAAAGAATTATCAATGGAGCTCTGATATTTAAAATCCCATGGTCTTAAATATTCCAGTGTACTTAATATTCTTTTGATGGAGTGGATGACTAGCCTCACTGGTTGGTTATAATTATTCACAACTAAACTGGCTTCATTGTTTTTACAGAAAGCAAATATTTAATAAGAAGAATATCATTTCACTTTCACAGTCTTAATTTATGTAGCTCATGAAAAAACAACAGTTCTATAGATAGTAACAGATAAGCAAGTATATTACAAGTGTATCAGTGTTAGTTTTCCATTGTTGCATAACATGTTGCTACGACCTCAAAGGCTTAAGACAAATAATATCACATGGCATGGCTCTGTAGGTCAAAAACCTGGGGAAGCTCAGCTGATTATTCTGCTTAGGGTCTCCCAAGGCCAAAATCAAAATGTCAGTTAGTCTGGCCTCTTATCGGAAGGTTCTGGGGGAAAATCCATTTCTAAGCTTATGAAGGTTTTTAGCAGAATCCAGCACCAGACAGCTTTGGGTTGGAGGTCCCTTTTCCTCTCTGACCTCAGCCAGGGGCCACTCTCTGCTTAGAAGACACCGATTTCCCTTCTCACCCAGAACCTCCAATCCTCCAGCCAATAATGGTGCCCTTGAGTCCTTCTTAGGCTTCAAATCTCTCTGCCTCTAGCAAGAGAAAACTTTCTGCCTTTTAAGTACTGGCATGTGACTCAGTGTAACAAATCTGCCTGCCATGCTGGAGACACAGGAAACACAGGTTCAGTTCCTGGGTTAGGAAGATCCCTTGGAGGAGGACATGGCAACCCATGCCAGTATTTTTGCCTGGAGGATCCCATGGACAGAGGAGCCTGGCGGACTACAGTCCATGGGGTTGTAAAGAGTTGGACATGACTAAGCACGCACGGTAAGATTAGGCCTACGCAGATCATCCCCCTCTTGCCATGTAATGTACCATAATCATGAGAGGAACACCAGGGCAGGAGGAAGGTCTTGGGGCCAGCTTTAAATTCTGCTCACTATAGCAAAGGCACAGAGAGAGACAGTCTGGTGTTATCATTAAAGGTTCAGTCGCCAACCACAGCCAGCATGTAGAAATTGAGCATAATAAAAGCAAGCCTTAAAGAGTTTTTATAAGCAATTGCTTTAAAAAGCCTTATCTTCCCTTCCATGTCACAAATGACACAGAGGCAGCTAACCTAATACTCAAAGAGAAGATATAAAATGAGATGATTCTTATCTATTTCTTAGCATCAAAATTAATGACTTAAATAGATATTCACTTACTCATGTCCCTGGGTAGTCTTAGGTGTAATTTTCACTAGAAAGGTTCTTTGCTTCTCTGATAGTTTTGCAGAAAAATCAAGTGGTCGATTATGGAGTAGGTGGCCTAAATGATATGTGCACCCATTTTTTTTTCCTACTGTCCAGAATGGCTAACTTCCTGGTACCTGTAGATTTGAAAAATGAATTCTTAACTTTCACTTCATCAAAACAGACTTATAAGTCTGATTTCATAAATGTCTGGTTTGGAGTCCTAGTTCATTACTCAGGACCAAGAAACAAAAGACCTTAAATCTCACTGATAGACCTTTGGGAATTGGTATTCCCTTTTAAGTGCCTCCCAGAACAAAGACAGAACCAGAGTATGACAGAAAAGCCCAAAGTCTTTATGAGACTCTAAAACTGACTTAAAACTTGTATGAGCTGCAATAACTTGAGGATTTCATAAGTGTCTCCACTTGTGTTGTTTTGTTACTGTCATTGTTGCAGGCCCATGACAGCCCCCCAGATGAGCAGGTGTGACCAAGGCCATAAAGGGGCCACCACAGCCAACCACACCATGTCCTCTGGGGTGAATACCAGGTAACTCCCTGGCCTTATGCTTCTGTGGTCTCAATTTCATACAACCTGAATCTCAGCCATTGGGAATGAAAAGAATCCTGAAACTAGTCAATACTGAGGGTGAAATTCTCCAAAGAAAAGAAGGTGAGAGTTTAGAGTTATATGAAAATTCTGAGGCCATTTTTAAAAAGTGTCACCTTCATAAATGAAGAGAAATAAGACATCTTTAAAAAATGGCGTTCCTTTGTTTGTGTGAACATGCAAGATGTTCTCTGCCTCCTGGGTGGTCTTTGAACTATTCCACTGTTGTTTCATTTGCCTTTTTGTTGGACACAGATGAAACAATAATAATCAAGAGGTGGTTTCTCATTCCAGGGCAGTTGTGCAGAGTCAACTTTCTTTCATGTGGACAGATTTTCTGCAGACATTTCATCCAAACTTTGACTTAGGTCCCTACATGATGCTTTCACAGTTGTTGACTTAATCATCTTCCTTGTTTTAGTGTAACTCAAGATACTGGCTGGACTAGTTAATACCTTACCTGCTTCATTCTGTGTAGGTTAACCTCTAAATACCCTGAGACAGAAAGAAATGTTCAATTAACTTCTTCCTCCAAGGAAGAATTTAAGACAGGGCAAACCTAAAATCAGTTTGAGAGAAAGTTCTCTTTTCCCAGTGTGGGCTAGTTAGTGCAATGATCATAAGGAAAAACGAAATAATTTTCTAGTCTCTCTGAAGCACATTTTAAAGTGTGTATCATTATTTATGTAAATACCCTGCTCATCATATGCTTATGTTAAAAATGAAATAGATTTCAAACTAGTGTTGACTTGGGCTTCAGTGTCTCACATTAACTAAAAATGATTCTTTGGGTTTTGAGTAATGAGTTTAAGTGATGCTTAGGGGTTTCTCTCCCTGGAGAAGGGCATGGCAACCCACTCCAGTATCCTTGCCTGGAGAATCCCCATGGACAGAGGAGCCTGGCAGGCTACAGTCCACGGGGTTGCCAAGAGTCAGACATGACTGAGCAACTAACCACAGGGGTTTCTCTAAGCGTACTGAGCTATGTTCAACTAGGCTAGATGAAAGTTACACAGAGAAAGAGGGCTTCTAAATTCCTGTTGCCAATCACTCATAAAAGGAGAAGTCTCTAGAACCGAAAGGAAGTCAGCCATAATTTCCCCTCTGGTCCCCTAAGATATAGCACATAATGTTAAAATTGTGAGTAGATTCACCTTACCTTTAAAGTTTTCAAAACTGTCCCTCATGAGACCACATTCTGTGAGTCTGGGTGTGTTTTTACAATATTTGTCTTTCTACAAATTATCTGGAAATGGAACAGCTTTCCTGGCAGCTATTATTGCAGTATCTGTGATAGCTGAATGACAGATCAAGATTTTATGCTTTAGAATTAGTACATGGTGAGCTAATTAGAATTAGTTATGGTGAGCTTACCAAAATGTGTAGCTTCAAAGGCTCCTCATGAGGAAAAGTCTTGAAGAGGACCCACCACAGGGCCCTGTTCTTGCTCTGATAGTGACTCAGACTGTTTTTCTGACTCTCAGGTACCAGGAACAAGGCGCCAAACTGCACTTCATCAGGTACAGAAAGACAACCTAACTTTTTTTAAAAAAAAAGATAAACACCTTTAATATTTTGGAAAGCATCTTAGCAATTGTTTATTTTTACACAAACATACACAATCACATAATTATATATAAATAGATTGTCTTCTATGGTCCTCTTTTTGAAACCTGCCTTTTTTAATGCAACACTATGTCACACCCATCTTTCAAAGCCAGTAAATGTAGAGCCTTACCTTCATGTATAATGATTGGATATGTCTGATTATAAATATATGCTCTTATTTGTTAATCAAGCCTCTATTTGTGGGCTATTTAAGCTGTTTCCAATAGTTTGCAATTATAAGCAACCATGTAATGGCTAGATCCCATTGGGCAATTACTTATGATTTGACTGTCTTCCCCAAATGGCCTCTGGCTTCTCCAGGACATTGCCTTTGTTCACACTTCTTTCTTTTGAGAGGGAAGTTCTTTCTCATTTGCTTAATAGTTATTATGTCTTTTTAAAATCTTTTCCTACATTATAAAAGTAAAATTCACAACCCATTAAAGCATATCCTTCATCCTAGATTGCCCACTTAAATCAAGGAAAGCCTCACAACACTAGAGGGTAGTGAGTTTTAAACTTTTTTAACAATGAGCCACATTAAGTAATACATTTTTTAAAATCAGGAATTAAAATATACTTTAGGGGGTAGAATCTCCCATATATTTTATTCTTTTTTAAATTTAATTTTTTATTTTATTTTTTACTCTTTTTAAAATTTATTTTAATTGGAGGATATTAATTATTGTGTTGGTTTCTGCTATACATCAATATGAATCAGCCATAGGTATACATATGTCCCCTCCGTCTTGAGCCTACCTCCCACCTCATTCCATCCCAGCCCTCTAGGAGGACAACTCTTAATTTTGTACTATTTAATAATTCTGTCATCTTGTGATGATTTGCCTTGTGAGCTGGGTTATGGTTCCATCAGGTTTCATTTCATTCATGCGTGGCATCCTAATTCCACATAAATCCTCAGGAAGTGACTAATGTAAAGTCACTACAGTTTGGGGTGATAGCCTCTTCTAGGATGATGAACTTTCTTTATTTTTCCAATGAGTTTCTCCTTGGCCCTGCCCTGCCCTGCTGCTTCATTAACTTGGATATAATATAAGGCAGGAGTCCCCAACCTCTGGGATCTAATGCCTGATGATCTGAGGTGAAGCTGATGTCATAATAATAGAAATAAAGTGCATAATAAATGCAGTGTGCCTGAATCATACCCAAACCATTCCCTTCCCACCCTGTCTGTGGAAAAATTGCCTTCCATGAAACCAGATCCTGGTGCCAAAAAGTTTGGGGACCACATCATGTTTTTCTTCAACATGATACCCTTCTTTCACAGCTGCCCACCACACATACCTTCCCAGACCCCCAGTTAATAATTTTATTGCCATAACTTTTAATAATAATTTTATAATTTCCCCAGAGAAAACCTGCACTTACTGGAGGAAGGGCAGGGCCTTCCCAGGGAGGAGCTGGATGAACGGATCGCTCGGGAGGAGTTCAGGCGGCCTCGGGAGTCTCTGCTGAACATCTGCACAGAGTTCTACAAGCACTGCGGGCCCAGGCTGAAGATCTTGCAAAACCTGGCGGGCGAGCCGCGGGTCACGGCCTTGGAGCTGCTGGATGTGAAGTCTCACATGAGGTACCATCCTCCTTTTCTCACCCCGAGTGTGCACGCAGCCAGGGCAGGCGGGGCTGGGGCGGTCCACAGGCTGACTGAGATGCGGCAGGATCAAAACTTGTAACTGGTTGGAATTGATCGGTCTCCTGTGGTTTGGATACGTGACAGATGGAGCCCTCTGGGAAAATGGATGTCAAATCCATGGAAAAGGATCTTGGCGTGGACAGGGGGAGATATTCTTAAAGTCAGAAAAGCCCAGTGGATATTTGCTCCTCAATAAGAGAATGAAAGGGACCTTGTGTCACCTGAGTTCTTATAGAAGTAACATTCCTCCAAGCACTCTTGACTGCCCCAATTCTAATTTTTCTTAAGAATCCAGTGTCTCCTGTCTCTTAAATTGCACGAAAAGTGCACAGCTGCTTTCTGCTCCGGAACTTGCTCTGTTCCTGCAATATCTGAGGACTCAGTGATGAGCCTACAGCGAAGGAGCAGTTTTAACTTAGAAGCACACTTTGGTTCAGTCTGAGATTCCTTTTATACACATTGTGCATGATAGCCTTCCAGTATTTCAGAAATGTCCTGGTAAAAATTCTGCACTAGTTGAGGCCAGTCACCATTTAAAAATTTGTACTCCTGGTGTATCAGAGAGAGACCCCAGAATTACATCTCTGTGCACTCATATTTCCTTCTTCCTAGGGAAATGTCATTTTACTTGTTACTCAGACTATAAAGGCTGTGCCTGTATTTTCAGGTTCTTCAAAGGAACATGATTCCAGGGGATCTTCTATTTTGATTTATAACAGTTTTTAAAGGATTATAAAAATTCCTGGAAAGGAAAATTCCATGGGTAACTGAATATTCCCTTGAAGAGTTTAGTAGATCTATAAACCTAAAGGTAGGCTTAGGTTCTAGCCTTTCAGAAATAACATTGCAATTTGGCAAAACACACCAATTTCCTGATTATCGCCTCATTTTTCTCTCTAAAATTATCCCTTGAAAAATTTAGAAAGTACTAAGTGAGGGAAAATGAGAAATGTATGAAGAACACAGGCTCTTTCTCCTCCAGACTGATTTCACACTCTCTGAGTTGTTGGCACACACCCAGAACTCCATAGCATCACATGTGTTCACACTCCCCACTGCGCTGTGATGGAAAGAGCTTATTTTACACTAAGAATTTCAGCTCCAACACTGGGAAAGGGGAAGAAAGTTTGGAGTGTTAAGCTCCTGTTGCCATAGTAACTCAGTACTTCAGTCAGGCCATCTCCCCTCCTTTCCTACTGATCATGGCTTGTTGTTCAGTCACTAAGTCATTTCCAACTCTTTGTGACCCCATGGACGGCAGCACCCAGTCTTCCCTGTCCTTCACTATCTCCCAGAGTTTGCTCAAACTCATGTCCATTGAGTCAGTGATGCCATCTTTCATCCTCTATCATCCCTTTCTCCTCCTGGCTTCAATCTTTCCTAGCATCAGGGTCTTTTCCAATAAGTCAGCTCTTCTCATTAGGTGGCCAAAGTTTTGGGGTTTCAGCAATAGTCCTTCCAGTGAATAACCAGGGTTGATTTCCTTTAGGATTGACTGGTTTGATCTCCTTGCTGTCCAAGGGACTCTCAAGAGTCTTTTCCAGCACCACAATTCGAAATAATAAATTCTTTGGCACTCAGCCTTCGCTATGGTCCAACTCCCACATCCATACATGACTGCTGGAAAACCATAGCTTTGACTATATGGACCTTTGTCAGCAAAGTGCTATCTCTGCTTTTTAATATGCTGTCTAGTTTTGTCACAGCTTTTCTTCCAAGGAGTAAGTGTCTTTTACTATTGTGGCTACAGTCACCATCCACAGTGATTTTGGAGCCCAAGAAAATAAAATCTGTCACTGTTTCTACTTTTACCCATCTATTTGCCATGAAGTGATCATGGCTAGCTGACCTAAGTTATTCCATGTCACATTTCCAGAGTCAGAGATACGCTACTATCAACAGACATTTTGTGGGAAAAGATTCCTAAAAGATAGGAGAGTGAATGAAGAAAGAGAGGAGAGACACAAAGCTGGAGAGTGAGATCATAACAATGAATGAGTAACTGTCCTGTAACTGGACTGTCTGTATCTGGATTCCTTAAGGCATTTGGAGGGAGGGGAGATCATGAGTCAGAGAGGCCTGGAGCTCCCTCTAGAGGTCAAACCCTGTTAAAGATTAAATGAGCTCCAGAAAGGCAAACAGCTTCATGCCTGGCACAGACCTAGGGATCAATAGATACCAATGCTGATGAGAAAGATCCAAACACTATCCTAGACACTGGGGATGTAAAATAAAGCCCTTGTCTTAACAGGATCACAGTCCAATACTGAGACGCACATGAGAACGCAGACTGCTGTGTTGCAAGTACTATGTATCACATGTGAGTGTTTAGTTTATTATTTTACCAAGTACTTGAGGCAACTTAGAAAATCATATGATGCAAAAGAACACAGTTTACAAATTAGAGAGTCAGAACGATGTGAAAACTTAGCAGCGAAATAATTTTTTTAACATAGCAAATCTATGATTTTATCATATTAGATACTACTCATGAGCTATAAATTTGACTTTGTGCTATCAATAGGGAGACATGACCAATTGTGAAGTCATAGGGTCAATAAGATAAAAACAGCTAGTTTCTTGGTAAAACATCACCTTTTTAAATATGGAAAACAAGAAGTATTTCTTGTTGATGTATGTTAAAAGGAAAGAATAGTGTGACAGACACCATCCTCAACAACATCCCATAGTAGATAAAGGACCATCTTCCTGGGACTGGATGCCTGTCAGCGCTGAAAGTTGCATGATGTCATAATGCAATTCAGCAAGAGTCAACTGTATGGAGCCAGCATAAGGTCATTCTAGGGCACCATTATTTCATGGCCTGAATCTAGAGAAATGTAAGCAAAACTTTTACTAGCAGGGAATATTTAGACTAAATGCCCTCTAATGCAATTTCTCATAACAAATTTTCAATAAAAAATGGACCTTCCTTGTTCTCTGGCCAGAGTTTTCTAAGTAGTGATAGTTCCATATGCTTTGACCTTATACCAAGAAAAGGACATAATGAAGGCCTTCTTTTATAAATAAAGTATACATTTGGATGTATGTGTAAGTCAGAGCTCAATATATAAGTTCTAGAACTGGGGACATATAGGTAGTACATAAATTTATAAGAATGGATACTATCAACCAAGGAGAGAGGGTTGATTTAAAGAAAAAAAGAAATGGGATGATATAAAAGAGGATATATTTGCAAGAAGTACTTGATTTGAATCAGAGTCAAGAGGAGTGTTGAGATGGTCTATATCCCTGCATTTGCAGAATATATGATTGATTGCAAGGCTCTCAAGAAAAACATTCTTGATTGAATAGTTTCTACCCCAAGGGAATTTATTGCCTCATTTTCTCAGACCAAATCTGCTAAGCAGTGGAACGGAGAACAGTAAGCTCTGCAAATGCATTTCTCACCCCCAACCTTTCTCTGTCTCTCTCTCTCTCTACTTCCTCCCCTCCCCTCCCCCCTCTCTCCAATTCTCCCTTTCTCCCCCTCCTTCTCTATCTTAGGTTCTCAAGATTATTCATGCAATAGTACAGCAAACCCTGTATTAAATGAAATTTTTGTTTTATGCTGAAACATATTCATGTTGTAACAGCCCAGGAATGAGCATTTTGGGGGCTCCAAAATCACTGCAGATGGTGAATGCAGCCATGAAATTAAAAAACGTTTGCTCGTTGGAAGAAAAGGTATTACCAACCTAGACAGCATATTAAAAAGCAGAGACGTTACTTAGCCAACAAAGATCTGTCTCCTCAAAGCTATGGTTTTTCCAGTAGTCATGTATGGATGTGAGAGTTGGACCATAAAGGAAGCTGAGTGCCAAAGAATTGATGCTTTTGAACTGTAGTGTTGGAGAAGACTCTTGAGGATCCCTTGAACTGCAAGGAGATCCAACCAGTCCATCCTAAAGGAAATTAGTCCTGAATATTCATTGGAAGGGCTGATGCTGAAGCTGAAACTCCAATAGTTTGGCCACCTCATTTGAAGAACTGACTCCTTGGAAAAGACTCTGATGCTGGGAAAGATCGAAGGCAGGAGAAGGGGACGACAGAGGATGAGATGGTTGGATGGCATCACCGACTCTATGGACATGAGTTTGAGTAAACTCCAGGAGTTGGTGATGGACAGGGAAGCCTGGTGTGCTGCAGTCTATGGGGTCGCAAACAGTTGGACATGACTGAGGAACTAAACTGAACAGGGATGAGAGAAATTCAATAAATAGTCCATTAAATGACTCAAATTCACTCTAAGCATTGTGTTCAAGTTTGGAATAGACCAGTGTTTTCTCCCGCATTTCTTAAGGCTGCCTCGGCTGAGATGGTAAAGAATCCACCTGCCAATGCAGGATGCCTGGGTTCAATCCCTGGGTCGGGACGACCCCCTGGAGAAGGGAATGGGAACTCTCTCCAGTATTCTTACCTGGGAAATCCCCATGGACATAGGATCCTGGCGGGCTACAGCTCATGGGGTCACAAAGAGTTGGACATGACTGAGCAAACAAAACACAAAATAATAAGGGAAAGGAAATGCATGTATACTGATATACCCTTACCTGTCTGTCAGACAACCTGAAAAGTAAAGAATTATTTTCTGCCTGACACATCTGTGAGAAAGAGATAAACAAAAGAATGTGAAGGCTGTCTAAGATGATTTCTTTTAAAACACTCTCACTCACACAAAATTCCCAGAAGGACAATGTGTACATTCAGTCTGGAGAGAGGATGAGTGGGAATGATAGTGTTGCCATGGATGTTTGATTATACTGAATTCATGCTTCCAGATGAGGCCTCATAGGAATAATTTGAGAGAATTTGGGAACCTAATATGAGGAGAGCTTTCCACAGTATGGACCTCCAAAGATGGAATGAGCTGCCTTGTGGAACAGTGATAAATCCTCCATCCCTGGCACTAGTCAAATGGATACAGTTGTGGAGCACTCCATGTTTTGAAAGCAAGGGCTTAGCTCTGATTCTTATACCAGAGTGCCTATCAGAATCACCTGCATTCTTAAACTATAGATCTCTTAAGCACTTATCCTGTCTCTCTTGGAGTAATGATATGTAAAATAGATGACCAGTGCAAGTTCGATGTATAAAGCAGGGCACGCAAAGCTGGTGCTCTGGGATAACCCAGAGGGATAGGATGGGGAGGGAGGTAGGAGGGGGGGGTTCAGGATGAGGGGGACACATGTATACCCGTGGCTGCTTCATATTGATGTGAGGCAAAAAACCATCACAGTATTGTTAAAGTAATTATCCTCCAATTAAATAAATTTTTACAAAGGAAGCTTCTTATTAACATGTTATAGTTAATATACGAATAAAAGAATGATACAGTACTGCCATTGTACTACTTCTGATGAGTTAATGGATCTGTGTAGTGATCACTGATGCCCGCTGACATCATCGAGTACAACTAGGAATCACGTGCCTCCGAATGCAGGTACACATTGCCTGTGAAGGACACATACCAGGAAGTCAAGATCTAATCTGATCTAGCTCCTGGATATAGCTAACAATTGAATTAAATACGGGGAAATAGGATCAATTAAATGACACCATGGAGACTCAGTCAGGAGAATCCAGTATGTGGGAAATGCTACAGGACAAAAAGCTAAATAAATTACTGAATGTCCAAAAAAGAGTACAAGAGGGGGAACTGACAAGTAGGAAAGGCTTCAGAGACATATGTGGGTCTAATTTTGTCCAGATTTTTTAAAATGTTTATTTACATAATATAAGAAAATGTGCTAGAATGTTCGTAGCTCAGGGAGTCAAGTGTATTGGAAGGAGGGTGATTAGCATGATGCTGTGTGAGGAAAATTCCCATGGTTGGTGGCATTCTAAGCTTCTTCTTTAAACACAAAACAAAATGTTTTAGGTTGGCAGAAATCGCACACTCCCTTCTGAAGCTGGCCCCATACGACACCCAGACCATGGAGAGCCGTGGGCTTCGACGCTACATCATGGAGATGCTCCCCATCACCGACTGGAGCGCTGAGGCAGTGCGGCCGGCCCTTATCCTCATTTTAAAGAGATTGGATAGGATGTTCAACAAAATTCATAAGATGCCTACTTTGAGGTGAGGAGGCCTCCTAATCCACTGCAGGTATTGCAAGCCTCAGATTTCAAGTCTGTCAGTTTTTAAGGTGGTGGACCAATCCAGAGTTGAAGGAATGGCTCAAAAGTGTTCTGTTGGTTATATGTGCAGAGCTAATCAGGATATGAATGCATAAGTAGCCGGGTTTGTATTTTTGAAGAAATAACATATTCTTCAAAAGTACATATCTATCTTAAAAGTCTATTTATTTCTTAGCTATCATGTTCCTTATCTGACACACCTAAAAAGTTCAATGTGTATCCTTCAATTCCTTTTCAAATAAGGCAGGATATGCCTTATAAATTAAACAACTAAGGACAGAGGAAAAATTAACTTGATGTTCAAAAAATACATCTTTAACATAATATTGTAGGTATCACTTTAGAGAAATGACAGGCTTTACAATAATCAGTAAAGCACCAGGTAAAGAGATCTCAGGGTTGATAACAAGTACCTAATTCAGGTGGTACTAAATCAATGTTGTTATCACTTAATCTCCATTCTGGGGCCTGAAGTATTGTTTGGTAGCCTGTCTATGAGCAGTTGTCTCTGAACCCATCTACATGGAGATCTGAACCCAGTCTGGAAATCTATAGCTGCAGTGGGCAAACAAATCAATTAAGAAATGCTAATAAACCCAGTAGATTGGAAATTTGAAGTTTCGGTGAGACTATTTTCTGTCCTGTTAAACTAAGCCCAAATCAATGCAACTCTTGCCCAAAAATTTGTAGCACTTATCGCTCAATGTGCCAAAACTTTTCCAGGTTTTAGCCTGTGTTTTTCTTCATTTATGCAGTCATCTGAAACTGTTGAATTTATTAAAAAGAAATTGAAACATTTTATTCTAATAAATGTTTAACAGTTTGATACTATATTCTTTTCTACCATGATGATGGTTGCCTATACATGATTTCAAGGTTATTTTAGTAGCATAGAAATGCCTATCCTTAAAACACTCCTATTTTCTTTAATAGTCCCAGTAGAACACTTGTCCTTACTGACAAATGACCAAAGTTTTATACATCTTACAAAGATGTGTAAAAATAACTTTTTTTTCCCATTTATTTTTATTAGTTGGAAAGATGTGTAAAAATAACTTTTCATCTAAAGATATTAACACCTCCATAAGCACCTCATTTGTCATATAATTAAACCTGTTATGAAGAATAGCAGCTTCCTAAAAGTAGACTTTTGGATTAATGTGTAGACTTAGTTAATAATAATAGGCAATTTTCTTGGGGTACAGTGTGTGAATTTGGGGTTGCTTTGGATTAAATTTCTTCAGGTGATCTCAGTTCAACAAGAGACATGTTGACTGAACCTGACCTGTGGGTTACTTGTGCGACAGGGATGTCAACATATCCTCATGTATGAACATTCCTGTTTTATTATTATAGTGATTTCAATCTGGTAGGCAATGTAAGCTTAGAAAGTATTTCCAGGATAATATTTGGAAATAGCATTGATCTCAGTAAAGCCCAACCTGTTTATCTAGGGGACCATAGAAATGACTCTTTGGTCCTGAGACAGTTACAGACCAGATAGTCTTTTATTACAGAAAATCTCATGCTCATCTAATTGAGCTATGTATACTGCCATATTTACTACCACAGAAAGTAGTCTCAAAGCATCATTTTTCAGAAGGTCAAGAAAGAACACTTTTTAAATAGACTGTTTTCCTCTAATGTCTTTTTGCCAGGAGTGAAGTCACATAAGTCTAATTAGTTATAGTCTGGTATAAAAGCTTATGAAATCAACTGTAATCTGATTTTTAAAAAAAAAAAAAGCATTATAGAAACACAGCCTATAGTCAGATTACTTCTGTTGTGAGGAATGACTCCTACAGTAGGTTTCCTATAATGGTAGTCTCGCACCCTTTCTCAAAGCTAAAACCAGGAAACCTGAAAGGCCACTCATTCGTCATCTCTGTTTCTTCTTCGATAGATTTTGTCTCGTTAGTCGGTGGGGCAGGAGTGCCTCTGCTGCGCTTTCCCTCTGTGCTTTTGGAACATGGGTAAACGTCATCCCTCGTGAAGCGCTTCGTTGTCTCCAACGCCCATCCTGTCTTAGGTGGCATCAGAATCACTGTCTCACTCGCTTGTTTCAGGCAGTCTCCGGAAGGGAGCCCCACTGCTAATGGCCCCTGTATTGTATTCCAGGCGACAGGTTGAGTGGGAACCTGCCAGCAATTTGATTGAAGGGGTTTGTTTGACGCTTCAGAGGCAGCCAATCATTTCCTTCCTGCCTCACCTTAGGTCACTGATCAATGTCTGTGTCAATCTGGTGAGTAGCCAAGTGGCAATGTTGTGAAACTTGACAAAATTTAACTCTGCTATTGACTTCTCTGAGCTGAAGACTTACAGGTCAACCTGCCTAGCTACATACCTACCCGTGAAAACAGATGGCTCAGGTGACACTGAAAATAGTGAGGTACATTTCAAGGTGGTGCGTGGGGAGATCCCTACACAGGTGGGGTTTTCGTGTGCTGCTTCCCACGTGCTACTTTGACAATCGACCTCTTCAAGTTGCGCTGAGAGTTGAGGGCTGCCAGTTGGAGAGTGGGGTGGTGGGAGACTATTCAATTGGCTACAAGTTGAGGTAGTGTGGGGTGGGGGAGTTTAAAGGGCAAAGAGGATTTTTTTTTTTTTAGTGCAAAATGACACTATGAGTTGGCCAGTCTAGGATTTATGTGAAGAGAAAAAACAAAGCAAAACTTCTTTTATCATTTATGTAATATCTAGAGTCTGATCTTGACAAGGTTTTGTACAATGTGGAAACCATGGTAGAGCATTTCATGAATAGAATCTGCTGCTTAGCTAGTTAAGCAATAAATCTGTAGCTGGAATGCCTAGCGCAAATAGAGCTCTTGTCACCATCATTGTTGTCAGTATTTACCTCATCAAAGAATGTTGACTGCGTTCCTTTGAGTCCACAAGTAAGTATGTCCAGTCTCCTGATTAGACTAATTTTTGATTCATCTCTCATTATTTACATAGTTAGTTATAAACAGCATTCTACAAAGCCTTGGCTAAATCCGGTGTGATCGCTTGATCTGACTCCAGATATTACATGCCTTCAAAAGAAGGCAGCACGAACAGATTGAAAGTAACATGCCCAACCTTCAACTTGTTATCATCGTTGACTGAGACTCCCTTCCTCCAGTTGCATGAAGTTGCAATGGTCAAGGCTGGTCATGTGCTCTGTTTGTATTTCAGGTGATGGGAGTGGTAGGACCCTCCAGTGTTGCTGACGGATTGCCCCTTCTTCATCTCAGCCCTTATCTCTCACCACCTCTGCCCTTCAGCACAGCTGTTGTCCGGCTTGTAGCATTGCAGATACAGGTGTGACTGCCTTACCTGTTTGTCACGCTCATTACATTGCTGGCTGAGGCACCAGATCATGGTGTTCTCTTTTATCTTTCTGCAAAGGCTGGGCAAAATCTGTGAAACAGAAGTGTAAACATCTCCAAACTTTTGCAGGTTTGGAGCTTCAGCCCTGAGCTTGATCCTAAAGTTGGGCTTCTGTAATTCTTCTTGAGATTTCAAAAATAGCAGAGTCACCGCAGTCCTGCCACAACCCCAGGAGCCACCTCTGTCATTTAAAACCTGTGCCAAAACTTCAGGAAAATAATGGCCCACAGATAATCAGCTCACAGTTGTTAATTAAAAGAGTCATATTCCAAGTCTGGTTTTAAATTATTTGCAGAAAGAGCTGCAATAAAAAAATAATCTTCAAATGTTATTACTAGACTTTGAATATCTTACTTTTCTTTAATGATTGTGGGTTAAATATTATGGGCGTTTTTTATCATTTTTCTCCCAGGTCTTTTATTTCCTAAAATTAAAATAATCATTCCCAAGCCAAAAAAAAAAAAATGTGTAGAATCTCCATTTCTCTGCTTATTTGTTTGTAACCTACTTTAAAGAATGGTAAATCACCAGAAAACTCTGTGACCAATGGAAAGTATACAATTGCGGCAAGTGGATAACTGACCCATTCCTTATCTGACAAACCAAGTCTGATGGTCATCATCCAGCTAATAGGTAGATTATGGAAAAGAGATTAAGCAAGTGCTGTGTTTACTATGCAGAAAGGATACAGAGACATCCAGGATACAGAGATATCCCTAAAGTGATGCATTTTAACAACCTGTATACAGAGGTCATTGTTTCTTTCTATATTGTCTATTGCTTTCTGGCTGGAAGAAGTTCTCATACCGGGGTCAGGTGACTTTTAAGTAACTCCCAAATGGAGCAGGCAGCAAGTTCTCCGTTTCTTCTTTTTCTTTGGTCACTAAAATATTTATTGGTGGATAGACGCATGGAGAAACCGAAGGGGGTAATGCGGGGTTTTTTGTGCCAAATGATAGGTATTAAAATTTTTCATTTGATACTCAAAATATTACTGTTTTTTAGGTATATAGCTCTCAATTATATCGAGCAAATGGTAAAGTATCAATTTGGGGTAAATCTTGTATGCTGCACAGATGACAATTGAACTCCTAGTTTGCAGGTGCAGTCGGCAGGGAGTCCCTGTCTCCACCATGCTGTGTAAGAACAAACAGACTGAATGGGTGAGGGGGTCAATTAATCTTTTTTTCTATTATTGCTGCACAGGCTTTAAAAGAAGATTTCCCCTTAAGCCATGTGATCTCCCCATTCACCAATCAAGAGCGAAGGGAGGGGATGCTTTTAAATCTGCTCATCCCATTTGTGCTCACAGTAGGATCTGGAAGCAAAGGTCTGATTAATTTAACTAAAAGAAATTTATTATTGTTACTGTGTTTTCTTAAGTATCAGGCTGTTATATCTTCCTTTTCCCATGGAGACCATCATTAAATTCAATCTGAATAATTTAAACAGGGTTATCTCGGGATATACAGGTTTTCTTTCTATTCAATTTAGCTGCCCTTAGTCAAGACTTTTCTGTGCTCCACTTCTTAGAAGACACATGCTATTTAACATCATTTCAGGATAGCAAAAATCAAGAGAGCATTGTTTCAATTATGAAAATGGGACTACCTGAAGTACAGTATGATATGAATTGACAGATAAATGGACTTAATAACCTAAGGACACTAGGTTTAGCATAAATCCTGCCATTGTCATTAAATTTCAATATGTTTTCATTACTCTTTCTTTTGGGCGGATTTTTTCTTTTAGGAAAAGTTTATCTCATATGTAAAGGTAGTGTGTTATGAGTATTTGAACAGAAAAAAAAAAAGGAAGAAAGGAGATTGAAATGGTAAGCAGGAGATTTGGCTAAGAACAGGGACCCTTTGGTGCTGACCACGGAGGAGATACCCAGGAGCACTACTTCTGTCCATAGGAGAAGCTGTGCTTGGTGGGGAAGACACTCGAATTTCTAGGATGTTCTAGTTTGGAATTGGAAAGAGAGTTGAATTTTTCAGTGTCTAATGTGGAAAGTCTGCCTTGTGACTTGCTTTTATCTCCACTTCCTCCTTCCAAACTCTGCCCCTCAGACAGCCCATGGCTGGAACAGCCCGAGGTGCAGCTGCTATTGCAGACGGTCATTAACGTTCTCCTCCCTCCACGGATCATCAGCACATCCAGGAGCAAGAATTTTATGTTGGAGAGCTCCCCTGCTCACTGCTCCACCCCAGGGGATGCAAGCAAAGACCTGCGCAAGGAAGGGCTGGCAGAGTCCACCAGCCAAGCAGCATACTTAGGTGGGTACTTCTTTTTCTGTCAATAAACAGAGAAATAAAAATAGAAAATGGATATAGGTAGAGATGTATACACAAACACACATATATGTGTATATGTACACATTGGAAGGACTGATGCCAAAGCTGAAGCTCCAATACTTTGGCCACCTGATGCGAAGAGCTGACTCATTGGAAAAGATCCTGAAACTGGGAAAGATTGAGGGCAGGAGGAGAACGGGGCGACAGAGGATGGGATGGTTAGATGGCATCGCCGACTCACTGGGCATGAGTTTGAGCAAACTCCTGGAGATGGTGAAGGACAGGGAAGCCTTGTTTGCTGCAGTCCATGGGGCCGCACAGAGTCGGACACATCTGAGCAGATGAACAACAAAATATGTATATACGTGTGTATGTATGTACATATTACTTACCTAGCTATGTTCCTCCTTTACTCAAAAAGTATTTTTAAAGACCTGTATCCAGAGAGTCTTTAAAGAAACCACTTCAGCAAGTACAAAGCGTCAGTCTCTACTTCTGCTTTCCTGTTACCTCTCCCCACTGCCATGACTTGGTTCTGATCCATTAAATACCAGAAGCTACTCTTTGGCTAGAATTAACTAAGCCAGGGGGAAAAGGCTACCCTACCCCTGCCACAGCACTGAGGCTAAGGAGCACTGGCCATAGAAAATCTCAAAAGGAGGAAGCTGAAAATATCTTGCCTGACATTTTTCAGTTCACCAAGGCAGACAGAACGGTAAAAACAGGTCCTTCGAGTTTGGAGTATGTGGGGGGTTGTGGGGCAGTGGGTAGGGGTGTTTGGAGTGCATAATAAAGGATATATTTGAAAATGATATGATCGACAATGAAAGTGAAAAAAGAAGCCAAGGCTGTATGTGCACAGGGCCTGCCCACGATTGGGACTTTGTTGCCGGAGGCAGGAGAATGTAGGTTTCTGATAAAATCCAGACTCTAGTACAGAGCCCTGCGTGAGGTTTGGGATTGTGCAGAGGATGTTGGAGAAAGAAGCCGTAACATGGAACAGAGGGATAGGAGGAAACACTTAACAAGTAACTACCTTCAGTTCTGTCCACTTTCTGCCTTTTATCTTAATTGAACTACACTTGATTTACAATTTTATGTTAGTTTCAGGTGTATGGCAAAGTGATTCAGTTCTGCATATAGAGATATCTATTTTCCTTCATATTCTTTTCCCTTACAGGTTATTATGAAATATCTAGTAGAGTTCCCTGTGTCACACAGTACTTCCTTGTAGGTTATCTATTTTATATATAGTAGTGTGTGTATGTTCATCCCAAACTCCTTATTTACGCCTCTCCCTCTTTCCCTTTGGTCACCATAAATTTGTTTTCTATGTCTGTGGGTCTATTTCTGTTTTGTATATAAGTTCATTTGTATCATTTTTTAGATTCACATAAAAGTGATACTATATGATATTTGTCTTTCTCTGTCTGACTTCCTTCATTTAATATGATCATCTCTAGGTGCATCCAGAGAAGGCAATGGCACCCCACTCCAGTGCTCTTGCCTAGAAAATCCCATGGACGGAGGAGCCTGGTAGGCTACAGTCCATGGGGTCGCAAAGAGTCAGACATGACTGAGCGACTTCACTTTCACTTTCACTTTCATGCATTGAAGAAGGAAATGGCAACCCACTCCAGTATTCTTGCCTGGAGAATCCCAGGGATGGAGGAGCCTGGTTGGCTGCCATCTACGGGGTCTCACAGAGTCAGACACGACTGAAGCGACTTAGCAGCAGCAGTAGCTAGGTCCATCCAGGTTGCTGCAAATGGCCTTATTTCATTCTTTTTTATGGCAAAGTAATATTCCATTGTATAAATATACCACATCTCCTTTATCTATTTACCTGTTGATTGACATTTATGTTGCTTCCATGTCTTGGCTATTATAAATGGTGCTGCAATGAACATTGGGGTGTGTGTATCTTTTCTAATTGTGTCTTTCTCTGGATATTTGCCCAGGAGTGGGATTGTAGGATCATTCAGTAGCTCTATTTTTTTTTTTTTAAGGAACCTCCATACTGTTCTCCATAGTGGCTGTACCAGTTTACATTCCCACCAACAATGTAGCAGGGTTCCTTTTCTCCACACCTTCTCTAGCATTTATTATTTGTAAACTTTTTGATGATGGCCGTTCTGACTGGTGTAAGGTAATACCCCATGGTAGTTTTGGTCTGCATTTCTCTGGTAGTTCGCAATGTTGAACATCTTTTCATGTGCCTTTTGGTCATTCACATGTCTTCTTTGGAAAAATATCTATTTAGATCTTCTACCCATTTTCTCGATTGGGTTGTTTGTTTTTTCCATTTTCTGCCTTTTTAATGAAGGCAGATTCTTTGGTTACTTGGCCAGGCTACTGGACTTCTCTTTTAAATTTAGTTTTACCTTTATTTTGAGCACTTAGTGGGCACTGTTTTCTAAGCTTTACATTATCATCACTCTGAATCCTCACAACAGCTCGAAGGAATAAATGTACTCACTTTAGTAAGAGGCTAAGACATGGGAAGATCCCTTGGAGAAGGAAATGGCAACCCACTCCAGTATTCTTGCCTGGAGAATCCCATGGACAGAAGAGCCTGGCAGGCCACTGTCCATGGGGTCGCAAGAGTCAGATGTGACTTAGCAACTAAATGACAATGATGAAGGCTCAGAAAGGTTAAGTACCTTACCTAAAGTCACACTGTTTGGTGGCAGGACCAAATTTCAAATCAAATCCATCCATCACCAGAATCCCTGAGCCCTCTGCCATTCTGCTTGTTTTGGGCTGATGTGGTGAAGGTGGAAAGCAGGAAGGCAGAAATACAAAGAAGGCCAACAGGCACACAACAATAGAAGTGTCACCACGATCAGGGTAGGATTAGAGGAATGCTACTTTTTGTTCATGTGCTTGCAACGTCAAGGGAGAGGAATAGAGGTGAGTAGATGGGGAAGGAAGAATCTTACCACTCTTTCCCCGTGTTATATACCCTAGTTTTCCCCCTAGAAATGCCTGAAATAGATGGCAATGGTGATTTCTGAGGCCTTTAAGGAGTTGGATTTCTATGTGTCTTCTAGATGCTGAGATGGGCCTTAATACATGATGGACAAGGCCCAGGTTACTTTGATTGCCCCACAGGAGGCCCTCGGGGGAGAGCTGGGGTGGCAGAGGAAGCCCCCACCATAATTTTTGATGTCATTACAGTATTCTGGGCTGTCTTGGCACACTGAGATATCTGCTTCCTAAAAATATATTTTACAATGTAGTTTGTAACAAAGCTGCCAGAATCTGGAAGAAAAGAGATATTGTAAAATAAATCCCATAGGGTTTAGTAATAGACATGATGAGAGGCAAGGGAGGAAGGATGGAGTTTTCTTTTCTGGAAGAATCTACTCAAACACATTTATTGTTTACTCTGGGGAGCAGTTTAGAGTAGGGTCAGGAAGGGGAAGGACTCTTTTTTTTTTTAACTTTATGCATTTCTGCATGGATTGATTTTACTTCTAATGACAAGGATATATTATTTCTAAGCTGAAAGGGAAAAAAAGGAAAATATTTTATCTTGGGATGTGAGTGGTATGCTGCTATTACCATAAAGCCGCTATGACAAAACTTTTAGAAAGCAAAATATTAGCTACGTATCATGTTTATAACACATTTCCCTTTCAGTTCTATGAATTGCTTCAGTGTATATTTTCCAAAATGGTAGTTAAATGCACCTAATGAAGATATATGTGTTCTCTTAATCAGAATCAAACATGTTTACTATACAAATATCTGTCTTTATATCAGAACACTCACTCAGGAGTACACTGAAGATTTTGGAGGCATGGAGAAAGTTTAGATTTTGAAAACTGTCTGATGTGTAAGAGGGCTGAGGATGCAGGCAGCTGGCTGTGGGCAGGGTTCCTCTGAGGCACAAGTGTGCAGACTCAGTTTTCTCTTTTCCTGGTGTGAAGCGCTGAAGGTGATCCTCGTCTGCTTTGAGAGGCAGCTCGGAAGCCAGTGGTACTGGCTGAGCCTCCAGGTGAAGGAGATGGCCCTGCGGAAGGTCGGGGGCCTGGCCTTGTGGGACTTCCTGGACTTCATCGTGCGGACCCGCATCCCCATCTTCGTGCTCCTGCGCCCCTTCATCCAGTGCAAGGTGCGCCATGTGCTGCTCCTCTGGGAAGTAACAAGCCCCGTGGACGTGCTGTTCTCCAGATTTAAGGCAGTCTTGGGGGAGATGCTATTGCTAGTCAGGAGGACCTGTTAAGATCACGCTTGATGAGAAACCAGCCCAGACAGGTATCCCTCTGGGGAATACCTTTACAGTAAGAGCTTAGTTAATACCTTAAAACATTGCCCTCTGCCCTCTTACCACCTCCCTAGGGGGAAAAAAAAAAGATTGATCCAATAGAATGATCTGAAGAATGATCACTTGTCTTTGGTGGCATAATTGAGACCTGATTTTAAATAAATATGTAAAAAATGAGATAGTTAAAGCACACTTTTCCTCTGAGAGCCTCCGTGTTCATCTACTCTTTTTAATTCTTTTCATGCCTGATTTCTGATGTCTGGGGGCCATGATTCAAAGCAGTGGATTGATTAAGCACTGTTCTAAGAACAGTGTTCAATTCTCATTTGCATTACTTTATTTAATCCTCACCACCAACTATGAAATCAATACAATTATTAGCCCATTCTACAGATGGGAAAACTGAGGACTGGAAAATCTATGCCTTCCTTTCAGCTTCTGGCCCAACCAGCAGAGAACCATGAAGAGCTTTCTGCCCGACAACACATCGCTGACCAGCTAGAGCGGCGTTTCATTCCACGCCCTCTGTGTAAGAGCTCCCTCATTGCTGAGTTCAACAGTGAACTGAAAATTCTAAAAGAGGCAGTTCACAGTGGATCGGGTGAGTATGCATGGGATGGTTTGACTTTGACTAGTAGAACCAAGAAAGCTCCTTTTTATAGGTCACTGCTCTTTCTGGAACCAAGTGTGAGTTAGCCATTTTGGTACAACTAGCATTGGTGACCCTGTCATCCTTGTCAACAATGCAAGTCAAGGGGGGATCATAAGAATTTAATTTTATTCCTTTTCCAATATATTTTTCAGTCTTTATTTTAGTAGTTCAGCTTTTTCTTGAAGACTTAGCTGGGAGGAAAAACTTACTTTAATTCATACTTTTATTTCCCTTTTGAAAAGGAAAGGGGACTTACATTCATTGAGCATCTGTTATATGGTAGATTATTTCATAGATGTTATCTCATTTAATCCACACAAATACCTGCAAAAATTGTAACTGAAAATCTACTTATAAAAAGAAGAAGTGAAGATTCAATAGAGGATAAATAACTTTCACAAAAAGACAATGACACCTGTGAGAGGACTTAAAACTGGGTCTGTATGATTGATAATCAAGTCTTTAACTTTTCATGACTTGGAGGGAGAGAGGGTTGAATCAAAGCTGACGGGCTAGGAGTTACTTTCTTTACATTATTCAAAAGATTTTCTTTGGGAATGCATTGTTTACTTTTGTAATTATATTAACTTCGGGTTACTAAGGAAGGAAAATAAATCATTTTCTGCCATGAGAGGGCAGTCATCACCTATAAGTAGAATATTCTTATACATTTGGCTTCTTGTCTTTCTAAAGCCTATTGTTGGCGATGTATTAAAGACCAAAAATTAAAAAAAAAAAAATTTGTCAAATACAATCTTGGTGAAATCTGCACAGGAGCATTCAAATGTTCTGCTTTATAATGAAATAATATGACAAAGAATCAAGGGAGTGTTTTATTGTAATCTCCGGAAAAGGGCAATAAGAACACAGTATTAATTATATATTCTGATTTTGTGCGGTTCCTTTCAGACAATATGTCTATTACTTCTGTGTGCTTGTGTCAGGTATAAGGTACATTTCTCAGTGAAATTGATCAAGTTGATATCTATAATTCAGCTCAAAATGAATCTGCATTCAGCCAGCCTTGGAAAATGAAACTGGAAAACAATGAGAGAGGCTGCAATATCAAAGCATTTTTTATTGTTTAGAGATGTTATGCTCCTGCAAGAAAACTATTCAATTACATCAGTGGCTGACTCTTTTTTTTTTTTTTTAACATTTTCAATTCTGTTTGCTATGTATGCATGTGAAAGTCGCTCAGTCATGACTGACTCTTTGTGACCCTATGGACTGTAGCCCCCCAGGCTTCTCCATCCATGGGATTTCCCAGGCAAGAATGCTGGAGTGGATTGCCATTTCCTTCTCCAGGGGATCTTCTCAACCCAGGGATCGAACCCCGGGTCTCCCACATTGCTGGCAGACTCTTTGCCAGCTGAGCCACCAGAGAAGCCCTTTGTCCTAAAGGTCATCTATCTGGGACATACTATTTAAATGACCTTTCTTTTAAAAAATACAAGCTGTGAGGGAAGAGTTTGAAGCTAGCATTTGTTTTCTTCCAAGCACCTGGGACTTCCCTGGTGATCCAATGGTTAAGACTCCTGGCTTCCAATGCATGGGCACAGGTTCAATCCCTGGTCAGGGAACTAAAATCCCACATGCTACATACTACACGCCAGCCCCCCCCCCCCCCCCCCCCCGCCGCCCAAAAAAGATCCTCACTCTGGATTTTCTTTGGTCTCAACCTCGCTAGCTTACCAAGGAAAGACGTCCATCAGCACCGTGGGCACTTCCACCTCTGCCTACCGCCTGAGCCTGGCCACCATGTCCCGCTCCAACACTGGTACTGGCACTGTCTGGGAGCAGGACAGTGAGCCATCCCAGCAGGCTTCCCAGGACACCCTGAGTCGAACTGATGAGGAGGATGAGGAAAGTAGGTCACCTGCAGCATCTGGGGTGGGGAGGTCGTGGGGCTCATGTGTGACACAGCTTGGCCATGCAAATGAGGACTTGTGTGGATTTCTACCTTTCTGATCCTTTGCAGTTCTGATCCCCTGGTCATTTTTTCAAAAAGGAGTTAAAATGGAATTGCAACTGATCCCCTGATTTCTTATGCCTGCTTTTCTATAAATTCCTTGATATCCTTGGTCATTTGGTAGGATTTTAGGCAAAAAGTAAATCTTTAATGATCCCTAAATTTTCTTTGAGTTTATGCATTCAACCTTTCCACTAACCCACTTAAAGTGTGGTTGAGGAACTAAAGGAAGCATTTATTCTCCTTTATCCTGGCCAATCTTGTTTAGAAGATCAGTCAGCACTTAGGTAACACAGGACTTCCCCGGTGGTCCAGTGGTTAAGGCTTTGCACTTCCAATGTAGGGGCAAGGAGGGCTCCATCCCTGGTCAGGGAACTAAGAGCCTATGTGCCATGTGGCAGAGCCAAAATGTTTCTTTTAAAAACAGCACTCACGTGACCTGACTGCAAAGAAAAGTGAGCAAGGCATATGCTCACAACTCAGAAAAAAATAGTTGGCAATGTTGTTTAGAACGTAAACCCAGTGGATTGTCTTGAGGGCATACAACCCAATTTAAGTGTCCCCAGTCACTGAGGCAGCCCAGGAGCTTCTAAAGATTAGGTGTTACAAAACTAGGGAAATATGCATAATAGTTTTTAAAAGTTTCATTAAATACCACTGTCATTTAATATAGTTTAATTGTATCGATTATTTTCTAATTGTGTTTTAAAGATACTCTGATATAACCTGTAAAGTGTGCAGTCTATGCCTTAAGAAAGCAAAATCTAGACCTTTACTCAGAGCCCTTCTGTACCAAACAACAAAGAGCCCCACTCAGAAGTAAATTAGCATCAAGGTTAGAATTTTAATTAATTAAGATGAATGAAAGTACTTTAATACCCTACTACGGTTGGAAGTGTAGGAGAGGGAAAGAAGTAACTACTTTGTCAAAGCAAGTGTCAGTAATATTTCCAGATTTAGTTTCAGGATTAAGTAGATAACAAAGTGATAATAATAGTGTCCTGTACCTAACTTCCAGACATAATTGTTTCTAAATCATTTCTCATGGAAATAATTCTAAAATTGTAATTAGGGAAATCTTGAAAGATCTTGACCAAAAAAACAAATTGAGAGGGACAAGGATTAGCAGTTCACATATTCATTATAAGTCCTAGCAATAGTCCAGAACTTAAAGTAATATATATTTTTCTTTAATGGTTGAAATAGTCTCTCCCAGAAATTTTTTTAAATGATAGTAAATGATAACAAACTCTCTTTAATAGAGCTAAATGTATTTTGCAGGTAACCTTAAGAATTAGAGGATGACGAAGGCAGTAGGAAGGAGGCAGGGAAGAAAAGTTTAGTACAGAAGACATAAACAGAGAGAGCACTGACCAAAGGTCAACATTAATACACTGACATGTATGCAAGTTTTTGCTAATCTTTCTGCTCTCAAAATCACAACTGTCCCAGTGACAATATGATGTGGGTGTATATTAATTTATGAAATACAGTATGAAAGCTAGAGTGTTAACACCTTTGAATTAAACAAATTTTCCATTCAGCAATCAAACCTGTATTAAGACCTAGCAGGAACAAGAGGAGGAACAAGAAGTATGAGTAGGATATATTCTCTGCTGTCTAAAATCTTAGAGTTTTCTAGAGGAGATAATAGACATTTTTTGATAAAGAGCACCTAACAAAAGAGTGAATGACACAACATTGTAAATCAACTATACTTCAATAAAATAAATAAAATTTTAAAAAAAGAATGGAAGGCAATGCATATAATCACAAAAAAAATATTGAAGGAGTAAGTGTTAAGTAATATATGAGTTTGAATAAGAGGGGGAAAAATTACTGGAATCCCAGAAAGGTCTTAGTAGAAATAGCTCGGTCTATCCTACCACATTTTTTCATGTTTTTTAAGGATTATACTCTACTCTATGAACACACCTAAAAAGGCAATACCATTCTATAACAAGAATCAACTTCAAGTCAGTTGTTATGTAGCAAATTAAAAAATTTCAGGACTTTATATACTCATCTCTGGGTTTGAAATAAACTTCTCTAGAAATGTGACCACTTAGGATATTTTAAATAAGTGATGTCAGATGACGTGGAAGTAAAAGTTCACCAAAATTCTAGGTTAGTCAAGATATGTTACTTGTTCAATGACAAACAATATTAGCTCACTTACAATGAGGACATCTTGTCACAAATACTGTACTAAAGTTAATTTTCATATGGATTTGAATACATGAATTTCAGTTTCTATGGAGAAAATAAGTGTCTACTTCTAATTTTAAAATTAGATCAAAACAAGCATTTATTTCTGAACTTTATAGATTTTTAAATATTTTTCAGGAAAAAAAAAATACCTGAAATAGTCTTTCCCTCAGCAGTCTAAAAATCATGAAATGTCCTGAGTGTAGTGTTTGAAAGTCAAACATGCTTGATTTGTTCCAGTAACACAGTCCCTTACTGAACTATTTCTGGAATGTTTAAAATGTTATAGTCCAGCTTTTCTGAAATCTTTAATTTGCCAATGCCCCTTGATTTTTACAAATAATCTGCTTGTAGAAATGGACAAGAAGTTTACGTTTATTTCATGAAAGCTGTTTGAGGGTGGGAGATGTGTAGATGTAAAGAACTATCCTTCACCCTTTGTGCAGATTAAAAACTCAACTGCAGAAGGTATTTTTTTTTTCAAGATAAGGATACATTCATGATGTTTTATTGATGCTGTTTCCCTCAACCAAATGAAGTAACTAGTCACTTTAACTCAAAGTTCTCATAGTGTTCATATTCTCATAAATGACAATGTTCAGTGACACTAAAGTCTCAGCTGTTAAAGTCTCTGCTTATGTAAAAGCAGTGAAAATGTTTCATAAGCTCCCAAAGGTCTTAGTATTGAATCTGTACAAAGGGATGAATGATAATTTAACTTTAGATATTGTCCCACGGTTGTATTCTCGTCAAGGATGGAACCCAAGTACGAAGCTGGTCTGGGTTTTCTGGTCAGCATCATAATTTCCTAACACTGTCTTCTCTGGCGCTTTCAGACGACTCTGTCAGCATGCCCAGTGTGGTAAGTGAACAGGAAGCTTACCTCCTGAGCACCATTGGAAGGAGGCGGTTCTCCAGCCACGTCTCCAGCATGTCTGCACCTCAGGCTGAGGTGGGCATGTTACCCAGCCAAAGGTAAACAGCCCTGGATACGTCACACTCCACATCTAGGGGCAAAGGTATAAATTCTGAAAACTCACTCCTGTTACACTAAAAAGGGCCTAAAGAGAAGCAAACCATCCATTTTTTTTTTAAGTAGACCATTCAAACAAATTTTCAACAAGGGTTTGCACAACAATTTGTAGCATTTTCTAAGTCAGGCAAGTCGAGGGGATCTCAATTTCTGATCCAAGCATTGTTTCTCCTTAACATTTTTCTATAAATAGATATATGATCTTCTTTCGTGGTCCTCTTTCAGATGACATTCTTGTATTTCATATATATTATCAGCTAAGCTAATAATGGGTACCTGGCAAGTGTATAGGACTGGCTCGATATATTTGGTAGTTTAGACTTCTGATATGTCATCAGTATTTAGTTGGAGGTAGTGATGTTTAACAAAGCAAAAAAGACCTATGCCAGTATGTGTGACCTTGGGCGGGTCATTTAATAAGAGCCCACAGTTTTCTCCTCTGTGAAATGAGAGGTTAGCTAAAATCTGTTTTTAAGGTAACTTCTCTACCTATAGAATTTTATGATTCCATAATTAGACTCTTTAAAACATTTTCTTTAGTGCTCTCTAACCTCTAAGAATACAGATTTGAAACTTTATACATATAGTTTACCGTTTATGTGGTAATACAGAAAATGATCTGACATAAGAAATAAAACATTATCTGTTTCAGAGTCAGGACTTTTACTTCAGGAACTGGATTCTTTCAAAGAATCAGTCTTATTTTTTTATCTAGTTTATTGTTTATTCTTATTACCTATGGAGTTATTGTGGTGTAACTTACACATGGAGAATAAGAACAATCAGGAGACATTCTTGTGCTCAGATAAATTTAGTTTACATGCAGAAATAATTACTCTGTACCTAAATCCTTTAGCAAATCATTCCTGAACTGTACAGATGAAGTAAAATTTGTGAAATACAGCCAAATAGTTCAGAATATTTTAAAAATGGGGGAAATGATAAAATATTAATAACTAAATTATATACTTGTAAAGAAAACATTATTTATATACTATGGAGTTATAAAAATTGGTAATATAAAAGTATTATTATCATTGTAAGATTGTAAGATACTGCTTTACTTACTGATAATTTATCTTTGATAAGGCAGTCTTATAAATAAAATATACAAAAAAAGAGAGCCAAATTATAAAATAGCCAAAAAAGATGTAAAGTCATACAAGCAGTTAATACTGGTACATAGTGATTTATTTTTAATTTCTAGAAACATGCAAACTTTATCGAGAATAAACAAAAACTATTAGTCTATGTAAAAGTTTTTATTTAAATTAGGGAATTTTAAGTAGAGATTCTTTTTGGTTATTTACATGACATAACCAGGCCAGCAACTCCCTTTGTACATATCCATTAAGGAGTTATCTCATTTCTGGGGAGAAAATTTGTTCTATTATGGATAGACCAGAAATCCAGAAAAATAATATAGCTAAACCCTTTGGTCTTGAGTCGTGCTTGGGAGGGCTAGCAAAGGTAATGATGTCTCTCTCTGTTAGAAAGCCTCTTTCTGGGGATGGATGCTATTTTTACAGTATAGGTGAACAGCAGTTCTCTAGAGGAAGGCACCCCACTTTCCTAAAGAGTTTAATTCCATCCATTTTAACAACTATTTATTGAGTGCCACATGGACACTTAGCTCAGAGCCAGGCACTGAAGGAAAAGAGAGAGAAATATGTGTGATGTAGTTTCTGTTCACAAATCCCCAAATCACCCCAGTAAATCAGCGGCACCCAAATAAATCAATAAACTATTTAACTATTCTTTCACCAAGCTGACAGATTTTTTCTTTTGGCATTTACAATTCAGTCACTAGAGGATGGAGTGAGGAGGTGAATGCAAGTTCCATGTGAATATACCAGGGTTGTCTTCCTTCTATACGTTCATTTCCTTTTTCACTGCAAAATTGGCAGGTGCAATCGGGTTCTTTCTTTGCTTTTCTTAATGGTATCAGTTCCAAGAGTTGGGTTGTGACAGTTCACGGTAAGTGGTTTCTGTGTGATCAGGTCACAACTCACAAGAAAGAAGCAGGATCCTGGTCAGTGAAACATTATAGAACAAGACAGGTGAACAGTCATAGCCACCCAGCCAAATTTTTATCAAAGGAATGATAGTTTCATCTTCTACAGACTCATTCCGCAATGTGTTCCAGAGCTCCTGTGTCCATTCGGAGCTTATCACAAGTCCCAACTCCAGTAAATAGATCACTCCTCTGAGAGTCATATCCACCCAAAGGCCCCCGCTCCCCATTGCCTTGAGTCCTATGTCTTGACCAACCCAGCACAAGGTGAAATGGTTGACTGTCTCCTTTTCCTTCCTTGTTCTGTTAAATTTATTTATTTATTTTTGGTTCTTGGAAGCAGAAAAGTGCATGCCTTTTTTTTTTCTTTCTTTTTCTTTTATTTCTTTGCATTTTCTTTCCCTAAATGCTTCATCTCCCTACCCCTCCTGCAGTGAACCTAATGTCCTCGATGACTCCCAGGGCCTGGCCGCCGAGGGCAGCCTCTCTAGGTACAGTGTCAATGCTACCTGTGTATTGGTGTCTGTGCTGGGAAACGAGCTGTTCCCTGTCTCCTCCGTCTCTCTGTCTCTCTGTCTCCTCTCGCCCCGTCTTGATATCGATTTCCATTCCTTGCCCTTTGTTGCTCATAAACACACGAGCCTGGAAGTCAAAGGTGTAGCCTCTTTCATTTTTCAGCTTCAGAGCTTCATCACAAATGGCCTAAAAAGTTTACTTAAAAAAAATCCCTGGAGTTCTTCTAGGGGTTTATCCCATGGACCATCTCAAGAGTTTGATATACAAAATGTTAAATTTATCCCAGCTAAACATTCCCTCCCATGCTGATAGTCTTTAAGAAATTTTTTTTTCAAAAGCCTTTTAATACAACTCCCCATCATTAGGAAGCCCCAATCTAGATAAATCTTCCAGTCAATACCATGGGTGATAATAAAACAGTGATGCTGTAATAATACCAATGTCAATATGATTTATATAATTCCCTCTCTTTGGTGCATGCAATGTGACAGGCTGTTATGATAGCTTGTTCAAACCATGTTTATATAAAGAATGTCTGTCCCAGTGCTAAGATGGCTCCCACTTTGCCATGAAATATCAGATACAAACATTTCTTGGTAAGAGACTTCTCATGATGTGAACGATATAATGGTTTGGCTATTGGTTTAAAGCTTCAGAAAGGGGGCCTGCACCTTTAACACTCAGATAAACCACGTCAAACATTCCTAATCTTGTGCTGTTGATTCACACCTCTCAACTAATCCTCATTAGGGGTAATGCTTCTTGTTCATGCCAAGAGTGCCTTTGTTTCATCTCAAGAGAAAATATTCCCTTTCAGGTTTGCATTATATAGTGAGTGCTCCCGTGTTTATTGCTGTATCACAAAGATGAGGAAATGTTGAGAGGCCGTTCCTGTGAAAGGCTGTCCTTTTTAAATTTTTTGCATCTTGTTCAGATTTCACATTTTCTTTCGCAACTGAAAATGGGAAATTTATTGCATCATCAGGTGTATCTTTTTGTTTTGTTTTTTTACTGGCCCCATAATTCATGACATTCATTTGTGTTTGCAAGCCCCTGCCTGGATAGATCAGTCTCTTATTGGTGGTAAATGTGGAGGTGCTGAAGAGTGCAGGCTTAATTCCATTATTGAGAACTTCAAGGACAAGGAAGAACAGAGTAGTCCTCAAGCTGGTTTCTCTCATTGTTCACAGTATTGGAAGAGCTCTGAACCAAGCCTAGCACCATGACCACTGGTTTCAAAGCATTTATTTAATGCTTAATATTATATACAAGACAGGAGAATCTAGCTAGGAAGATGATTTCAATGTCCTACTGACAGTAGAAAGTATTAAATCAGATTTTGTCCCAGATCTTTTCTAACTAGGCCAAATTCTATTCTTACTGAATAAAATACTAGTCTGGGGTTGGTGAGAAAAGAAAAGAGTTTGAGTTAATTTTTATAAATTCTCCCAAGGACTTGGCCCTCTTTGTCATGCTTAGGGTTCAAATGGACTAATTTGGAGTTGTCTAAACCAATCCAGTCTGCCTCTGGTTTAGTGTAGGTTGGAATAAACCCCAAGATCTTGCTATTTGAGGGTGGTTCAGAGCCAATGCTATAGGTTTTATCTATAGATGAATTAGTCAATCATGTGAGTTCTTTGATGACTGTTTTGGATCAACTTTTGTTGATTTGTTGTTCCCATTATTGGTGTGTTTGAGCTGGATGCCAGTCACCCTGATTCATTAGTGATCATTAAGAAACCAGAAAATGAAACACTCACTTTGGATTCTAGAAAGTTCCACAAGTGCAGAGGCATTCCGACAGCCGTAGCACGTCCACCTTTGCCATACACTGCAAATCATCTCTCTCAAACGCTATCATGTCACCAAGTTCTCTTTGGAGGAGAGGAACTTTTGGCATTACTAAGAGGTGGGTTTATAAAATAGGATATATACTTTTTATATTTGGTTTCCAGGCCTTCTTATTTTTGGCATGAAACTTCTTTATGGTGCAGATCCTTAAGGTTCTAAAGAAGCAGTAAGATATTAACTATGTAAATTACATTTAGCACACACCTGAGCCCTCAACTAAGGAAAACCTGACTTAAAGCTTAAAGAATATCAGGAACATGCCTAACAGAAAGTAATAGACCCTGCTGCTCACCCCAACCCCACATTTTGATAAACTTTCTGGGGATTTGCTTTTGAAAGAACACTTGTTTTAGGCAACATGGGCAAGTTGGTCCGAGGCCTAAATGAGGAAGTCTCCAGGATAATAGTATAACCTGATAAATAGATGGAAACCAATAAAAATTTTGCAGACCTTTAGAAAATTTCTTCCAGGATTTTTTTTAATGTGTGCTAACTGGTTTCTTATAAAGCTTCATAGGAAGATGTATAAGTCTGTAAGAATCACTATGCTATGGTGAATTTTTTTTTCTTTTGGAACTAATAAATTACAATAGTATGTATATCATGGAAGAATTCTCTTCTTTAAGAGTTTTGCTCTTAGAAATACAGAAACTTCATTGTAGATCTTCCCTCCCTGTGCCCACCCCCAAATACACACACCATGGGCCATATTTCTTTCTCCAGAAGAATATAAACATGCAAAATGTTATTTAAGCACTTAAGCCTGGAAGTTTATACTTGAGAATTAAATTTTGTTTGGACATGTTAGAACATTTTGAAAGGCAGGAATTGACGATCAACTCTAGCTTAAAAAAAAAAAGAGAGAAGAGATTACAATGCTATTTGATTCTGTAAGGGTAATTTTAATCACAGTGGAAAATAAGAATGTGACTCAAGTTTGAACAAGATAGATAGTCTGCATGAAACAAAATAAAAATAATCTATCCATCTCATGATCATCCACATTTCCAAACTATGAAAATTTGGCAAGTACACCCAAATAGAAAAGATTAAAACAACCTTATTATGGAGTTGAGAATTAATAACTAAAAAAATATCTGTTTATCTGTTGTGATACACAGAGAAGTGTACTTTCCCGGTGTTAAATCAGTTCTTACAGGAGAACTAAGATCCAGATCCTTCCCTTTTTTGTCTGAATTCCAATCTCTAATCTCTAAATGCTGTGGCATTTAAAATACATTTTCTTGGATGTTGTGGAGGCTAAGTAAACTTTAAACGCTAATCTTTTACTGGGAAAGGGAAGAGTAGGATTTTGTCTACTGTTTATGTCCCTATTTCCTATAAATGCTTTATGGTTCTGTCTGTACTGGCCTTATGCATTCCTCAGCACAAGGCAGTCACCCAGTGAAAATGGCTATGCTGTGTGCCTTTTGTTCACCCTCCAGATTTCTCTAACCATAATAAAATTAAAACTAAAAGTATAGATAAAAGCAATGAAAATACAAATTCATTTCCTATATACTAATTTCACCCAGTACTTTTACTTAAAACTTTTATTTTGAATTCTATTTCTGTGTTGAAATACACTTTTTTTTGTGCTTTGAGATGAGTGACAGAAATTTTTATTGCATTACTGAATGGCCTTTTGTTTCCCTATCCTTTAAGAAATACCATTAGATGTGTATTTCATTAGGATATGCATACATATTAATTGTATATGGCGCTTCCCCGGTGGCTCAGGTGTAAAGAATCCACCTGCAATGCAAAAGAGTCAGACACGACTTAGCAACTAAACAACATATTTATACACTCCAAGTCTTCATGCTGAAATGAGAGAAAAGAAGTCATTTGTGCCAGAATTGTCTCCTAACATTGTCTAATTTTTCTAGGTTATAGATTACTTTCTTGCATTTTGAGTAAGGTCTTTGGTTTTTGTAGACACTTGACTCATACCAGTTCTGCCAAGACCCATATTTACTTCTCTAAAATCCAGACTGTTTGCCAGAGTAATATTGCTTAGTGACTCATAAATACCAAGGATGATTTAACTTCAGTTTAGAAAGTTTTGTTTGCTTTGCTTTTATACTTATGGTTTTACCTTTTTATTTGACAAAACAGTGGAAATCAGCCATTTCTCATTCCCAAGATTAAAATTTTTAGGGAATCGGTTTTCTCTAGAGAAGAGCTTAGGGCAGACACCATGGTCTTTTGGTTGGTGTTATATTGCACACCGGATAGTCACATATCAGAAATCCTGCATATGACAGAAATATTACATGACATGGGGAGAACAAAATTGAAACCACATTTTACATGCAACTCCAATTTGATATAGACCCAAAATTACTTCTGTATGCATTACTTCTATTATTACTCTGGTTGTTTATTACTAATGTATCCTCTGCACACAGTTAAGCCAGACTTTGATGTTCCAAATATAAACATGTTAGCATCACATTTTTAGGGAGAATATATTAGCAAGCTGTATTTTCAAGGGAATGTTCTATAATTTAATCATTGATATGTGCATTCCATGAAACACTAACTGTATCATTTATATAAAGCAACTAAATACTAAATCTATAAACCTGATCCATTTCTTAGACTAAACCTCTCTATCCATAGAGAAAATTTTGATGCTTTTGATTCTTCCTTGGAATAATCATCATGAAATTACCATTATGTTTTGGCATTTAACACTCCCTGAGTGACATGTATTTCTTTTCTTGCACCATTTTTTTCTCACAATCTCAGATTACTGAATAAAAGTGAAACAAGCGGACTGCCTCTATTTCATTTTCTCTACCCAATTATTTTTAAGACTTTTTATTACCTACTTTCTTCTGGTGTACTAGAAGTAATAAACTCATTACAGATGTAAAACAATGAAGCATACTATGTTGCATCACTTTTCATGTTCAAATCATTTTACATTGACTAACTTCTCTTCTCTACCTTAATGGGAGGTAGATGGTAAGTATTAACCTCCCTTTATGGCCAAGGGAACTGAGGTAACATTTAGATGTCAATGAAGAATCCATTCCAGTGAAAGCTTTGCTTGGTCTTTGGGAAAAACTTGTTTCTACTTTTGTGCATATGGTAATTGAATACTCACTCTTTCCAGTTTAAGACACATATTAAAATGTATAATTAATAAGGAGATGTCATTTCAAACATGCCAGCAACTTAGTCTGTATTGCTTATCAGAATTTACTGCGTTGTTCCTTTGAGGTAATTTTCCATCTACATAGACAGGTCATTTATGGTACAAGGTTATGTATGTATAAAAACAATGTACATTGATCTTTTTGAACTTGATATTTAGGATAATAAGAAAGTCTAAAGAAACACCTGTTTTAAAAACTCTTTATGGAATTTCATGTATCCCAAATGGCCTAATTATGATATAATTACTTCCTTATTTCAGAAAAACTATGGTAAACTCCATTTGGGAATCACTGATTTTTCTTCTAGTGGAAATATGAGTAAGACTTTTAAAAAATGACACGTGACTGTGTCAACCATGTAATGATTAATTATAGGGGAAACATCTGATTGTCCATCTTGCCATCGACTTCTCTCCGTACAACTGCAGAGAGCTCATTTTTTTTTTAAATGGCAATGAATGCATACAGTCTTTTCCTTTTCATGGACAGTTGCTGACACTACATTCCTCTGTGGAATATTTTACTGTAAAAACTATTTGTAGATGACTCTCCTTTCGCAAAGGCAAAGCCGAAATTAATTAATCACATTGGCATCATCCACAGGATTACAATGTTCTCTGGGGCACAGTATATTTCTTTTTTTCACCTCCACTCCCATTATAAATCCCTATTATACATGCATGCAGAATGAAAAAGGATCATGGGTCCATGATAGTGTTTTCAGCTTCACCCAATACTAAAATAGGGACCATTGCGGGTAGCCATTTTTGCATATAAAAGACACACATACACAGTAAATTTGGGAGGAGTAGGTTATTACTTTTACAAATTGTGTGCTATATTTGGGTGCAGCTATTCGATATTAATTAAGCTACTAAGCTGTAATGATAGCTTAATTACTTTGCCAGCCTTATAAATCTAAAATCATTTTTAAAGACATTTTCATTGTCTACCTATGTGACTATTTACTCAGTCACAGAGACTTCAGGCTGCAAACATGTGTTGAATGTGACCCTTCACCCAAATGGATTCTGTGTCTGATGTGTTTGATATTTGTCCATCTTATTTTCATGTAAATTGAAATATTTTAAAAGGTGTTCCCATCCATGTGATAGAGTTGTTCGTGTTTGTTCGTCACCACCTTTCTCCTTACCCTTGACAAAAAAAAATTGAGATTAGCATATGACATGTTAAACCTTTTGGTGGCTTCCAAACCAGGGGTGTGATCGAATCGATGTTTTGCTGAATGACAGACCGGCATCAGTGATTGAAAAAAGAATCTCAATTTTGGCAGCTTGGGGCTACAAGGCCTCGTGTCCTCCTTCCCAAACCTGTGGAAATTCCCATCCCAGGGGTCCTTTCCTAACCCTCCTTCAAAGATAATGGTATCTTTGAAGTGACTGTTTCTGTAAGTGATTTTGACTAACACCCACCAGAGGATGCTCTCATGCGCCTGCTCCGGGCACGCTGACACTGGTGACGCTCTTGACAGGGTGGCGAGTGTGCAGAGTGAGCCTGGCCAACAGAACCTTCTTGTTCAGCAGCCGCTGGGGAGGAAGAGGGGCCTGCGGCAGGTAAGCAGCCCTGACGGGGCAGGGGAGGCATCCGGTGAAAGGGAGGCCCTATTCAATTTTCAGTGTATATGAAGACTATTTTACCTGAAATATTTATTCCCCACCTGAAATAAGCGGTACAGAGCAACTTTGAAACATGGTAAGTGCTTGGGCAAAGTGGAGAGTCTGGGGCTTCTGTTTTTAACGCTGCATCTTGTTAGCAAACCTGGTCTCTTGGTGAAATAGGTGGGCTCATATTTTTATTTGCTCTCTATCCAGAAACCATTGCCAGTCAAACCACTGACCATGGAAGATTTGTTATTAAGTTCGTTGCAGGCCTCTTTCTGTAGAGAGGCAGAGACATTCATCCTTTCTTCCTCATTTCAAGATTAATGATTCTATTTAAAACTGAAATTGAAGTAAAGATTATCCTTAAAAATTCCCTTTGGTGGGGTAGGTTTCCTTTATGTTGCCATCTAAATAAAAATCTAAATGAGGCTTTGTGCTGTGGCTTTGATGGGAACATCCCCACACTGACTTGGAGGCTGGACATTTTTGCAGAATCTAGGGTGTTTTTCATCAGTCTTTCCTTCAAAGTTAGAACATATTCAGCTACAGCTTTTGGGTGAGCAAGGGCTGACTGGTAAGCAATCACTGCTAGTTTTGTATCCTGAGATTCTTACTTTGATTGTTTTAATTTCTATTCATGTTCTTAAGCTATATTAAGGGGTAATAATCATAAGATAGAATATAGGATTGGTTAAAGGAGATGCCAGAATTATATAAGTACTTGTGTTTAAATATGCAGGAAGAAGTTTATTTTATTGGCTAAGAATGTAAGGAACAATCATAAGACTCCGCAGAGACCCTCAAAGAAGAGAACAAACCATAGAGTCCTCTGAATTCAGAGACCCTCAAAGAAGAGAACAAACCATAGAGTCCTCTGAATTCAGTCTTTCCTCCCAACAGTTAGATCCTTTCTGCCAGCTTTTTCTTCTGCCTATCCCCTTTAGCTAAGGCGTCCTCTGCTATCGCGTCAGAAGACTCAGACTGAACCCAGAAACCGCCATGGGGCTCGGCTGTCAACCACCCGCAGGAGCATTCAACCTAAGACAAAGCCATCCGGTGAGGCCTCCTGAGTCCCTCTGGGTAGATATTGACACAAGGCCCACTGCCCCGCCACACAGCAGGGAAGGCCTTCAGAGACTGAGAGTCATGCAGTAAACACACCTTCCCCAGGAAACTTGAGTGCCTTTTCCCCCCCTCATCTTCCTCAATCCCATCTCTCTCGTCATGCACCTAGGTAAATGAATAATTCCCTTGTCTTTGGGAATTGTCTTTACAAAAGTCTTTATACTCTTTGCTATGAAAAAACTAAGAAATATTTAATAATTAAAATTACTATTGAGGGCTTCCCTGAGGTTCCATGGTTAAGAATCTGCCTGCCAAATGCAGGGGACACAAGTTTAATCCCTGGTCCGGGAAGTCCAAGTTGAACCACAAATGCTATGAAATTTGATGATAGAAGGTTGTGTTTTATTTACCCAAGCCAGGAACTAGGTTTGTTATATGTCTTACCAAAGACGAGGGAATGATGAGTAATAGGAACTTTTAATTCCTGTTGGCAGTTGTTATGAGCGATGACCAAGTTCATTTAATGCTCTGTACTGATCTTGTTTTTATGGAAAAACAATTTATGCAAAAAGCCTGTTTAATGTAAAAATGATTTTTCTACCCATGTGCTACTGTTTGTAAGAAGTGAAGTGAAGTGTTAGTTGCCCAACTCTTTGGGACCCCATGGACTGCAGCCCACCAGGCTCCTCCGTCCATGGGATTTTCCAGGCAAGAATACTGGAGTGGGTAGCCACTTCCTTCTCCAGGGGATCTTCCTGACCCAGGGATTGAACCCACGTCTCCTGCACTGTAGGCAGATTCTTTACTGGCTGAGCTATGAGGAAAGCCCCTCAGAAGGTAAAATCAAAACATGTACCTAATGTGCTCTCAGCAATGACTTTACTAAGAAAGTCAGGAGACACTGGTTAAGGCTAATTATTAAGCCAACTTACTATCCTCCTATTCCGATTTACTGCTCTATTTCTGACCTACAGCGGACCAAAAACGATCTGTGACCTTCATCGAGGCTCAGCCAGAGCCAGCAGGTGCCCCAATAGACACACTTCCTGCCACAGGCCAGCCACAGGGCTGCAGCCCAGCCCCATCCAGGAAACTGGAAGGAATGGACAAGCCAGTGCTCACGTCTTCTCCTGCCATTGTTGTTGCTGATCTTCACAGCCTGTCTCCCAAGCAGGTGAGGGCCCTGGAGAAACAGGCAAGTCTTGGTCTTCACATACATCTGTCTAGGAATGGGGATATGTAAAAGTCATCCATATCATTTGAGTCTGAGTCAGTAATGTTCATCAGACACTGGTCCTATCATGGGAAAAAAAAATCAATTGAAAAGTATATGGCCAAGAATATATCTACTTGAGAAGGAATAACAGAAGTCTTTATACTCTTTGTTATGAAAAAACTAAGAAATAGTTCATAATTAAATGACCACGGAGGGTTTCCCTGGAGGTCCATTAGTTAAGAATCTGCCTGCCAATGCAGGGGTCACAGGTTCAATCCTTGGTCCGGGAAGATACCACATGCCACGGAGCATCTAAGCCTGTGTGCCACAACTACTGAGCCCATGGCCTAGAGCCCGTGCTGCATAGTGGAGAAACCACCGCAGTGAAAAGCCAGCATACCTCAGTGAAAGAGTAGGCCCACTCGCCACAATTAAGGAAAACCCATGTGCAGCAACACCTGGCACAGTCAAAAATAAATAAGTAAATATGTAGATAAAATTTTACAAAATAAAATTACCATTGAAAGCCAGTATACTGTACATGGCTGACAGTTCAATTCAAAAAAATAAAGTTACCAATTTAGATGAAACCTTTAAATACATACTTAGTCACTCAGTCATGTCCTACTCTTTGCAACCCCTCTGGACTGGCTGCCAGTTTCCTCTGTCCATGGGTTTCTCAGGCAAGAATTCTGGAATGGGTATCCATTGCCTCCTCCAGGGGAGCTTCCCAACCCAGGGATCAAATTCATGTCTCTTGCGTCTCCTACAATGAAGGTGGATTCTTTACCATCTGAGCCACCAAGGAAGCCTTTTAAATATAGAATCTTCTGAGAGGAGACGCAAAATCTTCTGTTTTGATCTTTTTTTGTTGCTGTTTAGATATTTTTCTTGTTGTTTTAATCTCACGTTCTTATCATGTGGTATTTAAAGAAAGCTAAGGGGCAGTATACTATATACATTTTTAAAGTCTTTAATGGTTAAAATCATTGTAATACCTTTATCTCATTTACCCTCACAGTCTACAAGGTGAGCAGGGCAAAAAATGAGGCTCATGCAACAGGTTGGAAAACTGAGACTTAGAAAGTTGAAAGGGCCTATATAAAATCTCGCATATACCAAAGGCTAAAAAACTAGGTCCAGCCTTGCGATTCCTTTCCAGTCACAGCTGGACAACAGTATTTTTTTATCGTCTTTCCTGGTATCCATCCTACCTCTCACTGTTACGATCCTTTTGGTCATAGGGTGAGACCCCGCCACCTGAAGGAGGAGGAAGAAAGGAGGACACAGAAGTACCAGGTGCTACGGCACACAGCCCCCTCTCTACGCAGCTCTCAGACCCTGATGACTTCACGGGCCTTGAGACATCCATCCTCCTACAGCACGGAGACACTGTTCTTCATATCAGTGAGGAAAATGGCATGGAGAACCCGCTGCTGGCCAGCCAGTTCCCTTTTACTCCCACGGAGCGGGGGGAAACAGATGTAGACCTAGATGAGTCTCATGTTTAGTTCTGTACCTTTTAAGTGTTGTAGGTGTAGACAAGATGTGGAAGGGATCAGTTTGCTGAAAGTTGAAAACGGTCACTTGGAATATATGAAAACACAGCACTTTACACCCAATGGGTAGCACAAATCCCAGTAGATTTTTCTGCCAATGTGCATATTGTTTCATGAACATCTTTAAAAAAGTAATGGCTAAGATGGTTTGGTTGTGTAAAGACCATGAAATCCAGGGAGGAATAAAGGGACAGAGCCATTTCACTGCACATTGTTTATGATTCAAGAAGCCTTGAGCAATTAAAAATGTATAATATTACAGAGCTGCTTACCTAGGAATATTAAGAAGTAATGTATTCTAAAAAACTAATGTAATTTTTTGAGGTTACATAATACATCTCATGCAAATGTTTATTTTTCTAATTTCAAAAACATTAAATCAGGTGGCTATACAAGTAGCAATTTACATAAAAAATAATCAAGAGGAAAATATTAGTTTGGGGAAACTAAATATTAATAGCAAATAAGCTTGCAGCCATTTTTTTTTTTTGGATCAAAAATATACCCATTTAGAAGAGGAAAAAATACTATTTTTAGAACTGTGAACTTTTCAATTTATTTTTTAACTGTCATTTTCATTACATATTGTAAATCAAAATGCTAATGCCATCAGCTCATTCCATTTCATAATCAACACAGAGAATATTCTAGAAATTATCAGACATAATTCTAAATTAAGAAGACATAAATAGCCTATAATATGATAAAAATTAAATATAAATATAACAGCTAGAAGGAGATGGTATTCTTACTTCTAGCCCTGACGACATCAATGCCAACATTGGAAAATATCGGGAAATTTAATTATTTTCCCTTATAGTGTCCTGTGCCTGCCCTTAAGGGCATATTTTCAGATATTAAGATTAGTGTTATTAGAATTGGTTCAATGAAATAGCTTTTCTCAATGTTAACAAATTTATATGATCCTTTAGATGTTAAGCTTATGAAGAAAAAATATAAAGTGTGCAATTTCTTTATAGACACAGTCAGCTTGTGTATTTTACTTTAACTTGAAGTTCAGTTACTTCAAGAAAAGAATAAAACTTAGGAGGCTCATGAGGCCATATTTAGTGTGTTATTAATCCTATAGTAGGACTTGGCATCTTACAGTTCAAGATTAAATTTCAAAACTTTAACAGTTTATATTAGAAAATTGATACATAACTTCTAAGCTTATAAAAGCTCATATACATACCTAAATTGGTATGGTGGTGGGGTTTGTGTATGTGTTTTCTAGCACTCAAGCTACAGTTTAGACTACAATTACATGGCAATGAATTTAGAACCCATTCTGTACACTTAAACTTTGACTATGGTTATGAAATGTATATGTATATATAAAGGAGACCTGTTAAACCCACCCAAATCACAAAGGAAAATTATTTTTCTCTTAGCATTGCTTATTAAAGAGGCATTGTTTTTTATTGTGATTTATATTTTCCAATATAATTTGGGGTTTTGGTCTCATTCACTAATAGAATGAAAGATATCTGTGAGTTAAAGAACAAAACTAAACATTTCAAATCTAAACATTCAGAAAACAGAGGTGGTAAATGACCTATGTTTTACAATATTTTCAGGACATTTATGCTTAATGCTGAGTTCTCAAATGCAGAAATACACATAAAGAAGTGGTTTTATGATTCTTGCTAAGCTGATATATTTCATCTGCTTAAAATTATGCTGCTCCCTTAGTGTTTGAGGCCTTATGTTTGGTAATTACAAATGTCTGGGCTATATGAGTCTCCTATATGTGCGTGTTTTGTTCCAGTTCCTTGATGCTTGACTCAAATTCTCTGTGTATAATTGTATTAAGTATTTAAAAAGTAAAAGGGTCGAAGAAGATTGTTAAATATCTGACCAGAATCCTATATACCTTTATATATATTTAAAAAGTAATAGACTGTGTTGAACATGACTATGCTGACCTGTCTGCCTTTTAGCCTGATTCCTTCACTCTAGTGTTATGGAAGTCTGTTGGAAACTTTTCCAATAAGCTAAGTAATGTTGTACCTTGCAAAAAAGCCTCCACTCTGACAAACAGGGCCTTATAGAATAGGAATGTTTTCATACTGGGACTATGGAGATTTTACAGATGTATACATCTGTTCCATTTAAGGTGCCCTTAAATGTGTTGAATGTAATGTGTTAAATGTCTGTGTGTAATTGATAAAATACATGTATGTGCATAAGATTGTCACAAGATGTATTCTCAGGAATACTGTTCCCTGGAGTTTGAAGGAATAATTATTTTAAAAAAAAGTTGGAGAAGATTAGAAAAAGATCAAGATAAGTAACAATTTTTTATAATTCAAAATGTTATTGAGTATATGACTAAAAGTTAATTATTACATATGATAATATAGTACTGGTAATACTAGATCATTTCTTAAGCTATAATACTTAATAATATTTATCTTGTTCAGAGGAAAATGAAAACAGACACCTACTTCCCATGTATAAAAAAATTGGACTCAACCAAGGGATTGCTCTTCTGAAATTAACTTTTGAGAGACTTTGGAATGAGCATGTGTCCGCCACAACAGTGGGTGTAGATTTACTCGGATTCAATTAAAGCAGTTCAAATTCTGGATACACCATTTTATACAACAAAACATTTAACTTTCGTTTTTCAGTATTTGCTGCTTTCTGTAATTCTTTTAGCTAAGTTTTACTTCTTTTTTCCAAAAATGAAACTGAGTTATTGAGTGCATTGGGACAAGGCACTTAGAACTATAGTGTCAAAAGGCATAAATGGGCACAACAATGCTGGGAGAAAAATCCGTAGAATTTGGGGGTCTGGTTTGGGCTTGTTGAATAGGCTGGAAGTAATGTGTTTACTATTCCAAGCCTCCAAGAGTACTCTGGGCAGAATACCAAGAGTACTTTCTTTAGTATTTGTCCCTTTAGTCAATGAAAACCATTCTTGACTCTGCTGTCCAGCTCTGAGAGTATCTGAACAGCAACAGATTGTATGTTGGGACCAACAGGGAAGGAAAGGTCATAAATAGAATGACAGTCCAATATAAAATTAAATGCCCTCCGTCACGTTATGCAGAGACTTTAACAGTCTCTGTAATTTGCTGCTATCACACCGAGTTTTGCTGTTGCCCTGTCACCTCACACTTCCAAGTCCATGGCCTTATCTTGGCAGTGACTGGGAAGTCTCACTTCCTCATTTACTTCAGTGGGTCCTAACTGCACCTTTTCAGAAACAAAGTTTGGTTTGACACTCAGGAGAATAAAAATAAGTTAGGGCAGAATGTATTTGGAAAAACTTAAGACAAATTTACTTATGTTGTTTTTGGATCATTTAGGATTACAGATCAACGTACCTCCATATTTTTCACAAGTCACTGTGACTGCAGGATGAAAATCCTTTATTAGCCATTTTACAGGTAAAAGCAAAAGATTGACTACACAGCTGATTTCCCTCAGATGACTATAAAGTTTGTTATGAATACTGAAATGACCAAAGAGCATGGAAAAAATGCATATGAATAAATATTGAAATGTTTATGAAAGATATTTATGAAAGATAAGATTTCTGTGTTTGAATATGCACATATAATAAAATAAATCTAAAAATATTTAAGATGCCTGATTGAGTTTCATTTCTCATTTTTCAACACAGGGCTTTCCCGGTGGTTCAGACGGTAAAGCGTCTGCCTACAATGCGGGAGACCCAGGTTCGATCCCTTGGTCAGGAAGATCCCCTGGAGAAGGAAATGGCAACCCACTCCAGTATTCTTGCCTGGAAAATCCCATGGACCGGAGGAGCCTGGTAGGCTACAGTCCGTGGGGTCGCAAAGAGTCGGACATGACTGAGCGACGTCACTTTCACTTTCAACACAGGAAATAGGTTAACTCATTCAGGAAAGTGTTCATTTTAGACCCTGAGGTGTGCTTTGTTTTGGATCCCTGGTGTTCATCTTGACATTCCTCCTCAACCCTCATAGTCTGGCCGGAAGTCACCTTTCAGTTCAATACCTCTAATTCCTCCCTTTTCCAAATGAACTCCATTCTACTCATGCTTTCCAATCCTAACTTTCAAAATTAAGGAGAATGCGCACATTGAGAGACAAATACCCCAGTAGGACTTCTCTGCTCAAGTATGATCATTTGGAAGGACTGGTAGATTTCCCAAGAGGAATGTTAAGGGCCAGGTTATTCTCTGAATGTGGCCAGAATCACCATGGGATCCAGGTTTACCATCACAGTTCTGTCTTTTATACAAAGTGCCTTATCCTTAAACTCAAAGTAATGCTCTTACTAAACTTTCTTTTTTTTTTCCATGTGAATTTGTTACTGCAAAAACTATGTTCCTCTCTTTGTGAGAATCAAGCCAAAAGACACAACCAAGCCAAAGATTCGAGAAGGAAGGATATATTACTTGCAGTAATAAAGAACAGTGAGAATCTTTCCCAAAGTAGCGTCTCCCCAACAGGGAAAGTGGGTATTATGTTTTTCCTCTTTTGGTTTGGGGGGGGAGGGGCGCTTTTAAGTTTTAAGCTAAGAGTACATGTGTATTCAGGAAGGGGCTCGGTGGGTGGACAGTCCCTGATTTAGTGATTAAAGACATCAGGGTCAGAAAAGGTCAACAGCATCATTCCTTAGGTTCCAACTGATCTGGTGGTTGAGGCTTCAGGCTAATCATTTTCATTGAAAAGAACTGGCTGAATTCACAACTGATACAGTATCTTTGCGGCTTCCCAGGTGGCTCAGTGGTAAAGAATCTGCCCGCCAAGCAGGAGACCTGGGTTCGATCCCTGGGTTGTGAAGATCCCCTTGAGAAGGGACCGGCTACCCACTCCAGCATTCTGGCCTGGAGAATTCCATGGACAGTCCACGGGGTCGCAAAGAATCGGACGCGACTAAGTGACTTTCACTTTCACTGTATCTTTAGGAATGTTACTTCTACCTATGCCTGATAACAGTGTTTGCCTCCGCATTCTATGGTTCCCTTAAGATCATTAACAAAAGAATCGGAAAAAGATGAAAGAACTTAACTAAAAAAGATTAAGAACCCCCTCAGAAGACTGGGAGACCTGACAGACCTGCTTTTTAGATTTTGTTTTTTGAAAGCCCTGTTTTAAAAACTGAGGTCCGAGGAAGGAAGAAGGTGCCTCATTGCGAGGCCCCGCCCCTAAGCCTTAGGGTGGCAGTCCCTCCCTCTAGGGGAGGCGGGACTTCTCCCTCAGGGCAGCTACTTCCGGCGGAATCCGGAAAGATATACGGAGAAGAGGCGGGACCAAAACTGCTCGGCCAATCTGGGCACGACCCCTTCATCGAGCCGGGCTCTAGTGCAGTAACTTGCTTTGGAGCATTAGCACCATGGCGTCTGGTTGCAAGATTGGCCCATCCATCCTCAACAGTGACCTGGCTAGTTTAGGGGCCGAGTGCCTCCGGATGCTGGACTCTGGGGCCGATTATCTGCACCTGGATGTAATGGACGGGTAACTCTCCGCGGGGTTCGGGCCTGGGTTGTCGCGTGGGGCGGGATAGGCTCCCCTTGACTGAGTACCTGTTAGGTGCACGGCGTCCCTGTGCCGCGAAGCCCCTCACTCTGAACGAGGTACTGAGGAAGGCGCCTGAGGTGGAAACCCAGGAGGCTTCCCTTGGAGGGGACCTGGGCTGCGACCGTGTCCCAGTCCTCATCTCCTCCCCTCCCCCTCACGTAACGTGTATTCTTCTAGCACTTAGCACCCGGAAGCGACCTTAAATCTCTAGGACCTGTCTCTCATTTTCAGTTGGAGAAACTGAGGCCCAAGGGGATAGGCATGACTTGCCCAAGCTCATATAGCTAGTTAGTGGCATTGCTGGGGAGACAGACTTGTATAACGATGACAAGCTTTGCACCTGGAGTGAGAACGCCCAAGTTCTGCCACTTGCTAGGTTACTTGGGACAAGCCATTTAACCTCGTTGAGCTTCAGTTTCATTCTGTGAAAAGTGGGAGTAATAACACTCTACCGCCCAGGCATCTTTGGAAGATGAAATGAGCTGATACAGGTAGTTTACCTGTATCATGCCTGGCGCATGGTAAATTTTCTATAATTAATGATAATTGTTGTCTCATTGTTCGAATTTTGATTTTCCTATCTATTTTCTCTTCAGGCACCCTGCTCTTCAGGGAGGTCAGTTTTTTGTAAGTAATTTTTAAGCACTGTAGTTATAGCCCATAATCAATAGTGTTTGAAATCAGGTTGATGCTAGTTTCATAAGTTGGTTATAAAATGAGGAACAAAGCTAGAGAAACAGTTAATACTCCCTCAGGGTTACATACATTGTGACAGAGTTGCAATTTGGCATTTGCCACACTGCACTGATAACTGCCTTAAGATCAAAACAGCCATTAACCATGGTTTGGGGTAGAAGAGTAAATTTATTGCAAATAGGTAAAATCTCTGTGTACCCTCATGCAAATCTGCAAATTCGTGTTTTTTACAAAAATTACTAGTCATTTCCCTTTTCGGTGTCACTCATGAAAGATTCGTCTTCTTTGGTCTGGTTAGATCTTCTGTTTCTCTTTTCCATTTCATTCAGTTACTTCAACACTGTGTCCAACTGTTTAATGGCAAAATATTGACCTTAAAGTTCTCTTCTGTCAATGGGATTTCCCAGGCACGAACACTGGAGTGGATTGCCATTTCTTTCTCCAAAATATTACTTCTTCCAAAACCTAGATTTTTAGTTTGCTATCACATGTAATTCTACTTATGTACTTTGTTTTTTGACACTCTTGCTTGAAAGCCCTGACCTTCCAAAAGGTACTGTTACTGGAGTATGTACTCACAGATGGGTAGCTACATTTTTGTGTCTGAGATATAGAATGAGACAAAATTCTGGGTCGCTTAGGAGTCTCAGGATAGAACAGACTTCCCAGGTGGCTCTAGTGGTGAAGAACTAGTGTCTGCTAATGCAGGAGACACAGGAGACATGGGTTCGATCCTTGGGTTGGAAAGATCCCCTGGAGGAGGAAATGGCAACCCACTCTATTATTCTTGCCTAGAAAATCTCATGGACAAAGGAGTCTGGCAGGCTGCGGTCCATAGGGTCACAAAGAGTTGGACACAACTGAAGTGACTTAGCACATATGAGTATAGTCTGAGCATGTTTAAGTGAATGAATGGAGAAAACAATTTGTCCCAGTTTACCAATCATAATATCAATGATAACAATAGTTAATAATAAATATAGAGCTTATAAAGAACACTCGATTGTTTCTGTTCTAATACTTTTTTTTTAGAGATTTTTTTTCTTTTTACTTTATTTTTTTATTGAAGGATAATTGCTTTACAGAATTTTGTTTTCTGTTGAACCTCAACATGAGTTAGCCATAGGTATACACATATCCCCTGTTCTAATACTTTTTGTGAATTATCTCATGCAGCCCCATGAGCTTGCTGCTGTTATCAGCACCAGAGTTGACAGTGCAGAGTCTAATATAAAGAGAGATTAAGTTCCCTTGTAGCTAGGAAATGGTGGAACCAGGATTGGAAGCAGGTAACGATTTGTTTTGTCTCAGAAACTGTCTTCTCTGGGTACTGGGCTTACAGAGAATGATTAAGATACTGTCTGTCTCTGAGAGACAGCTAATTTATATTTTTGTTATTTATTTCATATCTCCTGCTGCACGGTAAACTCCCTGGAAGCAGAGCTCACCTCTGTTCTCTGCAGGAAAAGCACTTTGGCAGGCCTAGATATAATTGGTTGGATGAATGGCTTTATCATAATAGTGGTATCTTCTAAGAAATCTCTTGCCCCTCCCAGGCCTATGGCAGTCCCCTAGCTTGTTAAGTAAATGTATTTGTTTTTTATTGACTCCTTTCCCCTTTTACTGAGAAACATCTTGGTTTGAAAATAAGCAAATTTTGCATACACTATTTTAAAAACCTTCCCCTGTTATCACAACTTTGAGTTACTTTCATTCCCCTTTTGCAATAGGAAACCAGTTGGGGAGGTTCAGCCCATTCCCCAGTGTCCCATCAGAAGAGGCAGGACCTGGCTAAACTGCAGTGCCACTTAAGCCCAGGGTATGAAAGAGGGGCTGTGGACTCCCTCCACATTCTGCCTCCATCCTTTTCCTTGCCCCTTAAAAATCTCCCAACGGTACATCGAGCTTGATGCACTGGTTTTCTGGTCCTCTCTCTTTCCCTGAAGTCCCCACTGTGTCTTCTGATTAAACTGAAGGACTTTGAAAGTCAGAAACAAGTTTTGGAAACACTGGTGGGTGGAGCACTAGTGTGGTTGGATATTTGAAGTAAAGGACAGGTGGATTTTTCTGGAAAAGAAAATTGGAGAGCATATAAACATAAATGTATCTTGACAGGAAGTGACTGGAAATGTATTGGTCTTTAAGTATAGGAACAGAGCAAATAAGCAATTTCTAAATTAGTTGTTGTCTAGTTGCTAAGTTGTGTCCAGCTCTTTGTTACCCCATGAACTGAAGCATGCCAGGCTTCCCTGTCCTTGACTGTCTCCTAGAGTTTGGTCTTGTTGATTGAGTTGGTGATGCCATCCAACCATCTCATCCTCTGTCGCCCCGTTTTCCTCCTGTGTTGTCTTTCCCAGCATCAGGGTGTTTTCCTGTCAGTTGGCTCTTCTCATCAGATGACCAAAGTATTGGAGCTTCAGCATCAGTCCTTCTAATGAATATTCAGGTTTGATTTCCTTTAGGATTGACTAGTTTGATCTTGTTGTCCAAGGGACTCTCAAGAGTCTTCTAAGCACCACAATTCAAAAGCATCAGTTCTTTGGTGCTAAGCCTTCTTTATGGTCCAGCTCTCACATCCGTACATGAGTACTTGAAAACCATACCTTTGACTACATGGGCCTTTTTCAGCAAAGTAATGTCTCTGCTTTTTAATATGCTGTCTAGGTTTGTCATAGCTTTCCTTCCAAGGAACAGTAGTAGTGTTAGTCACTCAGTCATGTCCAACTCTTTGCGACCTACTGGACTATAGCCTGCCAGGCTCCTCTGTCCATGAAATTCTCCAGGCAAGAATGCTGGAGTGGGTTGCCAGTCTCTTCTCCAGCAGCTCTTCCCCACCCAGGGCTGGAACCCAGGTCTCCTGTATTGCAGGCAGATTCTTTACCACTGCACCGCCTGGGAAGCCCTCCAAGGAGCAGGTGTCTTTTAATTTTTTAATTTCATGGCTGCAGTCACCATCTACAGTGAATATGGAGCCCAGGAAAATAAAGTTTGTCTCTGTTTCCACTTTTTCCCCTTATCTTTGCCGTGAAGTGATGAGGCCAGATGACATGATACTAGTTTTTAGAATGTTAAGTTTTAAGCCAGCGTTTTCACTCTCCTCTTTCACCCTCATCAAGAGGCTTTTTAGGTCCTCTTCCCTTTCTGCCATCAAAGTGGTATCATCTGCATGTCTGACGTTGTTAATATTTCTCCTGGCTGTCTTGATCCAGCTTCTGATTCATCCAGCTCACCATTTCGCATGATGTATTCTGCATATAAGTTAAATAAGTAGGGTGACAGTATATGTCCTTTTCATACTCCTTTCCCAATTTTGAACCAGTTCATTGTTCCACGTCTGGTCTAACTGTAGCTTCTTCACCTGCATACAGGTTTCTTAAGAGGTAGGTAAGATGGTCTGGTATTTCCATCTCTTTAAGAATTTTCCAGTTTGTTGTGATTCACACAGTCAAAGGCTTTAGCATAGTCAATGAAGCAGAAATAGATGTTTTTCTGAGATTCCCTTGCTTTTTCTATGACCTAGCAGATGCTGGCAATTTGATCTCTGATTCCTCTGCCTTTTCTAAATCCATCATGTACATCTGGAAGCTCTCAGTTCACATATTGCTGAAGCCTAGCTTGAAGGATGCTGAGCATTACCTTGCTAGCATGTGAAATGAGTGCAATTGTGTGTTAGTTTGAGCATTCTTTGGCATTGCCTTTCTTTGGGATTGGAATGAAAACTGACCTTCTCCAGTCCTGTGTCTACTGCTGAGTTTTCCAAATTTGCTGGCATGCTGAGTGCAGCACTTTAACAGCATCATCTTTTACAATTTTAGATAGCTCAGCTGGAATTCCATCACCTCCACTAGTTTTTTTGTAGTAATGCTTCCTAAGGACCACTTCACACTCCAGGATGTCTGGCTCTAGGTGAATGACCCCACCATCATGGTTATCCTGGTGGTTAAGACCTCTTTTGTATAGTTCTTTTATGCATTCTTGCCCCCTCTTCTTAATCTCTACTGCTTTTGTTAGGTCCTTAACCATTTCTGTCCGTTATCATGCTCATCCTTGCATGAAATATTCCTTTGATATCTCCAGTTTTCTTGAAGAAATCTCTGTTCTTTCCTGTTTTGTTGTTTTCCTCTATTTTGCATTGTTCATTTAAGAAGGCCTTCTTATTAATGGCTGACTAGTATTCCATGGTGTATATGTACCACAGCTTCCTTATCCATTCATCTGCTGATGGGCATCTAGGTTGCTTACATGTCCTGGCTATTATAAACAGTGCTGTGATGAACATTGGGGTGCATGTGTCTCTTTCAGATCTGGTTTCCTCAGTGTGTATGCCCAGAAGTGGGATTGCTGGGTCATATGGACTCTGTGGGAGAAGGCGAGGGTGGGATGTTTAGAGAGAACAGCATCAAAACATGTATATTATCTAGGGTGAAACAGATCACCAGCCCAGGCTGGATGCATGAGACAAGTGCTCGGGCCTGGTGCACTGGGAAGACCCAGAGGAATCGGGTGGAGAGGGAGGTGGGAGGGGGGATCGGGATGGGGAACACATGTAAATCCATGGCTGATTCATGTCAATGTATGACAAGAACCACTACAATATTGTAAAGTAATTAGCCTCCAACTAATAAAAATAAATGAAAAAAAGAAAAAAAAAAGAAGGCCTTCTTATCTCTGCTTTTCTTTGAAACTCTGCATTCAGTTCGGTATATCTTTCTGTTTTTTCCTTGCCTTTCACTTCTCTTCTCAGCTGTTTGTAAATCCTCAGACAACCATTTTGCCTTCTTGCATTTCTTTTTCTTGGGAATGGTTTTGGTTACTTCCTCCTACACAGTGTTATGAACTTCTGTCCCTGGCTCTTCAGGCACTGTACCCAGGTGTTATCCCGTGAATTTATTCATTGCCTCCATTGCATCATCAATCATGAGTAGTTTGATTTAGGTCAAATCTGAATGGCCTAGTGGCTTTCTCTACTTTTTTCAATTTAAGCCTGAATGTTGCAGTAAGGAGCTCATGAGCTGAGCCACATTCAGTTCCAGGTCTTGACTTTGCTGACTGTGTAGAGCTTTTCCATCTTTGGCTGCAAAGAGTATAATCAGTCTGATTTTGGTACTGACCATCTGGTGATGTCCGTGTGTAGAGTCATCTGCTGTTGTTGGAAGAGGGTGTTTGCTATGACCAGTGTGTTCTCTCGACAGAGTGTCTCTGTTAGCCTTTTCCCTGCTTCATTTTGTCATTCATTTGTTCATTCCCTGCTTCATTAACAGGCAAGCCAAACTTGCCTGTTAATCCAGGTAACTCTTGTGCATTCCAATCGTCTGTGATGAAAAGGACATCTTTTATTTTGGTGTTAGTTCTAGAAGGTCTTGGAGGTTTTCATAGAACCATTCAACTTCAGCTTCTTTGGCTTCAGTGGTTGGAGCATAGAGTTGGATTACTGTGATATTGAATAATTTGCCAGGATCATTCTTGTCGTTTTGAGATTGCACCCAAGTGCTGCATTTTGGACTCTTTTGTTGACTGTGAGGGCTACTCCATTTCTTTTAATGGATTCTTGCCCTCAGTAGTAGATACGATGGTCATCTGAATTAAATTCGCCCATTCCAGTCCATTTTAGTTCACTAAGATGTCAGTGTTGACTCTTACATTTCCTGTTTGACCGTATCCAATTTACCTGGATTCATGGACCTAACATTCCAGGTTCCTGTGCTGTATTGTTCTTTATAGCTTTGGACTTTACTTTCCCCACCATATCCATCCACTACTGTGCGTCATTTCCACTTTGGCCCAGCCTCCTTGTCCTGTGTGGAGCTGTTTCTCCTCTCTGCTCCCGTAGCATATTGGACACCTACTGACCCGGGGGACTCATCTTTCAGTGTAATATCTTTGTGCCTTTTCATATACTGTTTACTCTCTAGGCAAGAATACAGGAGCAGTTTGCCCTTTCCTCCTCCAGTGGACCACGTTTTATCACGTCCATCTTGGTGGCCCTGCACTGCATGACTCAGCTTTATTGAGATCACAAGCCCCTTCTCCATGACAAGGCTGTAATCCGTGAAGGGGTCCTAAGTTAGGATGATTTAAAAGCCAGGGAGATTTCACAGTAGTACTAGATTTCTGACTTTTGAAAAACTTGCAGAAATTTCCACTACTGGGCGCACAGTCTCACAGGCCACCATTAGCCAGGCCAGATCTTCTTCGTTTGTCCCCTGTCTCCTTCTGCCCTATTTCAGTCCTCCATGCTATCTGCCAACCCAGCCACCCCCACCCCCAGCTGCTTGCTCTCTCTTAAGACTCTCCTCCCTTGGACTCTTTTTTCAGTTAGTTATTAATTGTCAGTGAAGGGGCAGACAGGCCTGGCAGGTAAGAGCCTGAACTTTGGAGCTAGGTTGACTGCCTCCTGCACTTACTGGTTGTGTGAGCTTGAGCCTCTTTCTCATCTATAAAAATACAGATGACAGTGGTACCTGTCTCACCGAATTGTTGGTGTGATTTTAATGAGTTAATATGTTCAAATTGTTTAGAATGGTGGTTGTCCTGTATAATTTTTTATTAACCTGCATCCTGCCTGCTTGTCATCTAAGCTTAGGACCTTGGCGCTGGCTGCTAAGTCTCTTCAGTTGTGTCTGCCTCTTTGTGACCCCATGGACTGTAGCCAGCCAGACTCCTCTGTCCATGGGATTCTCCAGGCAAGAATACTGGAGTGGGTTGCCGTGCCCTCCTCCAGGGGATCTTCCCGACCCATGGAGCAAACCTATGTCTCTTACGTCTCCTGCGTTGGCAGGCAGGTTCTTCACCCACTAGCTCCGCCTGGGAAGCCCCATGGTTTTTTCTCTTTGACAACACTTCCCACCCCACCACCACCCCGCTGCATCTTATCAGAAAAATCCCGTCAATTGCTATCCTTGTTTCCGTTTTTACTATTTACTGCCATTTACCAACCCCTCTTGCCTTGCTTCTTCCAATTTACTACTCAGTCGATTGTGCTAATACTGTATTGTTTCCATCTTAATTTTTCATTGCTTCTCTGATGGCTCAGCTGGTAAAGAATCCACCTGCAGTGCGGGAGACCTGGGTTTGATCCCTGACTTGGGAAGATCCCCTGGAGAAAGGAAAGGCTACCCACTCCTGTATTCTAGCCTGGAGAATTCCATGGACCATATAGAACATGGGGTTGCGAAGAGTCAGACATGACTGAGCGACTTTGACTTTTCTCTTTTAAAACCTCACTTGATGAGGATTAAAGTTCAAACTGTGAGCCTGGCATTCTGTATCATTTAATGTGACACAGTCTTGCCTCGTATTTTATTCATAGTAGCCAAGGTGGGCAACACCAACTCCCTTTCTTTGAGCTTAACTTAGTTTTCTCTACCTTTGCTTCATTTCTTTCCCCATCTTTACACATTCCATTAATTCTGTAATTCCATGATCTGGGGCTTCCCTGGTGGCTCAGATGGTAAAGAATCTGCCTGTAATGTGGGAAACCTGGGTTTGATCCCTGGGTCGAAAAGGTCCCCTGGAGAAGGAAATGGCAACCCACTCCAGTATTTTTGCCTGAAGAATTTCATGGACATGAACCCCATGATCTATCCCTTTTTAAAAAAATGCTGTTCTACTTGCCTCTGGAACAATTACCTTATATTGCATACTTTAGCTTTTCTCTGTAGGCCTCATTCAGGGTAATGCCTACTACTTTAACAAAAGAAAGCCTAGATTTCAGTGGCTTAATGTTACAAAGTTTATTTTTCCTTCATGTAGTAGTTTGGTGTGAATGTCCTTCCATGCACAAATTCAGGGACGTCAGAGTCCCCTTCCATCTACCTTAGGGCCTCTTTCCTGGCAGAAGGGTAAAATGAGAACAGAACAGGAATATATTCAACCTTCTGGGCTCTGCAGTGACACACATCACTTGTGTTCACATTTCATAGCCCATTTGTGAGAACTAGTCACGTGCCCCCTGGTTTTAAAGGGAGTTGGGAAGTGTGGTCCTTGGCCAAGCTGCCTTCCTGCCAACAACTATACTGTGGCAGTCAGTCATGAATTGTGGTAAGTCATTAGCCATCTCTTAGTATCAGTGAGATTGTAAACTTTTCTGTGGTGAGCAGAGAAACTCATATTTTTTTAAATAAAATATAGTACTCTGAAGCACCCAGCCTAAATGTTGAAGTGAGCTCGTGATACAGCAAGAGACCTGGAGTAGGTTAACTATAATGGTTAACTATCTTGTGTCTGATATCAGAAAGCCTTAATTTGAATCCTGCCCCAACGAATTATTAACTGGGTGACTTGAGGAAGTTATCTATCCTGTGCTCCTTAAATGGAGATAATAACGGCATCTACTTCAGAGGGCTGTTGTGAAGATGAAATAAAATAAGGTACAATATCTGGTATGTTACAAACCTTCAGTCAGTGGTTGTTATTAATATACATTAGGTTTCTTTATTGATAATCTTTAGAGAAGCTTAAATAAACTTGTCATTTTGTGCCCTGTGATAGAGGTGGATTAGAGATAGCCACAGGTGACCTGTGATAGGTTTAAGATTTGAGAAACCCGTATCAGAGTCTTGAACTTCCTAACTAGTATGTGACTTGGGCAAGTCATATAACTTTTGGGGCTTTGATTTTGTCATCCTTCATTTCTTCCTGTCAGGGATTTTGAATTACAGCGTTAAATTGGTAAATTATGTGACATTATGACTTACTGGAATATCAAGGAGTTACTGCTCTGTGAAACTGAAATTCTATGGGTATTTTTAGTGTTTAATACTGATACTGATGTTAAATATTAAATTGAAAAATATTACAGCCACAGATAATCTCCTCTTTGTCTATCAGGATACATTTTGAGAAAAATACAGAGACTGAATTGAAAACATTTTCAGAGTAAGATTTTGTTTGTCTTATAGGCATTTTGTTCCCAACATCACCTTTGGTCACCCTGTGGTAGAAAGCCTCCGAAAGCAGCTAGGCCAGGACCCTTTCTTTGGTAAGTGAGTGTCTACGCCACCTGAAGCTGAGTATCTTGCCCCAGTGAAGGGGAAGCAGCTGGTCGGTCAGTCAGCCTCCAGTTTCACCGCGCGCGCTTTTCCCTTCTCCCTGTGCTGGGGCCTCACTGGCCTCCTGTCAGAAGCCGGCCTTGCCCGCCTCGGGGCCGAGGCACTTTGGCTAGTCTCTTTGCCTAAAAACTGTGTTCCCTTGGTCATTGCTACTTCATCTTTCCACCTCAGATCCTTTGCTGTTGTTTCTCCAGAGAGCCCTGTCTTAAGTTAACCTTTTTACCTTGCTGATTTTCTTTGACTTTCTTAGAATTCCTTTGAGCCTGTGATTGCCTTTATCAGACTCTCAGCTCCTGAAGGGCAGGATTTCGGGCGCTTGGTTTGCTGCGCTTTTCAGAGCTCAGCGTGGACACACAGCTGAGGCTCAGTGTGGCTATTAAGCGAACTGAGGAAGCAGTTGATCTACGGGCTAGACGAGAAGTTGATTCATGGAAATTGGAGCTTTCTACAGGTCTGTGTGTGCTCCACTTCAGTGTTGTAGGATACTGTGAATTAAGGTTTTTTTAAGATCAGAGAGTGACCTAGAAGTTACTCCTGTGGAATGTAGATTCAGTCCACATATCCTTGTCACTGCTGCTGATGTTTTAAGCTAAGCTAGCAGAGCCTGTCTTGCCAGATCTCTGGTACACAGAAGACATTCGGTTAGTTTTTATAAATAATGTGTGTTTTTGTAATTCATTACTTAATTTTTGTAAAACTTATATTTTTTTATTGACCTGTTGTGGACCAGTTTTATGAAGGACTCCAGCTGTGCTGTTCAGTATGGTAGCCACTAGCCTCATGTAGCTACTAAGTCAGCTAAAATTAACAATTGTTTCTTAGTGGCATAAACTGCATTGCAAGTTCTCAGTAGCCACGTGTGAGTCCTGTCCTAGTGCAGTTGTGGAACACTGCTGACACTGCAGGAGGCTGTTCCAGCCTCTGTAGGCCTGTTCGACTTCGAAGGCACTGACTTGATCAATTCATGTGACATGAGGGAAACAGTGTTCCACCAACATGTTCACTGTTTTGAAATTTCCAAATAATGGAGTATAATCCTCTGAATACCTGAACTTTTTTTTTTAATTAATGTTTTGGAAGCTGAATTTTCCAGGGTAAATTTATCCTTAAAGCTATTGGAGTTGGATGAAATAGTGTCTTTGCCCTCTTGCGCATTGTACGATGGCCACAGAATTCTCCACTCTGGCTTTGTGTGGATTTAAAATATGTATATTTGTCTTTTTCCCTTTTAGTTGATCTCCCAACTGTTACTTCTCACTGCTCTTTGACTCCCCTCCTGTCTGTGCCCCTTCTCTTACCAGCTCAGCTGCCACCCCCACCCCCCCACAATCTATTTTTCATTCCTATTTTTAGTTTGTCATTTGCTGATAAACTTGCTAATCAATCTTACAAGAAGACAATCTCAAGTAAACATGAATGGATTTCATATGCTTTAGTGTTTGTGATCTTTGTTTTTTATATTATATGTTGTTTGTTTAATTCTTGGATACTGGTTGTTGGTTAATTGGTGCATTATATATCTTAGGAGTTAGATCACAAGTTGTATGTATAACTGCTAAAGCTTTTAACAATTCAGTCCCAATATTGAGTAGAATTTACTGTGTTAAGAAGTAAAGTGGAAGCTCCAGTGGCGCAATCGGTTAGCACGGTACTTACATGGCAGTGCGAGCGAAGAAGTAAAGTGGTAGGGAAAAGTCATTTTTGCTTTTATCTAAATCAGCGGTCTTCAAGTATGGTCTGAGGACCTGTGGGAATCCTTTTCAGATGGTTTGTGATGTCAAAACTATTTGTGGTTCAATTTGTAAATTATTTGTACTGATGGTGCAGAAGCAGTGGTGAATGAGTCTGCTGATGCCCTAGCCAGAAATAAGGCTGTTTTACTGAACAGGTAACACTGAACAGGTTACTATAGGTAGTCGTGATGTTCTTACACACCGCGCATGCCTTCATAGTAAGTATCCTTGATGAGTTAGAACAGGTGATGGATTTAGTAAATCTTGATCCTTGAGCACACGTCTCTTTAGCATTTTGTGTGACGAAGTGGGAAGGTAGTATGTACAAAGCCCTGCTGTTGACTCCCAGAGGATGATTGTTTCCTTGAGGAAAACCACTCGTTTCATCGTCTCGAGCTGTAAACTGCCAGTGCTCGTTGTTTCACAAACACCGTTTCCATTAAAAGAATAACTGACAATGAACTGTGGTTATCAGGCTTAGGTATTTTCCTGATACTGTCTTTAAAATTAACTCAGTGGACCTGTCACTTCAAAGAAAGCAGCTCATCAGTTTTCGTTGCCACTGACAAAAGTTAGAGTTTGTAAGTGAAAATTGGAATTTTGGAAAACTTATATTTGCTGCTTTGAGCTTGACAGCTTCCCAATGCTTACAGCTTTTTTGGTCATATCTGTAGTGACACATTGACACATGTGGGTTTTGGATAGTATATAAAGAAATGTGTCACTGTTTGGGAGATCTGTGTAACTCAGTGAACCAGTAGTACTTAAAAGAGCCGTTCAAAATACAGACTAATGAGTTTCAGCATTAACAACGTGTGGAAGGGTCACTGGCAGGGTTTACAGATCCCACGTTGCCAATGATCTTTCATACTGCTTGTTGAGTTTTGGGGTATAAATGGTACAATATCCAAACTTGAGTGAAAAGGCTATGTGTATAGGGACGCCTCCTTTTCTGTGCCTTTTTTTCCCCTACTATAAAACAACAGATTGAATGCAGAGCGGATGTGAGAATACAGATGTATTCTCTTAAGCCAGGCAAAATGTACGTACGTACTCACAAAATATAAAATAATGCGACTCTTACCTTAACATGTAATGAATTTATATTTATTATCATTATTTTTTAATGACTGACTAAGTAGACACTAAGGCTTCCCTCATGTTTCACATGGTAAAGAATCCGTCTGCAATGCGGGAGCCCAGCTTTGATCCCTGACTCAGGGAAGATCGTCTGGAGAAGGACATGGCAACCCACTCCAGTATTCTTGCCTGGAGAATCCCGTGGACTGAAAAGCCTGACAGGCTACGGTCCATGGAGTCACAGTCAGACACAACTGAAGTGACTTAGCGCACACGAGTAGACACTAAAAGTTTTTTGTAGTTTGCCTTTCTAATACATTAAATATTGATAAATACAACCCACATCATCAGTATTGGGGTGGGGGAGTCTTCAGGAATTTTTAAGAGTGCAGAAGGAGTCTGACAGCAGAACATTTGAGAAATGTGTTGTAATTACAGGCAGAGTCGCTGAGCCATTGATCCCCCGAACACCAGAGATTGGCCAGTGACGGTTGCTGGTGGTGACTGCACGCTGGAAATTGAGTAGGGATGACTTAGCTGTCTAGTCTGGTGACTCAGGAATGGGTAAACTTGATCTTGTAAACCAGATTGAATTTTTCTTGTTTATGATATGAAGGAAAAAACACCAAATTGAGTTTATCTTCTAAAAACAAAGTTTTGCCTATTAAAATATGTTCTATTTTTGTTACTTTTATTAGTTTAGAAATATAAATGTTAGTCTTGACTTCATTAATCAGGCTCTATACTCTGTTTTCCTGATGTTTTTCAAAGCCTTGTTGCATTTTATAAATCTTTGCTACTGAGTTCGGGAATATTAGATTTTGTTTTTTCTTTAATGTAGCTTTGCTGGATCAGAAATGTGCTCTCTTACAAAATAAAAAACTCAAAACTCTCCTCATTTCTATCTGTCTGGCACAGGAGTGTTCACTGTTCTCTTCTTTCCTGCATCATTTCTTATTTTCACTTCTTTTAAGCTGCCCTCTCTTTCCTGTGAAATGCTATTAATATTATGTTTTAAGTTGAGATGTTTAAGAAGGCCACACTCATTTCTTCCCAAACATTTTCATATGATTTGAGCTTTAGATTTAAGGACATTTGGCAGGCTGCTTCTGGTTGACATGTTCTTTCTTCTGAGTCTGTTCCTCCTTTTGCAGTGGTCTGCCTCTTAGTTGGTGACACTTCCGTTCTAGCTCCTTAGGCCCACATTCTTGCACCAAATGACCCTTGTCTCACTCTGCACATCTGAGCCACAGCAGCTCCTGTTGGCCCTGCCTTTAGAAAATATCCAGAATCCCCACCACTGCTCACCATCTGCAGTCACTAGTTTTATTGCCTTGATCTTCAATTTTAGTATATGTGCTGCCGAAGCGAGCACTTGCCTTGATCTTCAAAGTCAGATCTAAGTACTGCAGTCTTTGTTCTGTGTCATTCAAAATAAAACCTGATGGTCTGCAGAGTTCTGTAGTTTTATCCAGTGTTTCTCTGACCTCATCCTCTTTCCCTAGTGCCCCCCGCCCCGACTCCATCAACACTGGCTTTATTTACTACCAACTTTATTTGTATTCACTCCTTTATTTGTCTCCCTCACTAAGAATGTAATCTTAAGTTTTTTACAACGGTATTTCCTGAACCTGAACTTAGGTTTCCTGATTTCTAGTTACTACTTCTCATAAATAGTGCTGTAGGCTTTTTGTGGAAAAATGTTGGATTTTTTTTGATAAATGTGTTTAACCAAAACCTTATCTTAAGGATGCAGGGAAGCTATCTGTGCCGAAGTATAACTTCTATTTAACAATTATGATGCCAGAAGAGTCCATATCTGAAATAGCAAAAACTACAGATTGACTTCAATAATATGAGCAGCTATTTTCCTTTTAGTAATACTTAGGGGATATGTCTTTTCTATCCAGACATGCACATGATGGTGTCCAGGCCAGAACAGTGGGTAAAACCAATGGCTGTAGCAGGAGCCAATCAATATACCTTTCATCTCGAGGCTACTGACAACCCAGGAGCTTTGATCAAAGACATTCGGGAGAATGGAATGAAGGTAAGAGCTTAGCAGTGAGAGTAATGTTTTATACTATTCATTCTCAGAGTTGGGAAGGTTTGGTGGAAGGCCCAAAATGATAGGTGAAGACCAGACATAGGCAGCTGTTCTTCAGCTTTGAAGCTAGACTTTAAGTATAAGGTGTTTGTCAGATAAAACTAATACATTGTACTAATGTTTTCTAGAAATTGCTACCTTTTAGAAACATTTACTTGTGATATCCATTTTGACTTAAAAAAAAAGATTACAGCTGAACAATTTATGTACCTATTCCATTCTTTAAGAATAGAGCTTCCTACTGGGCCTGATAAGCCACAATAATGTAATATGGAAATAGTTACTGATGTGATGTAGCAAATTTGTTTGTTACAGGTTGGCCTTGCTATCAAACCAGGAACTTCAGTTGAGTATTTGGCACCATGGGCTAATCAAATAGATATGGCCTTGGTTATGACAGTGGAACCTGGGTTTGGAGGGCAGAAATTCATGGAAGATATGATGCCAAAGGTAAAAAGAAGTATTTGGTTCTGGAGTAAGGTTTTTTATTGTGTATATTCATTCAGTAAGCATGTATTGGGCTACTTGTATGTTTGTGACTTGCTCTGAAGGTGGGGAGATGGGGTGCCTACATATCATTGGAATATGGGATGAGAGATGGCTGAAAAGATTTAAGTTTGGAGATCAGAAGAGATACCACATGTTAGTGTTTTTGTTTCCAAAACCATTGGAAACTGTTCTATAACCTAAGATATCTCTCTTGGGAATTTTTGTTGACTGTTGAGGGTTTTATCTTTGCCTTGTTTCTGTGAACTATGTTTTCTGCAAAGCCATGACAAATTCAATGCCATTTGCCAAACAGAACAAAGCTTGCTTTTATAAAAGTTTGTTTCAGTATATTAAGATAGTTTTCCCTAGTCATAACTTCTATTGATGTGTCTGGTGTGTTTTCCCTCTACCTGTCCACTTAGGAGTCATTTATTTCCTTGTGTATATCTAGGTTCATTGGTTGAGGACCCAGTTCCCATCTTTGGACATTGAGGTGGATGGGGGAGTAGGTCCTGACACCATCCATAAGTGCGCAGAGGTAAGACTGCTTCTTGACGGCAACCTGGACCGATTTGGTTTCATGTGTAATGCCAGGACGGGTCTTGTTTGCCAGAGAGATTCCCCCTACACTTCCTAACTAGTCTTCCTTTCTTGGAAAAGTATTTGTTTGTTTAAATGTAAAACTAGGAAAGTAAACAGTAAGTCCTGGCTATCTCAGTAATGATGAAAAAATTCTTTGAAAGAGGAATGTGCTGACTGCCAGCCTGAGGAGTATCATTGAGAAGCTCCAGGGCCTTTGAGACAGTTTTCCAAAATAGGCAATCTTCCTATTTTGTGGGTTTTTTTTTTTATGCTTTCAGTGTTTTATGTAAATGCCACACACTTTTCTGCTTGATACTTATCAAAAGCTTGACTGTGATCAGTATGGGACGACACTGGACAGATAATTAGTGAGCATATAATCTTTTGACCCCTGTAGAATTCATTTTTACTGAACTGTGCTTTGTCATTAATGCTTACGTTGAGACATATTAAGTTGTAATGCTAGAAAACTATATTTATTTCATTTTTATGAGGAACATTGTTGGACAGTGCACTGTATCATAGCACAACAGTATATCTCTCATTGGAGAAATTTTCCTCAGTTTCAGTGGTTCTCTCAATGGCCCCCCTTTCTTTCAGCTCTGAATCATGTAACAGATTGGATTTTCCTCCCTGAGTCAAATCTCAGATAAATTTGCACTCATTTTTGTAAGTTTTTACTTGGTTTTACTCTTTGATTTCATATTGAAAAACATCTTGAAAATCTTTTTTAAGCCACCTCAAAACCATTCTGGAATGCAGTAAAGCATACATTAAGAATATGTTCCATTTCTACTGGCATCAAAATGAGAAGATATTTAAATGTAGTGTCACCATATTTTATGGATCATCTCACATTTTAACAGTAATTGTCCTGTTAGACTGTCTGCAAATTCTTCTACATAGTTCAAAGATGAAAACATTGATTTTTTTTTTTTTTTTTAGGAGTTGAGGGGGCATTGGTACACATGGGGAAAACTTTAATAGAGGTGAAGATTAAAGATTAAACCTTACTTAAGTATTAGCAGAGATGCACTATAGTTTATTTAGAAGAGGGTTAGGGGTTACCAAAAAGTCAGTGTTTCTTAGACATGTTTAAATTTCACATCCTCTTTTAAGCATTTCAGCTTCTTTCTTCATTGCACTAGCTGCTTAAGTATGTTCATCTTGAAGTGGCCTTTATACAGTTAAAGTGCTGGCTGCCAGCTATAAGGGTGGAAGCTTTAGTCTGGGAGCTCTGTTTTAGGTTTTCCACATCTTCCTTTGAGGCGTGACCTGAAGTGTTCACTTCTTTCAGGCAGGAGCTAACATGATTGTGTCTGGAAGTGCCATTATGAGGAGTGAAGATCCCAGATCTGTGATCAACCTGTTAAGAAACGTTTGCTCAGAAGCTGCTCAGAAACGTTCTCTTGATCGATGAAACAACAAGGAGCCCAGTCTTTCTGCTTAGGAGATCTCCTTTTTACTGGAAAACAAGAATATTGACTACCAAATGATACCACAGTTAAGGCAGTGCTGCTTTTCTGAGCAATTACTCATTCCAGTGACTAAAATCCATTATGCAGAATGTTCCAAGAGGTTAGAAATTGGTGTGTATAACTATGTTTTTAGTGATGGAATTGAGAGATTAGTGTGATAAAATACCATTTTTACTGGGAGATTTGATTTTTATAAAGAGTAAAAATATGGCTGTATTAAGGTTACAAGCAGAAAAGTATCTTAATGCCCAAGGAAGGCATGTAAGCTACTATGAAAAACAAATTTTTTTTCTGAGTTTCTAAAAATAATTTTATTTGGTTTCTTTTACTGTTTTCTGAAAGCAAAAGAAGTTCTTCAGTTTTTCCTGTTTCATGTCATTTTTGATCTGTGTGTGTGATAACTTAAGTTTGCATCTGACTAGGAATGGCATACTTACTCTCCTAGCTTCAAAAACATTTATTTTTTACTTTGCACCTTATATTTGATATATTAAAAAAAAAAAAGTGTATTATGAAGCCCAGGGATTTTCAAGTTGTCTGTTCTAAAATATGAGCACAAGTTTTATCAGGGTATTTTGTTAACTTTCCTAGAAGGACAGATTATTCAGTGATTTCCCCCCTACCCCCGCCATTTCCACTTTTTCTTAATTATACACACTATTCCTAAGGACATAATGTTTTGCCAGCTCTATGTTAAAAAAAGACAAAAGACCTCTATTTAGAAGTAATATTAAGTTGAATCCTGACCCTTCTATTTGATCTTAGCAAACCAAATCAGCCAACCTCTTTGAGCTTCTATTAACTGTTTATATATTGAATGTAATTATGAGAGTGTGGTATTCTGTTGAGGATTAAGAGATTTTATATATGTAAAGCTTCCACTATTCCTAGAATTGTAACGGTGTGGAATTGAACATGCCAAGGCAAAGTAGCTATTATATAAATTTATGTTTTGTAGATTATAAAGTATGTTGATACAATCTCACTAAACCTACAGTCAGTCCTATGAATGGTAAAACAGGTGTGTTTGTCCCCATTTAAAAAAAAATGAAGATACTGAAACTCATCAACAGGCTGGTACCATGGAAAGAATCCAGGAAAGCATAGGATTTCTGGTCTGCACTCTTTTTTTATAGATGGAGTGCTTAAGAGGTGGATTAAGCAAAGGAAGCTTAATTGTCTTATTTCCAGTCTAAACTAGAAAAACCAATGGCTAAGAATATTCTGCAACTAATGACTTTTGACTCCAAGGATATATATTTTATTAATCCAAGAAAGACCAGGTAGGCTAATATATGACAAGGTTCTGAGTTAATCCATACACTATTTATGATTGTGTCCCAAATTACACTTTGACAGTAGATATGTATTACCTACTTCATTCTTGTAAATACTCTTGCTGTGTAATACACATGGCAAGAAATAACAGGACCAATGTCATTAAACTTTTTCAGGCTACTATGAGTTTTGAGAAGTAAGGTTTGGAAAATAGGAACGATAACACTTTAAAGCATGGAATAGAGCTTCCTTGGTTTCTTCTGTGTTTTCAAGGTAAAATTTTATTTCTTACTGTTTGTTTTTATTTTGGCTTAGGAAAGGCTTTGCCACACAGATAGGAGACGACAAGGCATATGGAAATATACACAGGCAACACAAGGCATATAGAAATAACTTTTTAATTAAAAAACTTACATAGAAGATTATAATATCAGACATGACAAAAAAAAATTTGAGTTTATTTGCCTGGACAACTTGGGTTTGTTCTGGCTTTTATTTTTTAAAAAATAAATGTACAGTAAAACTACAAGCAAAAATTTGTCAGTATTGAATTGGAAATTTTTTCTTTAGAGAGACTAGTATAATTTCTAGTCTCTAACAAAACCTTACTGTCAGATCCCCCAGATTAGGCCAGATGGCTAGGATTGTCAGTTATATGGGTACTACAACTTGAATAACCTGTTTTACATGAGAAAAAGTGATTCATATAAATTGTCCTCAATTTTTACATAGGAAAAAATAATGTAATAGTGTCAAAAGAGATTTTACTTAATGTACACTCCAGTATCCAATACTGAAGTATTAACTTTTTAAGAATTTTAATTCTCTCTCTAGGATACAAGTAAGAATAGATGCCTGTTTGAATAGAGCAAGCAATGGTAAGGAGTGACCAAATGGACTACAAGTACAATAATATACTAATGGGAATTTCCTGTTTGTTGCTCATTTTAAGTGGGGTGTTTATGAGATACATAAAGCTCAAATATTAAAAGATGTGATAGTTTTAAAATACACTAATATTTAACTCACCTTTGCTTTTCTTATTCTGTTAGGAGTGAATAGAAAATAACCTGTGTTTAACCCAACAGATTATCAGTGATTTCAAATAAAGTATTATGTTACCTGGTATAGAAATTTCCATAAATAACTTCTATTAAATATGTTTTTTAAAAGTCTGGACTACTAGGAAGGGATGTTTTTAGATGTCCAATATCATTGGAAATCTGTGCTTCTTTATAGTGCAGCTGATATTTCATGGGATAATTCATACATGCATTTTTCAAGTGGAGTGGTCACTGTTTTTGAAAACTACTTAGATGTGTGTATATGTGTGCATGTATACTCTATACACACATTTTTATATTCTTAATATATTTCTGAGGCAATTTAAGATTAACCATTTGTATAGAAAAAAAAAGGAGCTGTCCTTTGATACACAGGGGGGGTGTGTGTGGGTGTAAGTTGTTTAAAAATTATTTACCCAGTAATGTGGTTTGACAGCAAATTACAGCAGTTAATTTTCTGGTACTTGTGATTTGCATCAAACACAAAGGACTAGCACTTGTTGGTCAGTGAAAGCTCCTTACTTCTGGCTTCAGGAAGGAAAATGAAACTAACTTGCCTGTTTCATAAACAGCACGGAAGGTTAACGCGCACTCTGTGCTCACACTCTGGAACCGGGCCCCTGCAGGGGCTGGAGGACAGGGCTGGCTCTTCTCTCTGTTTGCCCACTTGTTACACTGCTCTCTTCGCTTGTGCCTGTCACCTATTTTTTTTCACACGAGTAAGTCCTAGACCAAGGGTTTTGTACTCTTCCATTCCGTCTGCCTGCCTTTTTGGATGGTGGCCATTCTCTGGCGCACTGGTGCAGAAGACTTCGCCATGGAAAGCTGGGCTTGATCTTTCAACCTGATCATTTTTTTCATCTTGGCATAATAAGGCTTCTATGTCTTCATCCTTCAGCGGAAAAGCCCGTCGTTCCCACCACAAAGACTGAAAGAGAAAACATTTTCAGTTTCAGCTAATTTGTTTAAGTTCATACCTCAGATAATCTGTAGATGTCAATTTTGTAGTAACCATTGTTCAGTACAAATTCTTATTTGGTCCTAAGTATCTAGCAACTTAAAGTGGGACATAACTGAGGATTATTTAATAGGGACCTTTTGGAATTATTTTTTCACTTTGCCTCTTCCAAGAAGAGGGAAACGCTGCTATTAGGGAGTACTGGTCTTCATTTTAAGCCTAGGTGCATGTTGGGGAAATTCCCTTAAATGTGTTTGGGTCATCTACTTAAGTATCTCCATTTTCATTCCATCATTATTATAGATACCTATTAACTTTTCTCTCTCTGAGCTTTCTATGACTTGCCTCTTAATTTCTATTATCTCTCCTCTTTTGATTCTAGATGTTATTCTTTTTCAATATCTACTTTTGAAAAACAGTGCAAGAACTTTACAGATGCAGTATAGAAAGCACTCCTGTTGAGGTTAAAACTGGACAGATGGGGAGACAAAATCTTTTGTAACGGGAAGAGAAATAACCTTTCTATGTGCCAGGTGACACTCTATTTAATCCAGTTAGGTCTGTAATGAAACTTTGATAGAAGTCCTTTTTCTGACACATAAGTGAATAGGGGAATTAGGTTTTGGCATGTTACATAAAAGGGCTTCCCGTATGACTCAAGCAGTAAAGACTCTGCCTGCAATGCAGGAGACACAGGTTCAATCCCTGGGTAGGGAAGATCCCCTGGAGAAGGGAATGGCAACCCACTCCAGTATTCTTGCCTGGAGAATTTCATGGACAGAGCAGCCTGGTGGGGTGATAGTCCATGGGGTCGCTAAGAGTCAGATTCGACTGAGCACACACATACACGCTGTGTTACATAAAAGGGGGAACTATCTGTAGTTAGTGATGGAATTTGAATGCTGGAATATGGATCCTTTGGTTCCTACACGCAGCATTCTGTACTGGACTGTTGCACTGAAAGTGTTACAGAATGATGAATCCTTTAGTCAGCAGCAAGCAATTCTATAAACAAGTTTTTCAAAGTCGATTAAGGAAGTTTAACAGTTACACAGAATACCCTCACCTTGGCCTCTTGACTCTGACTCAGTGAAGGTGAGCTGTGTGCGCTGGGAGCCTGGCTCTCTGACGGAGGCTCAGCAGGGCTCCCCACTGCACAGTGCTGCCCACCGCTGAAATCATAAGGGTAGTCTTTCAAAAGTAGGTCCTGTCCTTCAACATTTTTAGTGTAAGCTCTAGCAAGAAAATCAAGAAAACATTTTATAAACAACCTAAAGTGTAGTTCATAAGTCTATTTAACTTGGTAACTTTTCTTTAAACAGTTCTGCCCAAAAGGTTTTTAAAAATTCATCTGCTGATCTTCCCCATGTTATCCTCACATCTCAAAGGCTTTTATTTAAATGGTACTTCAGGAAATATTTTGCCAAATTATTATAAGTAATTTTGTTTAGCGGTATTTTTTGTTTGTTTTCCAGAAAACAGGAAAAGATAGTTAACTTGACTCTTACAGTCCAAGTTCCCAGAGTATCTATGATTATTGTAATGTCATCCATGAAGAACTCGATTCACGTTTTCCTCTGTACTTCTGGAAAACTGTATCTCTGTAATGTAGAGAAAGTTGAGAATAGAATCTCAGGTATGTTAGGATAACTCTTAGAATAAGGATCTATAACAAATCTGAATATCTTGACCTAAACAGAGAAATGTGTTTTAAAAGTGTGAAATAAATGAGAGACCCCCACACTACAGTGACTACTAGGTTTCAACATGATCTTGTGTTTTGAGTTTTGACTATTATCAAAAAATAGTCCAATTAAACATAAAATACCAGAGTTTTTCTCAAATACATTAACTGTTTTTAGGATTTATTCCCCCTTCCTTCAAAGTCATCTTCAAAGTATTTCAGGCTATTTGCTTTTTACCCTAGATAGGTTTTTAAGGGTCTTTTTGGGGTTCATTTATTTTTAAGAAAAATATTTTTGAAGTAGTTATGTTACAGATTACTCAGATTCTAATCACCAGTGTTAGGTCCGCCATTATAGTACACTGAAGTGACCTTTTTATGGAGGATTTTCACATTATTTGCTCAGTTAAGTCTGTTACTGACGCTGACAATCAGCATGAGAAGTAGGGTGGAGTAAGACAGAACGCTGCGCATCGTGTGAGGAGCCTGAATGTGGCTCAACACGTGCCTGCTGTTTCTTCTCTGCCACTTGCTTTGTTCCCACAGTGACCATCTGGCTTGCTCCTTCTCTTCATGCTTTCTGTGTCTGAGGGAGAAGACTTCATCAGAGAGATTTTCTATCTGGAGTTAGAAATGAAAAATTTTGCTTTTGTCAGAAACATTTTGAAATGAGAACAGGTGTCACAGTTCCTCATCAAGAGAACAACAGGAAGAAAACAACAATAAATACAGTCTAAGTCATGAGAACAAATGTTATGAAAGGAGATTTAGATTCCTAAAAAGAGGGAGTTTGAAACTTTTTCACCATTGGGTCATGTTTGAAGACTTACCTAGAATACTTAATAGGTACCTTGAATACACATTGGTTCACAATGCTTTTTTTGCATTTACATGAAATACCCTTAATGCTCTATTCATTCAAACCTTTGTATTGATTGCTTCTTATGGAGTATACTGTTCATGGAACATAATATCAAAGAAAGTAAAACTGACATATGAGAATTAGTTTAATGGATTTCTAAAGCTTTGGTTGTTTCTGGCTAGGATCATTCTGAACTAGGGTGCATTAAAAGAGGGAAAAGCATTAAAAAGCAAATTTTGGTAGCTGAAAAATGAAATCAGTTGGCATAGAAAGACCAATAGAAACAATGTCTTTTATATAATACTGCCTCTTCAGATTGTCACTTTGGAATTAGTTTGGCTATATAGATTTTTCTCTATAATTTTTCTTGTCTTAATGTAAGTTTTATCTATGTAGGTCCATAATCCCTTTCCTGTGGTTCCAAAACTCTGGAAAAAAAACAAGTTTTCATAATTTATTTGGTGACACAGCCTGATCTGAAAACGATGTGAAGCTGTTCTACTTCCTATGAGTATTTCACTACAGAACTCAGTATTTGATTGAGAACCGCCCTAGACTCCCATACAAAACTAAATCTCATGCAGAAAAATATGACTAATAGTGGAAGTGAATACAGATATTCATATAAGTTCAGTATTTCAACAACTCATGTACGGAAATGGTGTGTTTTATTTTTGCTTTTGTTTATTCTTTATGCATGTTGTCTTTGTAGGCAAATTTGTACAAAACACTTTCCTAATCAAGTTAATACCTTTAGTGAAGAACTTTTCATAAGTTTTGAAAATAAAAAAATCAGTGTATTTTAGAGGGCTTATAGTTCCAATTTAGTTCCTCAAATATCAAATGAAGCACATGGAAAAGAAATAAAGCAGACTTCATAATATATTAAGTGCAATTATCCCATAAGTGAAAGGCAACTTACCTCTTCTTCACCTAAATCATATTCATCCAAAGGCTGAAGAACAACCATCCTCCAGCTGTTGAAGATAGAACCAATTTCAAATAGATTTTGTTAATCTATCTAACTGTAGCAATTTTATTCTGTAAGCACAACCAGTATAGTACTGTTTTCTTTCTTTGGGATTTCCATAATTCAACTGGTTGTAGTATTTGAGTACTTCATTTTTTAAGAGACAGAATATTTGTATCATAAGAAGGGGACAAGGAGAAGATGAGGCTTTACTTTGGGCCTTACAATAAACAGTCTCTTCTACATAGTTGCATTTTCCACCTAAGAATGTACTCATTTTGAAGTAAGTTAGTGGTATGCTGATAAACTGGTTCAGAAAATAAAAAGGTAAAAAAGCTGTGATTTGTAGCATTTGCCAGTTTCTTTGTGTGAAGACTCCTATCATGGCCTCACATCACAGGACTTGTATGTTAAACAACCAGGCCAACCAGCGAGCTCCAGCCTACCACTCTAAGCTGGAAAGACACTGTTGCTATAGAACACTGTAACCATGAAGTGTTGTTTTTTTACTTAATATGCACTGTATCAACAGATTCTCTGTAGGAATTCTCATAATACTTTCTAGAGCATTAGGAGTTCTCTGCCTCAAAGCAGTTATGGATAAAAGAAATTAGCTAGGCTAGAGATGGGTAGGAATAACTGTAGTTGTCATCAGCTGTCTTGTTTCCATCCTTTTCTATATCTGCTTCTTGGTGCCAGATTTATAATCTTTAAAGTGCTTTCATCATTGCTAAAAAATTTGACTAAGTTGGCTGCCAGCAGGAAACAGATCTGTGTATGGCATTCGAGGACATCCACAACCTGGATCCAACTTATTTTTGAGCCTTCATTTCATTTATCACCCTAAACAAAACCTCAGTCTCTGGCTTAGCCTTGCATAGTTGCTCCTGTACCTGTGTTATGGTCTCCCTGTGTGAACACACACTTTCTCCTTCTGTCCCACCCCCTTTTCCTAGTAGACTCCCAGGTCTTCCCACTCTTCTTGCTATCTGACATGTGTACTGCGGACCTGACGATACATTAGAATATTTTGTTGTCACAGGAGTTGTCCTCTTACAGTGTGAATACCCTTTGCAAAGGTAGTTGCTTGCTTTGAACTCTGCAAATCTCCATTTTTAAAGAGCAAAGATTGTTACTGGAATTATTTACATCCCTAAAGTACTTTTTAGTGCCATGTACATAATAGAAGACTAAATGTTGAATGAAAAAAATAAAGTACTAACGTAAGTAAATCTTAAGAATTTCCCTTTCTTAATACAACCTGAGAAATAAGGCTGTGCTACTCTATGGCATTGTTTTTCACCATGAGTAATATAAAGGTTTCTTTCCCCTGTCTTCCCTCCATGTAACCACATAAATGGGGGAAAGGCAGAAAGCAGCATCTTCTTTACGTTAAATAATATTTTTAACTTCACTGAAAGTTATTCAAGAAAGGAAAATTGAAGGATGTAAGTATGCGTACCTTGGCGTAAGTATTTCCTTGTATTGGAGCTTCTCTAGTTTAGCTGGGGCCACTAGCGACATGGGGATCACAATATTGTCTATGTCATAAGAGCTCTCGCTTCGCAGTCTCCGCCGCGCTGTGCTCTGCGAGACAGGGTTACAGGAGGTGGACAACAGCTCTGGTTACGTATGATGATGCTCCTTTTATGAGTGTTTATACAAAGAAAACATGGAGTGCCTCTAAGTTTTAGGAATATATTGTTATAAAATCTGACCATAAGATGTTAGAAAAAACAAGTATACATAACTTCTATGAAACAGTACATTTGTGTGTGCACACATTCAAGTCTGTTTTTAAAACCATTAAAAATATGAATGCCTTAAGGTACAAAACTCTTAGCAGAAAAGGGTACTATAAAGCACCCTAAATGACAGTGAAATCTTTTAACCAACTTGTTTTTACAAGGAAGAACTATGAAGTAAAATGTTTGGTGAGCCATTTAATAAAGGTTATTTTTACAGTCTTATTTATGTGTTCCCGAGCCCCGAGCGTCATGCTGTTTTTATAAATCCTCCTACGTTTTGACCTCTACTCCTGACTAGATAACAAAACAAAACAATGTGAGAATAACACAAGTGCTGGATTCTCATTTAGCATCATGAGTTTTTAACACACACAAAAACCATAATCAAGAATTAATGAACAATTAGCTCCCTAATAAAATTTAATCAATATATTGCTTCTTAGTAAGATAATTCTAAATATGTTAATTATGTGCTAGTCAATGAAGCTGTTAACAAAATATCCTGTTTAGGTCCCCCACCTCCCAGGCCCCCCACCAGATGAGCTTAAAAGTCTGTAAAGCAACTTGAAAGTTCACTGTACAAAAACCTACTTGTGATGATGAATTCTGGGTTCTGGATATAACATTGACATTAGTAACTGCAGTAAAACTGCTTTGGGATCCTGGTTCTGTGCGCCGAAAAGCAAATTCTTCAAATCTAGTTCTTTCTCCTGCCATAGAAAGACCATTGAGAGTGTCATACATTAAATGTAACTGGTAAATATTAGAATGTCTGTTTTCCTAGTTTGGTAATGTGAGTCTTGATCTGCTTATTGATTTTTTTAAAATTCATGTATCAAAAAACAAAAGGAAATTTTATAAAAATCTCAGTCACAATTTCCATTTTCTGGGATCTTGACAATTTATACCCAGTATATCATTTCTTTAATCTCATCTCTCTTTACTATGTTCGTGCTTTCTGTAACTCGTATTCAGCTATTGAACTTCTAAGATTTACCTGGTAATTTTCTTCATTAGTCTTTAGTTTTTAAAATATCTTTGACTTTATGATCGACTTTCTGGAAGATTTTAACTTCTGACTTGATTTCTGAAAATGTTTCTCTATTAAAGTACTAATTTCTAAAAGTTCTTGTTTGCTTTTACTCATTTTTTAAAAATAACATCCTATTTCAGGAATGAAACTTTCAAGATACTGATTATAAGATTATTTCCAACTTTATTTTCTGTTTTCTTCCATGTTCCTTTTTTTCCATTTGTTTTGGGTCTCTATTTGTGCATATATGTTTATTTTCGTACTGCCCTTGTTTATATTACTTACTACATATCTTGAAAAATAATTTCCTATGCAATATAAAATTTAATACAGCTTATATATTATTCTAGTTGTTTAAAAACGTCCTTCCTAGCTAGTTGTTTCTTCAAATCGGTATCCATGCATTAAAAATGATTGTTGCCTAGAGAGCTGTCTAGTTACTTTGTAGTATAGCATTTTACCTGTATTATTCTTGTATTCATGTTAAATCCACCATGTATAATATAGTTCAGTACATCTTGGGTATAAATAGTTTCTAATTTATTGGGTATACTGACATACTACACCTAGGGCATACTTCACTAACGTATATAATGTTAGAGCCTCTAGAACAACGAATAAGATCCAACAGAGTATACAGATTATTTGTTATTTAATACACATCATCCCAGTTAAGTTTTGTGTTACTAATAAGAGTTCTAGTTTCAAAGGTATCTCTATTCATCTTGGCACTGTAAGTTCCTAAGGGCAATTCAATTAGGTGGTTGATTTACTTAGATGTATCTCATCCAATTTATTAAAATTCTGAGGAAGCTTCAGTGAACCAGCATCTCCACAAAAGGAACCAGGTACGGTAATCTCTAAAGGGCAAACTTGTACTAACACGTTTTGAGTCCAAAGCACAATGCTAGAGACTGAAGTCCTGTCCAGAAGGACAGTTGGTAGAAAATAACTCCAGTTAGGAAACACAGGAAGGAAGTTTCCATAAAGTGGATGGAATCCCAGTCCACATAATTCTGAACTGACTACATGAATTTGCTGTTTGATGTTCATAGAACCATGGATGTTTTGTGTAATTAGTGACTTCTGGGTTATTATTCCCATGAGACAGGGCTTTTAGAGATCAGAATTTCATTTTCAGTTTTTACTACTAGTGCTCATGTCCTCATTTGAACTCACCTATTGCTGTTTCACTCAAGTGTCTTTTCTTTCTTCCCTGTAATAGCTGCACGGAAGATTCTGACTTTATTTGAGGCTTGCATATAGAGGAATATCCATTTCTCCATTGATTCAGAGAATTATTATGTACTAAAATGGAAAGAAAAATGAAATTTTAGTTCCTTAACACAAATATGATGAACATGGTAACTTGCTTTTACTTTATAACATTGCAGAATATTGATAATACCAGTTCAAAATGAAATAAGTAACATATGAAGATGAAATACCCCTAAGCTGAAAACAATAGAGTAAGATTTATTAAAAACACCTTCATGAAGTGCCCCAATTCCTATGGTTTCTCCATTATTTGAAGAGGCAGGTGATCTGTCTTCTAAGTTATAAACTTTTACAGAGAAGATACCTTCAGATCTGTAAATCTTGATTGAACTTGATCTGAATCATTAAGCTCACCCTTAAATCTGGGAAGACTTCAGGACTAAGTAAGATTATAGAATCATAAGAGGGTGGATCTCTTGAGAGCAATAACCAGATTTCATCAATCTCTTGTGAGTGCCCAGTGCCATTCTTTTTAAAGCAATGAATTTTAAAAACTTTAATATCTCTCTTTAATATTTAATATCTCTGTGCATCAGCTGCCTCAACTGTAAAATAGGGATAATAGCTATTGTGGGATTATGGAGATTAAGTGAGTTAATTCCTGTAGTGGTCACTAGAAGGATTTCTGACCTAAGTATGCAATAAATGTTAGTTTCATCATTACTGTTTTCTATCTGAACCCTATATTTGCAATGCTGGATTAATAACCATATTGGCTTTTTTTTTTGAAATGTTTGGAGATATGGAAAGCATGGCTTAAGTGACAAATTCTAACCAATACTGAAAAAAAGAGTATGGATGGCCTGCCAACAGTGACAGGGACTCAGATTTCATGATGGCAAAGCACTCTAAAAATGACAGACAAAACTTTTACATATTGGTGCACAGATCTACACATTTACATCCACATTAGCATGTTAAAAAATGAAACTTTTAAGTAGAACAATTTCTGAACAATCTCTGAAAGCCTAATACCTTAAGAAATTTGAAGAGCAAACTACAAGAGCACAAGAGAGTATTGCCACAAAAGTGTAATCATCAAAGGAGCTCTGAACGCGGAGGAAAGAGACAATTGCCTGTAGTAGAATTACCTGTAGAATGACTACACAGACTAATACAGCCAGGATCCTTGAAGCTTCAGCAGAGAAATGGATGGGTGGATAGATGAGGCATCGCCCAGGTGCCCCACTTTGAAAACATGTCCTGCCCATCCATAACTGCCTCTGAAAACAATATTGAGTGTACCTTTCTTCCTCTTCCATGAAGAGCATCTCAAGCAGTGGCAGAACAACCTTAAAACAGTCAACACGAACCTTAGAGATGAAAACACAAGACTCCAACAAGAAGTACTAACAAGTGTAAAACTTTTCTCAAGACATATCTAATGGGTTCACAGAATACAAATTCATAAGTCTTCAAAATAATATTGCCAAGAGAAAGGCAAAAGGCCTCTCCAAAGAGACCTCGGGAATGGAAAGGATAATTGCTCAAATTGAGGAACAAAATCATTGCTCATTGGCCTATAACAGAATGAATATAACAAAATCAAGATCATTCTGAAACTCAAAGAAACAGAGTGATGGAAACAGGAAAAAAATTTCTAGAGGACAAATCAAAAGAGGGTAAAAAGGGAAAGGATAGAATGAGAGATAATATTGGAAGAAGCAATAACCAAAAATTTTTACACAATATTAACCCTAACGTTTCAGTAACTTGAGCATCAAAGCAAATGTGGGGGGTGGGGAACAAACATTAGTATGAAGACATCCTAAAAGTTACCAGAGAAGGGGGAAATTATCACAAATGCGAATCAGACTGACATAAAAGCAAATGCAGGAGAAAAATGGTGACTTAGAGCACTCATGGAAAACTAAACAGAATCCTAAGCTTTCTACCTACTCCCTCAAAGATTTCTACCCAAGAAAAATAATGCAGAGAAAGATGTTAAATAGTAAAATAATATAGCAGGCATAATTCTAGAATTCATTTCTACAAAGGTGTATCTAGAATTGTGAGTTGGGTTTTAAAACACCTGGCATGTATTGGTGTTCTAATAGGGTCCACCACTCTTGTTTTCAGAGTATTTTCAAGAAAAATCCAGGTAAATTCAACCCATCTCTTCTAAAGGAATTCACCACCCACCTTGTCTTGTAAAAGCACATCAGACTTTCCAAAGAAACCTTTACTAAAGTGATCCTTTTAATTTAATTTTACCCAAAGGTTTTCATTACACTTTTCTCCCTCTTACTCTTTGATAATATGTAATGTTATAATGGACTCTTGAAATAGTAGGAAATACATGGCAGTTCAGAGTGTAACACATTCTCTTTACCTATGCTCATCGTAGTAACTCCAGCCTTTCAGCTTTCTTACCTAGATCTTCTAAATTCCATCCTAAGATATATTTTGACCCAGTATTTTTCTCATATCCCCTGTCTTCCCTTCCTCCCTTTCATTTATAGAGAGCCAATTACATGCCAGGCATGTACTTAGATTTACTTTTTAAAATATAACTTGCTACAGGGATTTGGGGGAAATAATTGATTAGGCTATTTCAGCAGTATAGATAAAGGATCATTAATTTGGACTAAGCTGGTGGAAATACAGAGGAGCAGGTTTGAAGCGTAAGATCACAGATAGTGGGGTTTAGATATGAGGTAAATGTGGGTAAAGAAGGCTAAGCCTTAGGGTGCTGACCTGTATGGGTTGTTCCTCTCTGCACTTTGAACTTTTTATTTTGACATAATTTCAGACTTACAGAAAACCTGCAGTAACAAGTGCCATTTTAATTCAGATTCCCTAAATACTAACATTTTACCACACTGGCTTTCAATGAAATTAAGTTACTGATATGATGCTTCTCTATTTTAGATATTGCAATGTTTAAGGGCATTCTCTTACATAGCCACACAGCTATCAAAACCAAGAATTAATGCTATTAGCTAACTGTACACTTTACTGAAATTTCACCAGTTAGTCCTGTAATGTTCTTTACAGAAAATCCTTACGCTGCATTCAGTTGACAGGTTTCTGTTTCCTCATATCTGAAATAGTTCCAGTGTCTAGTTTTTCATGACTGAATATTTTGATGAGTATAGGCCCTTAAGTTGGCTTTGGCATTTTTTCACCACTGGCAACTACTCAATTCTTCAATTTTTTGTCTTTTCCCTACTTTGCTGTTAGCTGAAATGGGTAGTTGTCATATTGCTAACTCTAATGCACAGTATAGGATAAATCCAAGATCTAAGGCAAAGCACAAAAACATCTATTTACCTTCAATTTACCCAGCAAAAATAACAGCCTATGAAAAGGTATGCAATTGTTTCCATTTTAAAATTTTGTTACATATAATGGGCCAACAGCATCTGAACCACCTGGGACCTTGTTAGAATCTCAGACCCCATTCCAAACTTATTGAATTACAATCTGCATTCTAACAATAGCCCCAAAGTAATTTGCACATTAAAACTTGAGAAACAGTGATTTGGAACACTTGACTTTTCCTCTAGATTCCAGATAAGTATTCTCTAAAGCTACACTTGGCATCCCCATCTTACTGGAGTTCCTTTTTGCCCTTTACCCATCATCACCCTTAACCTCTCTTCCTCTGATGTCCGCTAGGCAGTTTACACATTCACCCTCTTTTTTAGAATATTTTTATCATGTTGGTACCCATAATATCATTTAATAGTCATTTGTGTGTCTGCTTCTATCACATAATTTAACTTCCCATGATTCACCTTTGATTTTTCAGCACTTAATTGGCACAGAGAAGTTAGTCAATAAATACTGCGTTCTAGTTTTACTCAATTCTACAGAAAACAAAAACTAGTGACCATCTATTTAAGACAGATACGGGATGAAATTTGGGTTGAGAGTGGGAGGGAATGGGGAAAGTAGAAAAGGAGAGTGAAAGTTGCTCACTTGTCTGACTCTTTGTGACCCCATGGACTATAGAGTCCATGGAATTCTCCAGGCCAGATAAAGTGGGTAGCTTTTCCCTTCTCCAAGGGATCTTCCCAACCAAGAGACTGAACCCAGGTCTCCCACATCGCAGGTGAATGCTTTACCAGCTGAGCCACAAGGGAAGCCCAGGAAAGGAGAGATTGGTACACAAAAAAGTTTTGATTTGCCTAAAGTTACAGTGCAAGTTCGATGCAGGAAGCAGACACACAAAGCCAGTGCTCTGGGACAACCAGAGGGATGGGGTGGGGATGGGGAGCGGGGGTTCAAGATGGGGGGACACGTGTGCACCTGCGGCTGATCCCTGTCAATGTATGGCAAGAACCATCACAATACTGTAAGGTAATTACCCTTCAATTACATTAATAAAGGAAAAAAAAAGGTAGCATTCAATTAAAATGTTTTCCACTCCTAGCTTTTAATTTTCCATTACTGACATGTCACTATATTATTGATACATCAGTAATTTTGTGCCTAACGTTTACACTGCTCCATTTTTTAAAAGTCAGATAAATTTGAGTAACATTAGAAGAAACATAATTACAGAAATATAATCACTTAACTTTGTTTTTGCAAATTCACTTTCAGTCATATACATAAATTTCATATTCACATTTCAAATGTAATACTTTTAATTTGGATATATATATAACTTGTTTTTAACCTGATAACTGTTATTTTTTCAGATGTTCGCTTAACATTCCTCTTATTAGAAACAGTAGCATTTAACTATTCCCTAGCTGTTGGAACTACTTATAATCATAATTTTATTTGTATTATGGACATTCTTAGAATAATCATCTTGCACACATTTTTTAATTAAAAAAATGTTAGTCTAGGATAAATTCCAAGAAGCATAATTGTATCATGAAAAGTATCTAAATATAACATATTTTCCTGTATTTCTTTTGCACAGGGAATTCTTTGTTCTTAGTGCTTTCATTTCATTTCTTTAATTTTTTACAGTGGAAAAATTTCAAGACACATAAATGGAATAATGAACTCCCCTGGTCCTATGATTCAGCATCAAGAGTGCTGGTAACCAAATTGTTTTCTCTCTCTCCCAC